CTTTCTGAGTACACTGATGATGAGATTCAACCTTTGGCTGTTCGGCTTGCTCTGGCTGATGCACCTGAAGCTTTCTACATTTCTGTTAAGCTTGGTGTTGAAGGCATAGGGGAAATCCTGCGAAGATCAATTGCCGCAGCATTGTCTGGGTTCAGCAACAGTGAACGTCTAACCCAGGTAGGTTTATCTTGTTAAAAGATGTTACAAATTGTCTTCTGAGGATTTGACAAAGAGTCTTCGATTAAATTGTTTGACAGTCAGAGCTCTTTTCTAACTCCTATTTTTCCTTCTTGCAGCTTTTGGCAAATATAACAGAAAAATTTGACACGATAATAGGTTCATTTACTCACTTGGACAACGAGTTTCTGCAACTCAAACAGATAACCAAATCTTCCAAGTTCATGGAAAGCATTCAAGGTTTAAGAAATGATATAAGCATGTCGGTGAATTTAGCTTGGGCTACTTTGCACTCTCTTCTTCATTCAGAAAGAACCACGTACCGTCAAAATGGATATATCTGGTTGGGGGATCTTCTGATTGCGGAAATTAGTGAAGAGAGTGGTGGAACTATATGGCTGAGCATAAAAGACCTGCAGCAAAAGATTGCCCATTGTGGTGCCTCGGATTCTATGATCACTTCTGATATACCTATTTCCATACATCTTCTATGTGGACTCTTGAAGTCCAGGAACAGTGTTATCAGATGGGGTTTCTTGTTCATTCTGGAGAGACTTCTTATGCGTTCCAAGTTCTTACTAGATGAGAATGAGACACAGCGATCAACTGGTGGAGATGCTAGTCAGGATCATAAAGACACACGACTAGAGAAAGCAAATGCTGTTATAGACATAATGAGCAGTGCTTTATCTTTGATGGCACAAATAAATGAAACTGACCGGATTAATATCTTAAAGGTACATCTACTGTTCCTTTTGGTTGCTCTTTCCATTTGCTTTGTCACATTTCGTATCAAAGGCCACTCAAAAGCTTGTAGTTGTCTATAGTAAATATATTGGAATTTTCACCCAGATGAAATTGAAATTCAGTTGTCTTCTCTCCGTTGTTTCCAAGCAGATGTGTGACATTCTTTTCTCGCAACTGTGCTTGAAAGTTTTGTCTGCTGATGAAGATACAGTACCCAGTTCTGCTGAAAGAAATAGCAAATTTGAAACATCGCAACGTAACAGCTATAAAGAAACTATGGATGAAGCTGATACCAGGCCTCGGTACAACAATGTCTCTGTTTCAACGTGCGAGACAGCGTCAATGGCAGCAATGCTTCTCCGTGGACAAGCCATTGTCCCCATGCAGCTGGTTGCGCGGGTTCCAGCGGCTTTGTTTTATTGGCCCTTGATTCAACTAGCAGGTGCAGCAACTGATAACATTGCACTTGGTGTCGCCGTTGGAAGCAAAGGAAGAGGAAACATTCCAGGGGCAACCTCTGATATTCGAGCCACTCTGCTGTTACTACTGATTGGTAAATGCACCGCAGACGCAATTGCCTTTCAAGAAGTTGGCGGAGAGGAGTTCTTTAGGTGATTCATCGACTCTTCCATACTTCCCAACCAAGTTGATTTATCTGAGCAATATGTTTCATGGCATTTACAAACTTATGTTTATCGATGCAGGGAACTCCTGGATGATACTGACTCAAGGGTGGCTTATTACTCTTCAGCTTTTCTTCTGAAGGCAAGAAGATTTCTCAAATTCACCATTTTGATTTGAAAAGACATACATTGGAAGAATAATAAGCTTCCAAATATTTCTTGGTTTGTTTTTTTGGCTCATCGGTTAAAGTTTGATTGTTTCAGAGGATGATGACGGAGGAACCAGAGAAATACCAAAATATGCTTCAGAAGCTTGTCTTTAAGGCTCAGCAGGTGATGCAGAGTGTAGACTCATAGAACCTTAAATATCAATGAGCTTTTCCTTTGTTTTGTGCCATGTGTAATAATAATCCGCACTGATAGTATTCTTTGTTGTTATGTGCAGAGTAATAATGAGAAACTGCTGGAGAATCCATACCTGCAGATGTGTGGTATACTTCAGCTATCAAACGAGCTTTGAACTTGTGGCTCTCATAAGTCTCCAGTTACTTATATATGGTATCTGTAAGTTCCTCCGGTTGAGAAAATCTTAGAGAGTTCCCTTGCACCACCCTAGTTATCCGTGAAAAAGAAGAAGATAGTTAAGTGAAAGTAGAAGACAACTCATAGATACTGGACTCGTCGCTGAAAGTAGCAGGGATATCAGCAAGTGAATTCAGATATGGCTGTGTGTAACAGAGTTTGGTGATTTTTTCTGACATCACTTTGGCTATCTTTGCCTTCTTTATCGGCAATGTTTGTTTGGCATGCTGAGTTTTGGTTGAGATCTGAAGGTTGTTGAAGAAAGGTGTTGACTGATAGTAAAGAGTTGGTTGAAAGGATCAACGGAAATGTGATGATAGCTCCATCCGCCTTCTCCTTTTTCTGCGGGAATGGCGTGACATTAAAGGAACTTACAGAAACACTGAGCTGCTGATAATTGCCGGCATGTTATTTTTGGCCCTAACAGATTCAAGTTTTTTTTCTCTTATGCTCTGTGTGTAAAAGTAGCATTTCATGAACAGAGGCTCCAGCTCCAGAAATTTTAATTTTTTCCTGGAGCTCTGCTTTTGTACAGTCAGGAACAAAACCAATTAGGGGTTGCGTTGTGTAAAGAAGAACTAGAGATAGAGGGTTTGGCCTTTGGGTGTGTCGAATGTTTTGCCTTTAAAAATGGTTATGTGAAAAGTGTGAGCCTAGCCAGTGCTTTTGTAATCTTATAACAAAAAAGAAAAACTAATTGCTTGCGTTTTTGGCTGCCACTGTTTGATTTGAGACGACCACAACCATGGGAGATTTCTAAGTTCTAACTAGTTAAATTCTTTGTTTCTTTTCCAGTTTTTTACATATCCAAATGATTTTTAGGCTTTGGTGAAAGCCATTGATCCAATTCAACAAGGCTGTTAAATAAACAGTTGTTAAAGGTAAATTTCATAAGAAATCAAGAGACAAATATAGTAACACAAATTTACCAATTTGATCCACAAAATAAACCACATTTTGAGAAAAGTATAAATTAATATTGGGCCAGGCTTTGTTTCGAGAGAAGTACACAGACTAGGAAACAAAACCTCAGACATCGAAACCTTGAGATCCAATACTTGTTTTCACCTGTTTTGTAAATCGCTTCTGGTTCCTGGAGATCTGATCCTTTCCCACCGATTCCGTCCTGATAAAACGGTAAATCTCTCTCAGTTTTTTAAATTTTACGCATCCCGATCTGATCCGACAAATATGTTTGAGTTTTGATCTGGTCTGTCTCAGTTTGAGTCTTAGTTGTATGTTTCTCGCGACAGAGAGTTTATTTTTTCTGGCCGCCATCTGTGTGATGGTCCTTTGAGTCCGTCTCTGTCGACGAGAACTGCCAAATTGTCTTGTCGGATTGCGTCACGTTAGGGGTTTTAGATGCTTAGTCCCAACGTCTTCTGCAATGTGATCCCATAGCGGAGTGGATATCGCGTTAGACTCCGAATCTAAAGGTCGTGGGTTCGATTCCCACTGGGATCATCTTGTTTTGTTTGTTTTTGGGTTAATACCACTATAAAATTATCCTCATAGCAATGATCAATTGAATTTAAGTGTAGCTCTACTCTAGTTGTGTTTATGAACCTGTATGTTTATGATTTGCAATGCAATTAAGTCATTAACTTTTGTGTTGGTGAAATGGATAACTCTGAGAACAATCTGGCTGCATCCTAATGGGATATATTTTGATGAACTGGTTCGATACAAGAACACTGGTTCCAAACAATAAGATTTGTCTTTCTTTTCTAGTTGATGGAACAAAATGTTGATTGTGTTGGGTGCAGATGATCGATGATCAAGACTTGGGGTTTATAGTCAATTTCCTTGGCATCTTCATCTTCGGTTTGGTAATTGCTTATCATTACGTAGCTGCTGATCCCAAATATGAAGCGACTTGAGTGTTGAAGTTTTAGAGGGATGATGATGTAAGGCTTTTTAGTTTATATATCTGTTTCAAACTGAGAGGAGAGATAATAACAGTCTTTTAAGTTTATATATCCTTATTATCTATTTCACATCTTTATTTCAATCCTCATTCTCGACTATCCAAGAGAACCCGTACAATTCTGTTGGTGTGCTTGATTGCAAGCCAAAAAAAGAACTCTGAAACACCATCCCTCTGAGTAAAGTCGATAAGCTAATTTTAAATCTTCCGACAGGCGAAACCATAGAATGTGTAATCCAGTGAGCGGAGCTCGTTACATGTAATAATACAATCCATTTCTCTAATGATGCGTATATGACCAAACTTTCAAAAATACCACAGTTATTTTGTAGAAAGAATGGTTTATAAAAGAAGTTTTTAATGATTTAATTATCTCTGATCCAAAAAATTACTTAATTATCTTACCAAAAAATTAAGTTTTATTTGTAGTAACTAAATTTGTGAATTTGTGCAAAATTCCCAAAATAATATTATTTGAAAGTAAAATTTGTGATAGAAATGTGTTTTTTCATTTTTTTAAAGTTAGAAGAAAATTACCGTGTGATATTCACCCGGCTAGAGTTGAAATTGTAAAATACTAGACGGTGTAAATGCTGTGAAAAATGATCAAAAATCTTAATTGGGGGACCTGACTTGTCATCAAAACGTCAGACACTCTTGAGTTTTGACATATTTAAAAGAGGCCTCTCGAAGGGGCTAGAACCTAAGGCGAAAAAAGGAAATAAGAAAATTGAAGGGCGGAGAAATAACATCCAACGGCTGAAATCGCATCACCATGAACATTCTCGAACATCTTTTACCGACCGTTCCACTGATATTTAAACACCTCTCCTCCTTGCTCAGAGGCATAATCAAACACTCGAATACAAACGAAGAACAAAAAAAGCTCAAAAGCTCACAGTCAATAATCTCTATTATCCTTCGGCGAAGAATTTTGATAACTAATGGCGGGTAAAGGTGAAGGTCCAGCAATCGGTATCGATCTCGGCACGACTTACTCGTGCGTCGGTGTTTGGCAGCATGACCGAGTCGAGATCATCGCTAACGACCAAGGCAACCGCACGACTCCCTCCTACGTTGCCTTCACTGACAGCGAGCGTCTCATCGGAGACGCCGCCAAGAATCAGGTCGCCATGAATCCCACAAACACCGTCTTCGGTAAGATTCCAGTGCCTTAAATCTTCAATTAAACCTCTTCCTTAGCTTCCGAGCACATATGTAGATCGGAATTTGATTTCTCTGTGATTTAGCTTTGATTTCGTGTTCTATGCTGTGATTTATGATTGATTACTAACTCGCCGTGTCTTTGCAGATGCTAAGCGTCTTATCGGAAGAAGATTCAGCGATCCATCTGTTCAGGCGGATATGAGGCACTGGCCGTTCAAGGTTATCTCCGGCCCAGCGGAGAAGCCGATGATCGTCGTCAACCACAAAGGAGAGGAGAAACAGTTCTCAGCGGAAGAGATCTCGTCGATGGTTCTCACAAAGATGCGGGAGATCGCAGAAGCTTACCTCGGATCTCCGATCAAAAACGCCGTCGTTACAGTCCCCGCTTATTTCAACGACTCTCAGCGTCAAGCTACGAAAGACGCCGGAGTCATCTCCGGCCTCAACGTGATGCGTATCATCAACGAGCCAACCGCCGCCGCGATCGCTTACGGCCTCGACAAAAAGGCGACGAGCGTCGGCGAGAAGAACGTCCTCATCTTCGATTTGGGCGGTGGGACTTTCGACGTGTCCTTGCTTACTATTGAGGAAGGTATCTTCGAAGTCAAGGCCACGGCTGGTGACACGCATCTCGGAGGTGAGGACTTTGACAACAGAATGGTGAATCATTTCGTTCAGGAGTTCAAGAGGAAGCACAAGAAGGACATCACTGGCAATCCGAGAGCTTTGAGGAGGCTGAGAACGGCTTGTGAGAGGGCGAAGAGGACTCTCTCTTCCACCGCTCAGACGACGATTGAGATCGACTCTCTCTACGAGGGGATTGACTTCTACACGACCATCACACGTGCGAGGTTCGAGGAGCTCAACATGGATCTGTTCAGGAAGTGTATGGAGCCGGTGGAGAAGTGTTTGAGAGATGCTAAGATGGATAAGAGCAATGTCCACGACGTTGTGCTCGTTGGTGGCTCGACGAGGATTCCGAAAGTGCAGCAGCTTTTGCAGGACTTTTTCAATGGGAAGGAGCTTTGCAAGAGCATTAACCCGGATGAGGCTGTTGCTTATGGAGCAGCTGTGCAGGCTGCGATCTTGAGCGGTGAAGGGAATGAGAAGGTTCAAGATTTGTTGCTGCTTGATGTCACTCCTCTCTCCCTGGGTTTGGAAACCGCCGGTGGTGTTATGACTGTTCTGATTCCGAGGAACACAACGATTCCGACGAAGAAAGAGCAGGTGTTCTCTACCTATTCGGACAATCAGCCTGGTGTGTTGATTCAGGTCTACGAAGGAGAGAGAGCGAGGACGAAAGACAACAATCTTTTGGGGAAGTTCGAGCTTAGTGGTATACCACCTGCGCCACGAGGTGTTCCTCAGATCACTGTTTGTTTCGACATCGACGCCAATGGAATCCTGAACGTGTCTGCTGAGGATAAGACGACGGGGCAGAAGAACAAGATCACGATCACCAACGACAAGGGAAGGTTGTCCAAGGAAGAGATTGAGAAGATGGTGGAAGAGGCAGAGAAGTACAAGGCTGAGGATGAAGAACACAAGAAGAAGGTTGATGCAAAGAACGCTCTCGAGAACTATGCATACAACATGAGGAACACGATTAAGGATGAGAAGATTGCGTCGAAGCTCGACGCGGCTGACAAGAAGAAGATTGAGGATGCCATCGACCAAGCCATTGACTGGTTGGAAGGGAATCAGCTGGCGGAGGCGGATGAGTTCGAGGATAAGATGAAGGAGCTCGAGACTCTTTGCAACCCAATCATTGCAAGAATGTACCAAGGAGGTGCTGGTCCTGACATGGGTGGTGCCGGAGGAATGGACGAGGATGCTCCTGCTGGTGGTAGCGGCGGTGCTGGCCCCAAGATTGAAGAAGTCGATTAAGTTTTTTTAGCTCTCTTGTGACTCTGTTTGCTTTTATTCTCCAGTTGTTTGCTTGTTTGTTTAGTCAAGGTCTTCTTTATGCTACTCTGAGCTTGCTTTGTGATCGATCTATCAGTTTAAGATTTTCTTTGTTGCAAATTTCTTTTCTCAATCTGACAAACTCATTGCAATGGGGAAATATGATTAAATATGAATAATCCAATGATACAACCAATAAGTTATGCACTACAATCTCACTCTAGTACGAACGGACGGAGACAGACGCGAACCTCATGCTCCTCTGGTCCCATTCGGTGTTTAGGCACTAAAACCTCTAGTGTAGTTCCGGTTTCGTCCCGGTAAGCTTCGAGCTTGGCGTCGTCTGGAATCTGGTTTGGCAGGGAGACTTCCCGGACGAACTCCCCTGGTGGGCAATGCTCTGGTGACGGATCTGTTAGCTTAAAAGTCCTATCATGTCTCTTGATGAATGGCTCACATGCTGTACTTGTACACGATATCTTCACAATTCCATGTGTTGGTGTATTCCTCCATGTCACTTTCACCCTTCCCGGATCAACCAACGGCAGGCTCATCACAATCAAAAACCCTTTGTCATCTTCATATATCGTTTTCGCGGCTGTCACTGGTCCATACACATTCTTCATCACCCCGGTGAAATCATTCGACCATGGCAGCTCTGTTGCGTTGATCTTCATGTCCAGAGATTTCTCACTTGAGCTAGAGTCATCGCAGTTTCCTAGAGCGAGACAATCCCTTTTGCGTTTACCGTTACCAGCTAGCTGAGCTTCCACTGGGTCAACTACGTGCTCCGGTGAATGTGTAGACAGATTCAGACATGTTCCGTTCAGCTTTTTAAGGTTGGTGTGCCCGTTAGCTTTCGCCTGAGTAAGAGGCCGCTCAGACTCAAATTCCGCGGTTGGGAGATTCCTCCATGAACCATAATCACTTGCCTCTGGCGGAATAGCAAAGTTCACATCACGACCAGTGAGTTCCGTCCACTTCTTCTTTTCATCATCGTTAAGTACAGAGAGGTTGGGTGCTTGAACAACTTCGATCCCATGGAGGCACTGTGGGTTAGAGAGACCACGGTAATGTTTCCTCTGCATCCTATGAGAGCGGACAAAGCCTTTCTCCACACTGAAAGGGAAAGGACGCTCACCCTCACGTGAGTGCCCGTTCATGTAACTCCTTAGCTGCATCTTGCCAAGAGCATTCTCAGGCTTTTCCTTGAACACCCACATGTACATATTCTCCATATCATGCTGAACCAAGAAGGAGTCAAGCTGCAAGTCAGATTTATCATACCCGGACAAGCCATTGCTGTCCCTCATCAACTTGTTTTTGGACTTGTCATCCAAAACAGGCTTGAAGTAGAAACTAAAGAAAAGCCAAGCGCCCCATGTACTATCAACACGCTTGTTGTACTTCTTGGCAACCTTATGCACATGAACAACAGCCTCAGGCTCATATAGCTGAGGCCCGAGTCCAACGTCTAAGATGTCACAGTGCTCGTTCCACAGAAGAAGAGATGGGCTTGATTCGGATGAGAGTGGGAGATTGATATCAGGCGGTCCCGAAAGTATGAGCGACCGGTTTGTCTCCCTCTCTGATTCCTCGTGAGTAAAAGCACCTGAATCCATGGACAAAAGTGTCGACGGGTGATAATTCTCCATAGACAAGGTTGTGATGAGAGTCTCGCTCATATTTCTTCAGAACTTTGATCCCACAAAAGCTCAAAGCGATCCCCTTGAAAGCGGATTCAAGAGATTAGAACATCAGTCGACATCGACAAACCTATAGCTGCATCTCAAGGAAATCTTCATCTTACAGGATCTTACGATTTCCACCACAAAGTTTTTTCACGGAATATTCACTACAAGCTCCAAAACGTTGGCCTAAGAGACACTACTGCACCTCGAGAGCAACAACCCCACCTGAATATCAATCGAGAGATCAAAGAATATGATTAAGCTCAACCTGATTTCAACAAGCCCTTATTCAAAATCTAAGAACATACGGCGAAACAAACGCGAGTCTCACACTCGCTTTGGAAATGAGATCCTCATGAAATAAACCAAAATCACTTCTTTTTTTAAACACAGAAACGAATTAGGGATCTAATATTATCTAATTCGATATTCGACACGAAAATCAGTGAATCCCTCGTTTGATTGCAAAATCAATAGAGAATAAAAAATTCATACACAAAGCAACAGGATCATCGGAGAATATAAGAGAGAAAGAAACGAGAAATCTAACCGATGGAGAAGCTAGAAGAAGAGTGCGTATCGGCGGAGAAGGAGTAGTAGAGGCGCTCCCGTCACAATGATCCGAGCTTTTGAGAGAAGCGAGAGAGAGAGAGACTTTTCAACACTCGCAATTTAACACAGAGGCGCCGTTAGTTAACGCCGTTATGTTGACGGAGCTCGGTGTATTGCGTTAGTCAATTTATGCGGTCCACTCTTCTTTTCATTTCCTTGTGTTTTCCAATAAAATGGTCCGACTCGGCCCATTTACCAATTCTCCTGAGGCCCATAATTTCGAAGGGTCCAAGGCTAGCCACAGGTGCTACTAGCTCAGTAAGACAAGGCGAAATAAAAGAAGTATTCGATTCAACACTTGGAGTCAATTTTATGTTACACTTGGACTCTCACAATTTTGGTAGCCGAGAAAGAAAAAATGGAACTTGATTTGATAAGACTCCGAAAATCAAAAACAAACGAATCACATTAGCAAAATAAGATCTTAGTCTAGCAAAAATAGCGATAAAAATTAAGTAATCAAGTGAAAGAATAAAGATCATGATCATTCACCAATTATATAACCTTAAACACAGATATCACATTCATCCCGGCCCCATTAGACAGACATTAGCACATGGTTCTACATGTCTGATTAAATATAGCACAAACAATTATCAGTGGACTACGAGTTCATGTTATATCATCACTCAGATTAGTGAACCTTGTGACGTTATTACCAAAGCAATGTAGTACCTCTCACAGCCTTTCTGTACCACGTGGAAGAGAGACTTCTTCTGTTGTACTGTATTAGAAAAGACCCCACTCCATTATTTTATTCTTTCTAACTTTTTTATCCGATCCCTAAAAATTAAGATTCTTCTGACAAACCTATCTTCTTTAAGAAATGGTCCGAGAGTGAGAGATAGGGTGTGTGACCCTCAACAGCCGGTTAGCTGAAACAGAGGTGTTTACTCCGAATCACGAAGGGTAACAGTCAGCAGCCGGTTAACCGGTTTCCTCAACTGCCTCATCCCAAACCCATTGTCATTTGTGTGGTCAATAAAAACTTTTTTAATTTTAATTTTTATTTTGATGAGAATATTCTGTTTCTATGGGCTTTTCACGTCTTCTTCTTTCTTTGTTTCTTTTATAGGGAGGACAACGACGGATTCATACCCGCAAAAAACTCGAAAACTCTTCCTTTTTTCTCTTAAATCTCAGAATCTCGAGCATCTGTATAGATCGATTCTAATTTCTCCTTTGTACATTATTTTACATACATATAAAAAAACATCAAATCGGTATGGAGAATTTGGGTTTCTGTTTGCGTGATCTGTAATTAAGTAGCCCTTGGATCGTGATCAAAACAACTACTGGTGATTGATTTGGTGAGTTTTGATCGGAATTGGTTTCCGCACTTTGCGATCTTTAAAACTTTGGGTTTTTGTTGAATTTCGATCTCCGACTCTGAAACTGGTTTCAAATTCCGATCAAATTATGTATCGGGTCGACAGAAATTGGCAATTTTTTTCAAGATCTGATCGGGAAAGTTGGATTACTTTCTATTTTCAGCTAAAATGGAACCTTTTTAGTAGTTGTGAACAAATTCTGACATTTGAGTCTTAACTTTGTCTTTTTCAATCTCTACTTACGATTTTGCATTCCCATGATCCATTTCTCATTTTCTGCCTTTCTTAGATCAAGAGCTCGGATTTTGGTTGTGTTGATCTGATCTGTAAATTTCTTTCTTATGGCTACTTCCTGATTCTGATCTCCCTGGTTTGTGTCCAAATCTAATGTTTTGAAATATGGAATTTACAACTCCATGAATTTCGTTTTCGGGTTAAGAAGAATAACATTGGATCTGTAGTCTCTGAAATGCAGATCTTAAGGTTAATGCTTGCGCTGATCTTTTGCGTTGTGTGTTGCCAGTGATATGCATATTTGAGAGATGGTGTTCAAGAGGAAGTTAGATTGCCTATCTGTTGGCTTTGACTACCCCAACATTCCCAGGGGTCCTCGTTCATGCAGGGTAAACGATCATTTGCTTCTCATCTTGATCTGTTACGTCACTGTCATTAATTTCTCTCGGTTGATTTTTTTTTCAGAGGAAGGTCCTAAACAAGAGGAGCGATGATGACACTCAGACGTGTGGAATGGACTTGCTCGCTTCTCTAGCTGGAAAGCTGCTGGAGGAATGCGATAGTTCCTCAGCGTCATCCAACGCGTTTGAAGGGAACAACAATCAGGAGAATTTCGGTAAAGAAGTTAAACAAGAACAAGAAGATCGATACAAACCTTTTAAGTCTGAGTCCTCTGACCAGGGAAACTCTGTGTCAAAGCCTACTTATGAACACACTAGTGAGAAGTGTGTGGTTAACAGTTTTCAGTTCCCTAACTTTCCTGATAATGACGGCATTTTGGAGCGAACTCCGATGTCTGATTACAAGAAGGTTCATGGGTGTGACTTCCACGTCAAATCTGAAGGCATCACTGGAGAGACGGGTGGTGCTAATGTGAATACTGGGTTTGAACAGGGAGAAGCAACAACCGATGGCTTAATCACTGACATTTGCCACTTAGATGATACAACGAAGTTTCCGAGATCAGTCTGCGTGGGTGGTGATGTAAAAGCGCCATCTTGCGTGAAGATGACCTCTAATGGTTCCTTTGCTAGACATGGGAACCATACTAACCTAGTAGGTAGAGATGATGATGAAAAATTATATAGTTATCATAAGCTTAGCAGTAAATTTAAGACGTATAGGTCTCCAACAATTCGAAGAATAAGAAAGTCGCTGGCGTCCAAATACTGGAAACAATTTCCCAAGGATTTTGGACACAGCAGAGCTGGTAAGTATTACACTGCCTACTTCACTTTTATTTAAACTCATTTCTTCGTCTTATGCTAAGACCTTTTCTTACTCTGATCAGATGCTGGTGTAAAGAATCTTTACCGCAAAAGAAAGTCATGTTATGGATACAACGCATGGCAGCGTGAGACCATTTATAGAAGGAGAAAATCATCTGACAGAAGCTCGGGTGTAACTTCTGATGGAGGACACAGTAGTGGAAGTGTTTCCAAGTTACCCGAGAAGCGAGATGCAGGTGGTTATTGTAGTTTATCTAGCAACTCTGCAGTTATCTTATCTTACCTGTTGTTGTCCCCATTCAAAGGGCTCCTATGGTACTCGACCGGTTGATATATGACACTGAGACATTTATCCGGTGACGTGATTATGTGGTTCTCATCTATTTTGTTTCCCCTCTGTTGCAGTAAAGCTAAGCATTAAGTCCTTTAGGATTCCAGAGCTTTTTATCGAAGTTCCAGAAACTGCAACAGTAGGATCATTAAAGGTACATGGCAATGTGTATTTTCTTTCATTCCCTCGCATATGTTTTGTTCTCGTGTGTTAATATAACAAATTCGTGATCTTTGACACTTTTGGTTACAGAGGACAGTGATGGAGGCTGTAAGTGTTTTACTCAGCGGTGGAATACGTGTTGGGGTATTAGTTCAGGGGAAAAAGGTCAGAGATGACAGGAAAACTCTGTCACAAACTGGGATCTCATGTGAAGAGAATCTAAGCAATCTTGGATTCTCCTTGGAGCCTGGCCTCAGCAAAGTTCCCGTACCTTTGTGTTCCGAAGATCCTGTTGTGCCAGCAGACCCTACAAATATGTCTGAACGGTACTAAGAAAAATCGCTATCTTGTCATTGTGCTGCTGGGATTTGCTTTTAATCGAATATCACTGGTCTTCTTTCTTCTTGAAGATTTCCTAAGCAATAGCGCTTCTTAATGATCTTCCCAGGTCTGCGGCTTCTCCCACGTTAGATTCTAGTATTCCACACGCAGATGACGTGGTTGATCCAGGAAATGTTGTGGACAATAACCTCGAAATAGTTCCATATCAGAGTGACATATCTGTTGACGAACCTTCATCAGATTCAAGAGCGCTTGTTCCTGTTCCAGCCTTGGAAGTTAAGGCGCTTGCCATAGTTCCACTGAACCAGAAACCTAAGCGTAGTGAGCTTGCCCAGCGCAGAACCAGGAGACCATTCTCCGTGACAGAGGTAGAAGCTCTAGTTCAAGCAGTTGAGGAACTCGGGACTGGAAGGTATATAACACTAGCTCCACCTTAATTAATGTGGGTCAAAACTCAAAAGCCAGTGGTCTGATATATCTCAACACACAGATGGCGTGATGTGAAACTGCGTGCTTTCGAGAACGCAGATCATCGAACCTACGTGGACTTAAAGGTAAACATTTTAGTTAATTAGTGTGGAGCATCATCATATCTTACAGTCGCTTAATGTTGCAAGAACGTGTGATGTTGCAGGACAAATGGAAGACGCTGGTTCACACAGCAAGTATATCGCCACAGCAACGAAGAGGAGAGCCGGTGCCACAAGACCTCCTTGACAGAGTCTTGAGGGCATACGGGTATTGGTCGCAGCACCAAGGGAAACATCAGGCGAGAGGAGCACCCAAAGATGCAGACATGAACAGAGGTCGAGCTCTTGAATCAGGTGTTTCAGTGTAAAAAGGAAGTAAGTATTGGTGGGTGGGTGAGTGGGTGTACAGAAGAAGAAAACAACAATAATCGGATACTCAGTTTCTGCAAAGATTAATTGTCTTCAATTCTCGTTCTTCTATTACATACATTTTTTTTTTTTTATATTTCCTGCTTTGGCATCTTGTAAATGACTCCACAACTGGGATGAGATTCGTCCCTAACAACTTTTAGGCTTTCTATCTTTGTTTTTTCACATTGATTAAGATTTATGTTGTATAATACGGTCGGTCCAGAAAAAGGGATCTTGTAATTTTAGAGATTCTTTTAATATTGTTCATCCTTTCTTACAAATGAAGACTGATAAATCAAAGCCATTTTTCATTATTTTCATATTTGTGCCTTGTGGTCTTATTTTCAGCTCAAGTAAGGAGTGAAAAATAGAGCGACAGATTTTCTTCGACATATGTGAACAAACCAATTTGAAAGATTGCTCTGTGATTCTGGAATATTTGACAATGGAACATATGTTATTAGTAAAAGACTCTTCTTACAAAGAAATATTGCAGTTCTTCGCGAAGTCAGAGACCTTCTGCAAGGTCTATAAGCTTCGAACGATGTGTTACGAATCGTCAACTGTAGTATTCAGAACCCACATCCCAATTTGACGCCATCCAAGATTCCAAGTTCCTACAACTTACACCTACTTCACTATTCTAATACCCTTTAGTGCATTAAATACGATACATTTACTGAACATGGCATCTTTACTGAGTGCTTGACATCCTTCACACACAATTTATCTCCTGCAATAGCAAAGAACAGACCTCAGACTTTGAAAGAAGCACAATATATAACAAAGGAGGCAAAATTTTGAAAGAGCTGGCATTTTTGGCAGTATACGAATATAACCTTTCAAGGCTTATGAGTTATGACGCTTTGCCTGATTCCATTGCTCCAGTAAACAAGTAACACCCTCCTCCAGCGTAGCCTTCTTTTCTTCTTTAAAGTTCCACAGCTCTGAGGAGATGTACCTTCCACTCGGATTATACTCGTTTATCTCCAGCAATGCATTTGCCACTGCCTGGTATGCATCATGCCCAAGTTCATTCTTCAACGTTCTTAACTTCTCGTCTTCCTCATCTATTACTTCCTGACAAAGAAAGATATCAAATCAACAGCTTCAGGGTTCTACATTATCAATTCATAAACCATGTCCAACATGCATGAACAAATCTGCATATGCACATAAATGCACGTCTTCTGATGGCAACACTTGAGAAACATATTATTTAGGATGAAAAATAAGAACAAAATCGACTTGGACTAGTCAGTAGTGGTTTAGAGAAGAAGGAATACCACTAATGTTTCAGTAGTCTCAAGCTTTATCCGTTTGAAAGGATGCCAATCTGGGTCCTTAAGATATTCCTCCCAGAGCTGGATAACTTCAACTGCCCAATCCTCTAGGTCTTCTTGACAATACTTTCTTCTCATTGCTTCCAGGAACGGTTTGGTGTCAAGCTCCCCCATTCTCCTAATGCCAATATGCGATCTTGTGTCTCTCAAATTCTATGAACAAATTCTAAGAAAAATCAAGTAGTGTCTTTTCTATCATGTCTAGCATAAATGAGTTTAGGATAATATAAACTCCCTATATGCAAAGAGTCACTTAGCTCCTCTATATTAGAAATAGGTTTAAAGAGCAACTGTTCTAATATAATAGATCTACATACGCTTATCAATGCTCTTCGAGTTTCTTGAAGCTCATCATTGCTCTTCCGCTCCCGTACCACAAGATCTTGATTATATTTATTTACGTGTGCAAGCTCTCCTTCCTTCTCACTAAGGTCTCTGAGGAACGTCTCCACCTTGTTCACAATTTCAATACTATCGTCCGATTCCATGTGCCTCATCACACTCAGCTGTCCTTTCAGTTGCTCGACCTCCAGCTCAAGCTTTTGTTTCTGATCAAGCTCTCTTTCTAGTGTAGCAATTCTCTCATGAAGCTTTTCCTTTTGCATCTAAGGTTATAAACACGGTAAGACCATGTCACACAAAGTAAAAGAGCCAACCTTTCTAAAGAAGGAAATATTCCCACACCTTGTGATCTAGAGCCAATTTTTTCACTTTCTCTCTGGTCTTTTGCTGTTCCACGGCAGCTAGTTGAACGGAACTATATTTAGCAGCATTCTGAAAAATAATGCCAATCGAAAAATATTTAGAAGAAGAAGAAGAAAGGAATAAACCCGAAATTAGTTTAAGAAATGAGCACGTTAGCACATACCTGTTCAAGCTCATTTGCAACTATCTTCCTCTGTGTTTCAGTCTCTGCCTCACGTTTTGCCAAGACCGATTCTCTAATTTTAAGTTCCTTCATCTGAGACTCCAGCTGCAGCTTTTGCTTCTCATGATCAGCATAGATCCTATTGAAGTGATCACTAGATCTTTGTTGTCTTCCCGTGAGATCTTCAGATGCAAAACGAAAAAAATGTTAACACAATCTATAGCTGGGTGATGCAACAAGAGGGGATGTGAACCTTGAAAGTTAGAAGGAAAAGCTCACCTTCATTGTAAGCATGGAGAATCTTTTCTTTCTCTTCAGTCTCAACCTTAAGTTTGACAGAAGTCTTTGAAAACCTTTCCTCTAGCACCTTCAAATGATTTTGTCTGTTCACAGAGATAAATCTCAGTCGCTGCAGAAGCTTTTGGTCTTTCCTGGCCTCTTCTTCAGCAAACTTAGAAATACTTTTGAGGTCACCCATCTTCCGCAAGTACTCTCCTACATAGTTAGCCCTATAGTAATCATCAGTATTAGCAAGCCATGCGTAAAGGCTCGAGTCAGCAGCACCACACAGCCAATCCTTTTTCCCATGACCATCTTCTTGATAAGCCTTCTTGAACACCAAAGCATCATGAAGCCCATTCCAGTCTCTGTTAAACTCAACTATTCCGGCTCCTGAATGACCGAGACAGTCCCACACGGTACGAACTCTAACCGGGTTAAACCCTCTCCGAATCAGTTCATCCTTAAGCTGTGGTCCACTCTCCCCAGTAACACACAAACCATCTTGTGTCACCGTTGTGGGAATATTCACCACAATGCCTTTCCAAGGCCACACAAGTTTCTCGAACTGATCATCATCATTATCAACTAGCGGATTCTTAGCAGGCGTGGATGATGATCCTGTAGAGGCTCTTAAGAAGCGCTTGGATATTGAAGTTGTGGCGTAGTTTGCAAGATCTTTGACAAGGTATCTGGCGAGAGCACGGTGGCTAGCTTTCTCTGTGACACTTCTTTTCTTGGAGCTGCTATTGCCAACTCCAGAAGCGTGTTGGAGGATGTCAATGTAGAGACCAACCTTCTTCTTGGGGCAATAAGGACATGTGAATCTACAGTATGAGAGTTTCACCTCCAGCTTCCCACTCTTGAGGATTTTGTACAGATTGTTTTCAAAATCTGTCATTTTGTTCTTCATCGCCATCTTCTTGCATTATTGTGTGTTTTACATGTGACTACGAGCTGCGTAATTTCAAGTACATTGTAAGTAAATGCTAATGGCCATCATAAATTGTGGATTGAGATCCGGAATATTATGGTCACTCCTCTGCTTAGCTTCCTTAACTATGAAACATGCATGTTCTCATTTCTGGAGGAATTATGAAAATTGGGATCTAGGGTTCCGTAATGTTGACTATCGAATTATGAGATCCTCAAACTGAAAGGAAAAAACGTCGCCAATCCCAAAACCCAGAAGAAGAGAAATTGGGGGAAGAAAAAATGAATGTTAGTCAAAGAAGACGAAAGAGCTGTACCTGACAAGAGAAATAGCTCGAGACTTCATCAGACTCTGGAGATCATAAGAAACATTGTTCTGATTGATTTCGATTTTGTTGTTGTTCATGCCTGAGTTGTTTCCATTACGAGGTAGAAGCAAGGGCTTATTCCAAAGAAACCTTTGTTTCTCTCTCCACACGCGCTGTAGTAGCGCGTCATGTGTATCACAGTTACGGAAAAGTGAAACAAAAATTTAACTGGTTCATGGATTTTAACTGATTTACATCCCTTTATAAAATCCATATGAGATGAATGTTCTTTTATGGTAATTTTATGTCTCGTAATCTCTTACTATTACATTTGCATATAACTAAAATGGATCATGGAATCAAGAGGTAATCGAATCTGACTGTTACGAGATTATGGATTTCTAATTGTGACACTGATGATGTTATGAATTTATTAAGATATATATAACACATTCTTGATTCTTCCTCTCAATCAAAATCCCCAACTGTATCTCTTTTTTTTCTGGAGTTTCACAAAATGACGTTTTTTCTTCTTACAACCTCTTCTTAATTTGCTTCCACTAGTTTTCATTGTTCAGTCTACTTTTGCATATATCACATTCTGAGTAATAGTGATGTCTCATATATCGTACGTAATTTTTTTCTATACTAAGATTAGATCGCATGTACATATACAAATATAAAGATGCAACGAATAAAGGCGAGATAATCCGCACCCTCATCTAGTATACCTGACATGCAAAGTGACACGAGCCTATCGAATCGCTCTTTTGAACAAGTCAATGCTTGTTTTGTTATCATATTAAAAAATGGTTGTTTTGATTAAAATGCTTTGTAAATCAAAAATACAATCAGTGTTCTCCCAGAGTTCTAGGTCTCCTATTTAAAGACCTAAAACTAAATAAGAAAAACATAATACATTTTATCCAAAAGCAATTGTTAAGATAATATTTTCTGATTTCTTACCATTTTTCACCAGGTACGACTAATAAATCTGACATGAAGATCATTCAGTTGATAATTATCGTCTTCGTCATACTCTTGATATCATTTCTGGCTCCGATCAAAGCTCAAGCAGGACCTCAAGGTATCGTTGGTTGCCATACAGAGCTTGATCAATGCATGACCGCGAAGCAAGAATATCGATACATGTTCGTGTGGGAAAACTGTTGTCCTAAACTGAAAAAGGGAGGCCCACAACCATGTATGTGTTTGTTTTTTAAGTACCCTGCGCTTAAAAAACCTGCTATGGAGCTTATCACTTATTGTAAAGCTCCAATTCCCAAGTGTTAAAACGTTTATATATAAAAAAATTAACAACAATGTTTTGACCCTAGACTAGTAGTTTTGTACTAGTGTGGTCGCCATGTTATAATTTCTATACAGTGAAATAAAGTTTGTATTCTGGCCTTAATTTTCTTGATACAAACGATTTTTCCTCTACATATTTGGCATGTGGATGGCTCGACCATCATCCTCAAGCCTTTGGTTTGTAAGTGAGAGTTGGGGACACGATTTTGTTTGTTTCCAAAATTAATCAAAATTCACATCAAATTCAGTTTCTTTTCTTACACACACACACGCACATAGACAACGTCATTCCATGTGGAGGACTACGTTTACAAAGGCAAGAGATAGCGAAACTCGTATTCGTGAGGCCTCACTTCTACCAATTTGTTCGAAGAAGACTCACTTTTCTTGTTCAACGACTCGACTGTTTCCTTGAGCTGCAAGCAACGTTGTATCGGTGGTAGTTGGCTGCATATCCATTCAACTAACGACCCTTCATCCTCTGCGAAATCTCGCAGACGCTTGTGCAAGAATCTCGGAATCACGATCTTTTTCCTCCCCGAGATACCTATGGAAGCTTCTAAATACTCCGTTCTTGCTTTGATTAGTTCGTTCACCACATCTTCTGCTGAATATACTCTCAACTGTACCATAGATTCTTTGTTAGTTACTAACTTACTAATAATGAAGCAACACTTATAAAATCGCATGAAGGAAAAGGAGTGAACTTACTGCAGGCGAAGACCAATCTCCACGACAGAGCACGAACATTAGATTCGGTTCTACGCATCTGAATCCGTACCGTTTCTGTAATCTTGCTTCGCTTTCTCCAGTTGAGACCTTTTGATTCGGATGGGAAAAAAAAAACATTTCGATATCGATTCTTACAAATACAAAGGATTATATATGTGTAATGAAACATCAATACTTACATTGTCCCTAGGTTCGCATGGACTCTGCAAGATGGACCCTTCGATATCAAGAGCAGACAGTTGCGTTCCTCCCACGTCAATTTTTGCCTACAACACAAGTCATTGTTTGATTAAGTATGAGAAATTTAAGATGAATTTTTTTTTTGTTATGTATTAATTACCATTTTGAGAATAGTCAGTAGTTTCTCCTTTGATGAAGGTAGTCCGTGTTCCAAAAATCCCTGCAAACAATATGAAAGGTTTCCAAAAATCAAAACACTTGACTTTGTTACAAAATATAAAGATGCATGCTGATTACATTCATGACGCAGGCATTGTAAGTATTGATCCAGAATGCCATCTTTTTCTTGTGATTCAAGAAACTCAAATCAACTTTGCTCAACTTCTCCTTCAAAACCCTACATATGTGTTTTTTTTCATCAAGAGATCATGAAATCTTGTAATCTCAAGAGATAGTTATAAAAGGACTCTGAATCAAGTACCCCAAATTGACAAGAGAAGTTGAGCAATCGGATAGACGGCTAACATCGATGGAGGTTCGAGTAATATGGATGAAGTTCTTGTACTCTCCAATGTCTCTGAGAGTAGTCCCCATCACAGCTCCATAAGGATCAAGATTCGATGCGTTTTGATCATACACCGATTTGCGTTTGAAAGAAGCGTTCTTGAGATGCGAAAGGCTCAGCTTTGAAACCGTTCTCGACCCTTCTCGCTCGCGAGATGACTTGTTGAGTTCCAGGTAGATTCCCATCAGGCACTTCACAAGATCTTCCGACACTCCATTTGGTGTCGTCTCTTGCCCTTTCTTCTTCTCTTGCGCTCTTGTCTTTCCATCAGAAAATGTCGAAGAATGGACTCTTGATGAGAACTCCATGGCTGATCCAATTGAAGCATGAGAACGAGGACTGTTCTTTTGAATTTCCTTGACAACATGATGATCTCCATAAGTTTGGGACTTGGATCTTTGTTTTAAATCCTCAGATCTCATCTTTGTGATGTCATTGTCAGCGTCGCAAGGAAGATGATTCTGCCTTTGTAGTAGTCTCTTAGGGTTCAACATCCTCTCTTCTTCTCCTTCTCCTTCTTCAATACTGGCTTTGAGTTCTTCATTATCTTTTTTCTCACTATACACATCAAGTTTTAGGTCTTGGATCCGTTTCTCAAGGCACAGTATCTCTGCCTCAACCGTGCCAAGCTCCTCTATAAGCTCTTGAACCTAGATAATCTCATGAAAAAATGATGTTTCATTTCTTCATTCAAACATTTAAATCGGTGATAGTTTATAAATAGAAAGTAATGGACTTAATTATTACCTGAGGAGGAAGAAGAAGTAGAGAGAGACGAGGCTGAGACATGACTGGACCACGGAGCATATCACGTAAAGCCTTGTTGAGTGCTTGCTCATCCTCTAGCTCTCCTTGCATTTTCATCACGTCTCTTTGAAGACGACGTTTATGTTTCTTCTTTGCCAAGTCATTCTTCTCTTCTTCGCTCTTATAATCCTTCACTTCTGCTGGCTGCAACAAAATCAATCAGAACAAGAAAACAAAATTTAGATCAATGAAGATAACCTGGGAAGCAAGTAACTACTTATTCATCAAATTTTTATGTATGAGTTTTGACTTACTTGTTGTTGTACTTGATGGTTGTTTTGACGGCGGTGATGATCAAGAAGAGACGCTACGCTATGTTGATCTTTGGTTTCTTCTTCCACAAGTAAATCTTCCAGCTTCATTTTTAGTTCTAGGGTGGACTCGAGAGAAAATGCAAACTGACCATGAGTTTGGTGAAGCTTTAGAAAAGGAAATGGATGTGGGAAGACAAGCGATGATAAATAACAGTCGTGCCTGCAATCAAGTCTTCTGTTTGATTCACCCATTGGCTTGGATGTTTTTTTTTTAAGGATTAGGTGAAAGTCGTGAGAGCCATGATGAACAGAGAGTTTGATTCGGGTTAGCAAAGAACATTTTAATTTTGATAAAATAAGCTTTTTTAAGAATACAGCGCAACATGGCATTACCATCTCGTTTGACTAATTATAAAATTCTGTGGTGGTATGATTCGATTTGTTGTTTCTTTTATAAACAGGTGCTATCTTAGAATAAAGTTTAAAATTGGTTTACAATTTCGGCTTTAGTTTGAGGTCGGTTCAATGTAAATACCGAGTCTAACCGAAACCTACAGGCGGAGTTAGCCATTTTAATTTCCCGCTACACTGAAATGTGATTTCCCGCCAAACGTAGAAAGATTATTTCGAAGCTTTGAACGTGACGTTGACCTACCCGCTTCGATCGAAACTCTTCTGTGTCTCTCTACTTCTCTTCTCGTTGATTTTGATTTTTTCTTCCCTGAGTCAAATACGCTACGTTACTTTCCTTCTCTTAGATTTGTGGATCTTCGGGAATTTCAAATTTTGTTTGTTCGTTTATCTCGGGTGTTGGGGAATTTCATATACATTCCGCTCGTATAAGATCGGAAGGGATCGATTTGATCTTCCAGGAATCATACAAAACTTAACCAGGTAATTTCGAGATACATATCACAGATCAGGAACATGGGCTCCTCTCGGCTTAGATTTTTTCCTCGGAAATTGCGAAACTTGTTCGTCGGATCACTAGATAGATTGTTTGATTTTAGAGTTTTCATTGTTGATTCATGATGCTACCGAAATTGAAACTTGACATGTGATAGAACACAAATGGGAATTTCTTGTAGACCAAGTGTTTGATTAAATGTCTAAATGGGCGAGCTATATTCTACTCACTTTGATTAGTCAAGAACATTTTTCTAGCTTTGCTTTGACATGTTCTTTAGATTTTAGATGGTTTTGCATTTTGTGTCTAATATGATCAGTGTTCTCTGCCTTGGTTGTAGTTATCTTATACAATAATTCGACTGGTCTCTTCTCTCTTTTAATACAGTAGTTTGTTTTTCCATTTAGGTGTGGAAACTGAGATATACATCCATGGCTGGCCAGACTGATCCTCATATCTCACTATTCTCTCCACAAGAGGTCCTTCTTCTCCTCATTATTTTGTATGCGTTTCATTCTTCATGCACGGTATCTGCAAATGATATAATTTGATTAGCATTTCATACCAGATTGAGTTTATGGCAGAGGACGAACTGGTGGAGATTCTTCCGAATATGAAGATGGACCCACTCAATTTCATCAGTGTAATCTCTCCTGTTCTGTGCAATCCTGAAACCACTCCCACCAAAACCCTTTTTGTTAACCATGTGGCTAATATGTGAAACGGTGACAGGGGGATTTTGGTCGCTTCGTTCCTATGATGGCGACGAAAGTGCCTCTGTGGCTTGCAGTGGCACTGAAGAGGAGAGGAAAATGCACTTTCCGACCTCCCAGTTGGTTGTCTGTTGGTAAGACAAAAGTTGCAAATTTTGTAGAAAAACAAAATTTCACTGCAAGGGGATTAAGTATTAACTGTTTCTTGTTGCTTCTTTGTTTCCAAATCAGACAATCTGACTCAGATCTTGGAGGCAGAACGAGAATCTCCGTCGACATTTCAGGCATTACCATTTAGTTATGTGGAGATTGCTAGACTGCTTTTTGACCAGTAGGTTTTTTACACTCTGCTTGTTTCGTTACTCCCCTCTTGCATTGATAGTATCTGAGGGTACTGATGAGTATTTGAAAAATTCTCACTTTTGGCAGTGCACGTGACGATATTCCAGACATGTATATGGTAATTTTCATACATCTGCTGCCGTTTGTCTCCCATTCTAAACCATGTGTTTGAATCCTTGAAGCGTTTAGAGAGCTTGTTCATGGATTTTGTGTATAGGTAAGATCTCTAGTCGAGGACATTAGAGATGTGCGGCTTCACAAACTCGAGACTAACTTGGGATCATTTCAAGGTACATCTGCAGTAAAGGTAACTCTTTTTTTTTGTATTGCTTCTTCTTGACGTTACCTGTTATCTCATTACATCCCAAGAGTGATTTCAATTTAATTCAAAAATGCAGATCTCTAACGTATCGGCGATGGAAGTGAACTTAGTTCGCCCGTTTGTGAGAAGAGCGTTAGAAGCGTTCTATAAGCATGACAAGCCAGAGGCTGACGTAGACAGAGACGCTAGAAGTAGTAGTAGACAACCCCGTGAAGCTAACAATGAACCAAGGGTAAAGCTCTTCACACTCCCCACTCGTTTTCTTTTTCCTTTTAAGAGAAAACAGATACAAAACTCAACGCTTGTTCTTACAGAGACCTCTAAGGCAACGCTAAGGAGCTTATATGTGCTTGTCTCCTAATTGAGAAGAAGTCAGGTATCTTCTGTGCCAAAATTCGTGGAGCTCTCTGAGAAGTGAGAACGCCAATAGCATCCATCCCTGTGTTCTTTATCTATGCCTTGTTGCTCTTGTTCTCTCTGTCTTCACCTTTCGTATTTTGTATTTTGGCAGGCCCATATAGATTCATTTCAAGTATGTGGGCTAAAACAATGTCAGCTATATCAATGAACACCCAATCTTTTCTCAAAATCTAATTATGAAAAAGGTTCCAATATCAAAATTCAACTAATTACGAACCTTTTTTGTTTTTTTTAAGAGGATATATTGATCATGAGTAAAGCCGCCATGCCGTTGATAGTTCTGTTTTCTCTAGGAATGATATTGCATTTGTTACACATGCTATAAATGTGGAGTCAAAGTTTTTTTATACTAAAACAGTAAACAAACTGATTAATATTAAGACACGCAATCATATAATTAGTTTTCCATAATGAATGAAGCCGGCTTTGCGTCCTTATCCTTCTCCGTTATCAGTAAGCATTTCTGTTTCTTCATGCTACAATACAATCAGTGAGTGATACGTCCCTCTTCACATTGATCTCAATCTTCCTCTACCCCCACCAATTCCGATGTCCCTCGCCGTCCATGATCCCTCTTCTTCATCTCCGGCGATTCCGGTGAAGGTCATTCCTCTCCAGCATCCCGATTCCACGTCTTCTGATCCTCGTCGCTCCTCCATTTCCTTCCATGATTTCTTCTCCCGATGGACGGCGAAGATCAAACGTATGACGGCTTTCGACTGGTTGGATACGATATTTCCTTGCTTCCTTTGGATTCGGACTTACCGGTGGCATCAATACTTTAAGCTCGATCTCATGGCTGGCATCACCGTCGGCGTTATGCTTGTTCCCCAGGTAATTTCTGTTTCTTACTTTCCGATTGATTCTCTTCTGTTGTTTCATATAACAATTCTTTTGTTTTATTGATTTTACTTCCTATATTCGTTTTTATAGTTTCGAATAACTTTGGTTTTAATGGATTTGAGCAGGCGATGTCATATGCAAAGTTAGCTGAGCTTCAACCAATATACGGTCTATGTGAGTTCATCGTGATTCAGACTCTTTTGTGAATTCATCATTGTGATAGTAAGCTATTCTGCTTTAGCATTTTGATTGGTTGTATCTGTTGGAGCAGACTCCTCATTTGTGCCGGTATTTGTATATGCCATATTCGGCTCATCTCGTCAGCTTGCAGTTGGACCTGTAGCGTTGGTTTCTCTTCTCGTCTCTAATGCTTTGAGTGGAATTGTTGATCCGTCTGAAGAGGTTTACACTGAGCTTGCCATTTTGTTGGCACTTCTGGTTGGAATATTTGAGTGTGCCATGGGGATTTTAAGGTAATATTAGTCTTCTCTTCACTGCTACTCTTTTAGCTTACTTGTAATGGCATGCCCTGCATTTCTTATTCTAGTGTTAGAAAAAGTCGTTCGTTTGTGTTTCCAACTCAGGCTTGGATGGCTTATTCGTTTCATAAGTCACTCAGTCATTTCTGGATTTACAACTGCTTCAGCTATTGTGATTGGATTATCCCAGTTGAAGTACTTCCTGGGCTATAGCGTTTCTCGGAGCAGCAAGATTCTGCCAGTGGTTGAGAGTATAATAGCTGGAGCTGATCAGGTGAAAATTTGTTTTTCGGATACTCTGTTCTTTTGCCAAGGCCCTTTGTCCTCTTACTAGAGATATTCGTCTGCAGATTCTTTTGGGGGTTGCAATTCTTATGGTTCAATAGACCTCTTATCTCTTATGTACTTGTATAACTTCATCTGGTTTTCTGTTTTGCAGTTCAAGTGGCCACCTTTCTTGTTGGGGTCTACCATTCTGGTAATCCTTCTAGTAATGAAGCATGTGGTAAGAGCCGTGTTCTTTCCTATGTTAGCAGAATAGTTTGTGCTTTCCCTTACTTTTGTGCCGTCATCTTTTGTTTGATGTTCCATTGCAGGGAAAAGCAAACAAAGAACTTCAGTTCGTACGAGCAGCAGGGCCGCTCACAGGGCTTGTTCTTGGTACAACCATTGCAAAAGTATTCCACGCACCTTCCATATCACTGGTCAGATTCCTAAAGAACCAAATTTTCTTATATATGTCCTAATTGGAGCTACATATTTTGAAGTGTTTGCAGTAATTGTAAAGTTTTTCGGGCTTTTCAGGTGGGAGATATACCTCAGGGCCTTCCAAAGTTTTCTTTCCCAAAAAGTTTTTATCTTGCAAAATTGTTGCTTCCAACAGCGGCTCTCATTACTGGTGTGGCCATCTTGGTGAGACCTAATCGTCATTGACTTCCTCCAAGTAGACATAGGCGAAGTGCAGCTGAACATATCATTAAAAATCTGAAATAATGGCTGAGATATAGAGTATTCTGACCTCTTGAAAAGCAGAAGAGAGAGTTTCTTGATTAGGTTCAGCTGCAGTTTGCGCATGTTTCGCTGTTTACTGATGTGCTAGTTCGACTTTTTATCCAGGAATCTGTCGGTATTGCCAAAGCACTAGCAGCAAAAAACGGTTACGAGTTGGACTCAAATTCAGAGGTAAGAACGCTATAGAATAAAGAATATATAGTGCTAGCCCAAGTGTTACCATCAAATGTTTTGTTGCACGTGGTTCTTTTGATCTTCACTTCTCATTGTCGTTAAGAGTTCCAATTGTTTATCCCGTGACTTGGCAGTTGTTTGGTCTTGGTGTTGCAAATATATTTGGGTCATTGTTTTCTGCATATCCGACTACAGGTACGTTATCTTGACTCTTGAGGTTAGTAAAGCCATAAGACAGTGACAATATGTAATGTGTGTTTTCTATGATAGATTCAAAAGAAAAAGTGCTTATTCTGACTTCCAAGTTGTAGCATGAATTTGATGAATCTGCCTATGCCTTGAATGTATCATATAGGATCGTTTTCTAGGTCAGCGGTGAATAGCGAAAGTGAAGCTAAGACTGGTCTATCAGGCCTTGTAACAGGCATCATCATTGGATGTTCTCTACTGTTCTTGACTCCAGTTTTCAAATATATACCACAGGTAGGTCTGTGTTGATGTTTCTACTTCACGTAAATACCTTATAAATCTGAAACTCTGGCTTCTAACTCCTGCCTATTTCTCAAATTCAGTGTGCTTTAGCAGCAATAGTGATATCTGCTGTTAGTGGCTTGGTAAGTTCAAATCAACCCACCAGAATAGAATCCGGCTTGGGCTTTGTTTATTTAGCAAAATTATCCACATATAATCTTTCTGGATGTTTACCATATTAGGTGGACTATGAAGGGGCAATCTTTCTGTGGCGAGTGGACAAGAGAGATTTTACTCTTTGGACCATCACTAGCACCACCACTTTGTTCTTTGGAATAGAGATCGGGGTTCTCATTGGTGTGAGTATGTTCAGATTCACTTAGCAAGATTTCTGCAGCTGATCATATCTCTTTGTTATATAGAGGAGTGATGATATTGAGAAGTAGAATAATGTATACGAATTGTGCAAAGGACTCACAAAGTTGCAATGCTTGGAATTTTCAGGTTGGGTTTTCACTTGCATTTGTTATACACGAGTCTGCGAATCCTCATATTGGTAAGATGAGTCTATGTTCACTTTGCTTGTTTTGGTTCTCAGAATGGTTTCATCTTCTTGATAACATTCCAAATACATATGCTTGGCAGCTGTCTTGGGGCGTCTTCCAGGGACCACTGTGTATAGAAACATGAAGCAGTATCCAGAGGCATATACTTATAATGGGATTGTGATTGTACGAATCGATGCTCCCATATATTTTGCCAACATAAGCTACATCAAGGAGAGGTGAAAATGACATTCTGTTCCAGACTTGATTTGTCTTATGATCCAGAGATAACTAATACAAACCCGCGTTTCAAAATTGCAGGCTACGAGAGTATGAAGTAGCTACCGACAAACGCACAAACAAGGGACCAGATGTGGAGAGGATCTACTTTGTTATCCTGGAATTGTCTCGTAAGTCCAACGTATCTGATTCAGGATTCGACCTTACACATAGGTACTTGATGAATAATTGGTCCCTTGGATGTTGTAATGCAGCTGTCACATACATAGACTCAAGCGCCGTAGAAGCCTTGAAGGAATTGTATGAAGAGTATAAATCAAGGGACATTCAGGTGGCTTATATCATCTATCCTAAATTTAGTATTTGTTTCTAATATGGGAACACCTTGATGATCGCTGTGTTGGTTTCCAATGGAGCAGCTTGCGATTTCGAACCCAAACAAAGAGGTTCTCTTGACACTGGCAAGATCAGGCATAGTGGAGCTTATTGGCAAAGAATGGTACTTTGTGAGAGTACACGATGCCGTCCAAGTCTGTCTTCATTACGTCGAGAGCTCGAACCAGACTCCCACGACCGTAGAACAGAGCAGCAATTCAAGCTTATGGAGAAGGCATGGCGCGAAAAACTCATCATACAGTGAAATTGAATCCGATACTAACCTAGTTTTAAAGGAGCCATTGTTGTCCACCGAGAAATAAAGAAAATTCAGCACTCCGATTCTTTCTACAGTACTGTATATGTTATGTCGTTATTAATAAGACGTTCACTTGTAGAGATCCACATTCTCTGTTTCAGCCATAAGAGGATATTTCTTCTTATGCATGTGTATAAAGGAACCGCAATGGAAAATTGGAAGAAAGATTTATTGATGTTTTAAAATTCACACTGTAAAGATAAGGCATAAGATAATCAAAGTAAATCCTATTCTGGTCGCCAAACTCCTAATACGATAAGAATTAGCGACTACTATATACTAAAGGCAGTAACGCATTTATAAAAGCCTAAAACGATGTCACCGGAGATAAAGGCTTCAAAATGCATCTGCCGCATTATGGTTTGGGTCCAGCTTTATCGTCGTGAAGATCCTCCTGATTCCCAGAAACTTGAGCTCTTTCCCTGGATTCCAATTGGAGTCTGAGATGGTTCCTCAGCCTCATCAACTTCTCAGCCGCGGCTTTCAATTGCTCCGGATTCATCGAATCGCATAGCTTGTCATCTTCCCACCAGAACTGTTGACGCGGCGGATCCTCCGACTCATCATCCTCCGCCTCCGCATTTTGTTCAGCATCCTCTGGCGCCACCGGAACAGGACTCTTATCCTCGAGAAAAGTTTGAACCACGGATTCCGCAGAGGGATAGCCGAAGGTCTGTATAGAGACGTCCGACTCGGAGGGAGGAGGAGTGACGAAGATCGCGATTCGGGTGGAAGGATCCTCGGAGACGAGTTTTGCTGCTTCACGGAAGAGATCGTCGCGTAGCTCTGCGAAACCAGCGGATCCTGATTCTCTTCTATCTACCTTCTCTACCATCTCCGTATCCGTCTTCCTCTTCTTCATGTCTCCCATTGTAACGTTTCGACTTCACAGAGTTTTTTAGTTCACTGTATGTTGTTTTGCATTCATATATAGATCTGCCAGGAACCGACTTCGAGCGGAAAAAACGATGATTCTTTATTCATCATCCACGTGTACGGTGGAGATGAGGTCTTTGAGTGACCCGAAACCCATTTCTAGTAAGATTAGGAATTAGAAACCGACTCAAATTAGGAAGAAAAAAAAAAGAAACCGACTCAAATTAGGAATTAAATGTTTGCAAATCCTTGATCAGGTAACCCTTGATATCTATGTCGTTGAGTGAACTAAATCCCATTTCAAAAACTGACTACTCTAGAGGTTCAGACACTATCTTCACTAGTTAAATATAGTCTGTTTGGAAATTCATCCGCCATTTATTATGGATTAGCATGCTTTGCATAGCTCAAACCAATGCCTCTAATTATGTCTGTAATGGGAGTCTCCGTAGATTGCTAACACCAACCAAGACTGATCTCAATTCCGAATCAAAATTGTACCACTCAAATCCTGCCGATACTCTATCTCTTTCCATGCTCTGTTAATCTAACACCACTCTCCCGATAGTACAGGGCCGAGATGTGTTGAATTGTCTGCTTGCATCTGTTCTCCGACCGTTTAGGTAGCTATCTATCCACATGTTTCCATTATTGCAGATTCCATTACATCATATGGATTGTGATTATTATTTGAGAAAATTTTGTAGTTTTAAACTTTTCAAATAAATCAGAATAACTATGGATATACTAATATATCATTGTTGTTTGGGAGATTCCAGAATAGGTATACCATATTTGAAGAAAGTGTGCCTGTAAAAAAATGTTGGAGAGGCGTGGGGATATCAATTCTGTGTTATAGTTAGAGTTAAAAACTTTTTTTTTTTCAAAAGGAGCAAAAAAAGAAATTGCATCAAACTACTTTAGGAGATATGACAAAGTAGATATGTGGAGACTGTTAGTTGAAAGATTAATCAGGTTAAGCTGCTGGAAGGGTCTCAATAGTGAACTCATGTGACCAGATTATGGAAGTTGTTTCCAATTTCTAGTCATGTAAGTCAAATAATATTTCTCTTTTTTCTTTAGTCCGAAAGATATTGCAACGCAGCCCACAGTAATGTAAACTGATGACCTAGTCAAAGTGCTTATCGACTATCGTGTATATCTTATTACAAAGAGAGATTAGATTCATTGTGTACCAGAGCACGCAGCTGGTTTCGTTGAGATTTTGGGTTTTCCATTATTTGTAAACGTGACACGTACTTTGGATAAAACACTAGCATATATATATAGAGAGAGGAAGTCATCTTGAGTAGTTGCAATTTTCTTCGCCATGAATGAATATTATTATTCATTCGTGTGATCTTAAGTCATTATAAAATTAGCTGGGAAAATGCTATACGTTATCTTATACCAATTCATTCTCACTCTATTTCTTTTTCATAAAGTTGATCATGAACCCGTCGCCGCCTCAGATTCATGATCATTTTTATTATGGTCAACATTCATAATTAAATATTTAGCACGTATTTAGTATTCTTGACTATTCTTCTTGCAACTCTTGTGATGTGTCTTTAGGTATATAAAATCAAACTCTGTCTGTAACGTTACAATTTACAACAACCTGTCGATATACATGACACATGTGTGTATCAGTGTGTGATGAATGCGCACTCAGGTCGATTTGTCCGAAAGCTCGACTAGTGTCATTTAAGACCGCCCAAACTTCCACGATCTGATGTACGTTAATTTAGAAGTACTGCTAATTAATCATTAACAAGAAAGATCCCATACAAAGTCTGTCTTAGGCCAAAATATTTCTGAAGCATGTATTTTGTTCATCTTATAGTCATTAACTCATTACTCATTTGTTATATATTATCCGTTATTTTTAAACACTCAAAATTTCATTATTGGTGTGTTGTATTATGTGAAACATTTATTTAAGTTGTTTTTTTTCTTTTCATGCTTCTAAAATTGGTAATCTTCTACCAAATTTATCACAACTTACAATTTAGAAAGTTATCATTAAACGTAGATATAACTTAACTTATAACATGCCCAAAATTGTGTCTACAAAACAAGTAAATCACCAAAAAATCAAATCAAAATCATCATGATCTAACCTAAGCTGTACCTAACATCGTTGACGAAAGGGAAAATAAATATAAAAAATCTTGTACTACTGTTTGTTGTCCATAGCCATACTCCACAATCATATACTATCTAACTATAGAGAAATAGAAAATTTGTTGTAATTTAACATTCATTGACTGTATCTTGCATACTACTATATATACTTGCCTCTAAAGAGAACATTAAACTCAGAGAAAAATGAAGACTTATCTATTTCTCTTTCTCATTTTCTCCCTTTTCATATCATTTTCCTCTGGCGAGCAGTGTGGTCGTCAAGCCGGAGGAGCTCTCTGCCCCAACAATTTTTGTTGCAGCGAGTTTGGATGGTGCGGTAACACCGAAGCTTACTGTAAGCTGCCTGGCTGCCAAAGTCAGTGCACTTCCGGCGGTACTCCTCCCACTGGTGATCTTTCGGGTATCATCTCAAGATCTCAGTTCGATGATATGCTGAAGCATAGGAACGACGGTGCTTGTCCCGCTAGAGGTTTCTACACTTACGACGCCTTTATCACCGCCGCTAAGTCCTTCCCTGGCTTCGGCACCACCGGAGACACAGCCGCAAGAAAGAAGGAGATCGCCGCCTTCTTTGGCCAAACCTCCCACGAAACCACCGGTAATTCATTAACACAAACAAGATTAGTTTCAAGTTTATGATTACAAGAGACTTTTTGCTTGTAATGTTTAAGATATTCCGTTTTACTTTTAGAATGAACAATTTGTTCTAAAATAATTCAGATCAAATATGTTTTAAAAATATATATACAATACTATAAAAAAAAATTATCTGAAAAATATAAGCAAACAAGCAAAAGAATCGTTCAACGAATCATATAAATATTCCAATTCAAAATCAAAAGCTTTAAAGTTGTGACCATATATATAAATAATGTTTGCAGGCGGGTGGGCCACGGCACCGGACGGACCATACTCATGGGGATACTGTTTCAAGCAAGAACAGAACCCATCTTCAGACTACTGTTCACCGAGCGCCGAGTGGCCATGCGCATCAGGCAAACGCTACTACGGAAGAGGACCGATGCAGCTGACGTGGAACTACAACTACGGACCGTGCGGTAGAGCCATTGGAGCTGACTTACTCAACAACCCCGACCTTGTGTCCAACGACGCAGTGATCGCTTTCAAAGCCGCCATTTGGTTCTGGATGACTCCTCAGTCCCCTAAACCGTCGTGTCACGCCGTGATCGCCGGCCAGTGGCAGCCTTCAGACGCCGACCGTGCTGCTGGTAGGTTACCGGGTTACGGAGTGATAACGAATATTATCAACGGTGGATTGGAGTGTGGACGTGGCCAAGACGCGAGAGTCGCGGATCGGATTGGGTTTTATCAAAGATACTGTAACATATTTGGAGTCAACCCTGGAGGAAATCTTGACTGTTACAACCAAAGATCCTTTGCTTCTGTTAACTTCTTCCTCGACGCTGCTATTTAAAACGTATAGTGTGTTATTGTATGCAGCTTTGTATCCGAACAATAAGGGAATATCAAACTAAATAAAACTCTCCGAAAGTACTGAAGTTTTATGTGGGCTTTTAATTGGGCTTTGGTAGAGATTACACAGATGCTTCGATTACAGGTCAAATAGTGTTTGACAGTTTCAGTGCCGACACGTTTCGATAACGTGTCGCTATCTCCAGCGTCGTTTTCGAGTGTTTATCTCTTTTTAATTTCGGACTTTCGATACATCAAGCCGGTTGAGTCCGTGTAAACCCAATAGAAAACTCGAATAAATCCACTGAAAGAGGAAATTTAATTCGCATCAACCAAATTTCGTAGACATTTAAATCTAGACTAAAATTAGAAACTAAAGCAATTAAACCGGAACTGTATTTGGATTGGACACCTATAATGCAGAGATCACGGAGTCCAAAGATCTTTTAACTGTAGAGGATTAATTCCAAAACATTGACATGTCGACGACTAAAACCGAAAATATCTAAAATTTACAGCACCGAACCAAATAAAAAGGAGGATGATGATGAAAGGCCGTTTCTTACTCTTGTTCATCGTTTTCTCTCTCTCCATCTTCTCTTCCTCTGTGATCGCTAGTGAATTGGGTTTCTGCAACGAAGAAATGGCCTTGCTAGGCGGAGTTCGTGATGTCCCTGCTAACGAGAACAGCGGTGAGGTCGAGAGCCTCGCTCGTTTCGCTGTCGATGAGCACAACAAGAAAGAGGTTCCCATTTCTATCATCATCTTCGATTTCTCCTCTCTTTATCGTCTCTATATGCGTTAAAGCTATGCTATTTGCTCGATCCAGAGCGCGATTAGAGCAATTTGTCCGACTTTTCCTCTTGATCTCGCTTTTTTTTTTTCAGTTACTTTAAATCAAGTCCTGTTAATGTTTTCAGTGATCTAAGTTTAGATCTCATTCTGGGGATGAATGCGTTAATATATGTATCTGATTATGTTTTTGGAACTGTGATCTGATTTTGGAATGACTTTATGGTTTCTTCGTTATTTCTTCCCTGTGGTAGAATGCGCTGCTCGAGTTTGGGAGGGTGGTGAAGGCGAAAGAACAAACAGTCGCCGGAACGTTGCATCACCTGACTCTGGAGATAATCGAGGGAGGGGAGAAGAAGCTTTACGAAGCAAAAGTGTGGGTGAAGTCATGGTTGAACTTTAAGGAGTTGCAGGAGTTCAAGCCTGCCACTGATTCCCCTGCCATTACTCCCTCCGATCTTGGCTGCAAGAAAGGTATTAACCTGAGTAAATAGCTGATAAGTGGATACATACATATGTAAATAAAGCAAAAGGTTGTGATAACGGAAAATTGGGTTTTTTTTGTGTGTGGATCAGATGAACATGGATCTGGATGGAGGGAAGTTCCAGGAGATGATCCAGAAGTGCAGCACGTTGCTGAGCACGCTGTCAAGACCATTCAGCAGAGGTCTAACTCCTTGTTCCCTTATGAACTTCAGGAGGTTGTCCATGCTAACGCTGAGGTATGGCTTTGCTTCACTTTGACATTGCAACTAATCAAATTTAGTAGTAAATCTGAATTAGTGTTGAAGTTAGTAGTAGCGAGACCTTAAGCAACATTGGTGTCCTAGTTGTTGGTGATTGCAAGATTTGATGATCAATGGCAAAAACTATGGTTTCAGGTCACAGGCGAGGCTGCAAAATTCAACTTGCTTCTGAAGTTGAAGAGAGGAGATAAGGAGGAGAAATTCAAGGTGGAGGTTCACAAGAACAACGAAGGCGCTCTTCATCTCAACCACATGGAGCCACACCATGACTAGTTCTCTTCTCTCTGTTTATGTAATATTATCGAGTGTTTGCTTTACTCTGTAAGATATTTCAACTTCTGATGCAACCATAAACCCTTAAATATTTAAATAAACATATCAGGAGAATAAATTAAGTTCTTTTAGAGCGCGTACAATCGTTGATTCATACAAGAAACGGAAACAGGAAAGAAGATTTTGATGACAGAAGAAAGAAGCATTTCCTAGACAAGCCACTAAAATGCTACTACTCTATTTATGTCCTATTGCTTCTGCTTTGCCTCAACCTTCTTCGTCATAATCTTCCTCCTCCTCCTCGTCTATCCTCTTTCCCAAACTTACAAGCTGTGCTGGATCTATTTTGCCCAGCTCCATAGGCCAGCCCGGATATTCCTCTGAGGCTGTGGCCGCGTCTGTGGCTGCGACTGGTGTCGGTTTGGTCTCGTTTAGGTCGAGAGATTCAGCATTGAGATCAAAGTCAATGCCTTCTTTTGGACTTTGAAGTTTTTGCTTGGTGTCTTCGTTTGATGCTTCAATGCCGCCGTCGACATCCTTCTTCTGTGGTGATGACTCTGAAGCATGCGTCTGGATACAGTCTTGAGGAGGTTGCAGTTCCCCCATGGCGGTCTCAAGTTCCATCTCGCGGTTCAGATTCTCTCGTTCGGCTGCTCTTGCAGCTCGTCCACGACCTCTTCCTCGTCCTCTCCCTCTACCACCCCTGCCACTGGGCTTAGCACTTCCTATCTCTTGCTGCAATGATTACCACAATTCAATGGATCTGAGAGAGCTTCACATGAATAGACACGAAAATGAAATGGACAAGAAGAATGCTCACCGTTTTGCTTTTCTTATATTCCTCATCGCTATCATTCACTTCGTCACTGATAGGTTTCCTGATTCAATCAGCCATTTCGCATCAGCTTGACACAACGGGACTTATCAAATGAATAAACAGAGTATATGGAGCCAAGAGATCTAACCTTCTCTTGGAGATGCTGCGATCCTCCATGGTAGCATCACCACTCCCAGGGCCTTGCGCTTGGCCATAGTCAGGGACCTTACCCACAACTTCCCTCAGAAAATCAAACACATTATATCTTTCCACACAATGTTTTCTGTCAAAAAAAAAAAAAAAAAAAAAAAAAAAAAAGCCAAGAGACCTTTAATAAGCGTGGATGCACTAGTATAACCAAAATTCGTATGAAGAAAAGACCAAAAATGAACTTTATACCAAATTTGTGGTATAAAGTTCTTTAACATCAACAACATCCTCTCGGTGTTGGACGCAGTCGAAATATGGCCTATGAGTTGGAAGCTCTTCCGCTTAACAACATCATAGTAACTCTTAAAACCAGAATATAAATGCATTCAAGCAAACCCTTTCATGTTCTTTAGGCACTGACGAGGTTAGAATGCAGAGAGGTGCAAAAATGAAGGTTAAGGAATCAGTTTCTTACAAGTGCAATGAGCTCACGGTCTTGGCTCCTCTTTCGAGAGTAATCTCATATGTACGATCGCAAAGGTCTTGCAAGAACAACTCCAAAGACTTCGCTGTAGTAACAGAACGTGAAACTTAGCAAAACAAGGTATAACAACTAACAATTTGCCTTAAAACTGAAATCAACGATAGCAATATGACTCACAAACTAAAACAGGCACTGCCAAAGCTATCTTGCCAACATCCTCATCAGCTTGCATAATCTTTTTAATACGAGCCTGAGAATTGCGCATCAAAACAAACACAATTATAAGTGGCAAGAAACAAACAGCAAAAATGAGAAACACTAAGTGTGCTCAGTACAATCATCGATTATTTTATGTTAACATTCAACGGAAAGTTCAATTCTGTGTATATTCTAGCCTCAGCTCAGACGAAATGAGCCATCATCAACACTATATCTAACGTATGAAATCGTTAGAGGTTTAACACAACAAAAATGCTAACCAAATCTAAACTGGAAGTTTCAATAAAGTTAGAAAACAATTTTTTGATATAAAAATTCCAGCTTCAAAGAGAGACAATAATCCAGTATCAACACTATCTAACCTATGCAATCCACCACTAGCTGAATGACCCCCAATATATTTATAGAGGCCACGTTTTTGAGTATAAGTCACCTAAATTCCTACCCGAATCGAGAGATTCGTCAATTTACATGAAACCTTTCAATACATACCACTAAAGATGTAACAGCGAGAGAAAAATAGGAAGAAAATGATTGCTATGTCATATGCTAAGACCAATTCGCCAGAAATGAGATACCTAATCTAAAATTCGTCTTAAAGCACGGGATTTATCCCTAACAGTGTTGGAAATTCGATCCAAAAACTACAGATCGAGTGTTTTCGAGAAATTGGAATTCAAATCCCGAGATAATCAAATTCGAGACGGAAAACTTACAGCTGGGAACCGAGTATCGAGCTTCTTCCTCATGGTCTGAAATCACAATCCAGAAGCCGTTCGGAGGAGAAAACGCAAAACCACCACAAATATTTTACAAAAAGTAAACCGACCCTTCGGATAAAAAACCGAGGGCAAATCTTATGTACAGAAGAAACTCCTTTTCTATGATCGGAAAGTAATTCTTCGTCTACTTCATGGATACGCACACTACCAGATCCGGCGACGGCGGTTTCCTTGTTACAATCTCCGCGATAGCAATAAACATAAATTTAAATAAAAACAAAGATTTTGGTCCAAAGAAAAAAATGGTTTGACGACATGGTTAATTTAAGGGGAACACAAATACTTTTACTTTGCCGATTTTTATTTATTTTCACACTCTTTTTTATGGGATATATTAATATTTTGTTGAGGATAAATGCTTGTGTCTTGTTGGCACACTGCACATATGTCTGACCAGAGAAACATTTATTTTTTGGAAGATTTTAATCACTGCTTAGTTATAACTATACTGAAATAAATCAAACCGGTAATTGGTTTTGTAGCAGATGAACGCAAACTCTATTCGCTGCTTGTTGGGCTTTTCTTTTAATATGTTGTTGGGCTTTGGTTTAATTTTGGGTATTTGTCGGTTTGGTTTACGTCGGTGTCATCGTTCTATATAATGCGAACTCTTGATTTCAGAGCGTCGATTGCTCTTTACGTAGAAACTGCTAGAAGGAAAAATCAATGGCTCTAAGGATTAAAACCGTGGGAAGTTACAATACTCACCAAGACTACTTTGTCGATTTCTTTGGAGCCGATTTGCTCGTCACCGTAACTCCGACTCCCTCCGTCATTAGGAAGTGGATCCACCGCGTCGTCTTCAACCATCGTCGTTCGCAGAAGACTAAACCTCTCGTCGTTGGAGTTGGCGTCCAGTGGACACCACCGGCGTATCACGAAACTCCGGCGGAGACTCTCCAGCTATGTGTTGGTAAGCGTTGTATCATCATCCAGCTGTCTCACTGTGACCGTGTCCCCCAAATCCTCCGTAGATTCCTCGCGGATCCAGAGACAACTTTTGTCGGCGTGTGGAACAATCAAGACGCGAGAAAGCTGGAGATATCAACGCATCGGTTGAAAACCGTGGAGCTTCTTGACATTAGGCACTACGTGGAAGATTCGGAGGGGTATAGCCTGAAGCGTTGCTCGTTTGAGAAGATTGTTGAGGCATGTATGGGCTATCGAGGAGTGAGGCTAGATCCGAGGATAAGCATGAGCGATTGGGGAGTCTACGACCTTTCGCATGAACAGATTCTCCAGGCGTCAGTGGATGCGTATGTGTGCTGCAAACTCGGTGTTTGGGAAAGTCTATGGGAAGTTTGAGGATAAATATCATCAAAGGAATGTCCCCAATGTTGCAAATCTTTAATCTTTCTTCTGTTAGGGTTTATCGCCTAAATAATGAGTAGAAAATCTTACAGCTGTTTTTGATAATTAGATAATCCATTGTTCAAGCCTGGTTCATTCGCCAATCTGCGTTAAATCTCTAACTAATTGAAAAATACCAAATTCAATTTCTTTTCGTATTTTCATCAAATATTTTTGATCAGATCTCAACCAAAATTTAAAAGATATCAATTTTGTAATTACTCGGGCGTGGTGTTTTGCGTGTCTTGCACTCGTGTAACAAAGGTCTGCTGACAATGCGACAGTACATGAATCTCAACCGTCCGATTATAACTGTAAAACTGCGTAAGAAGATCAACGGTGAAAATTCGTTCAGTACGAAAGCCTAAAAAGCAACCACCGGCTAATAAAACAAAGATTTGGGTCAAAAGAAAAAATGGTTTGACGAGTTTGACGACATGGTTAATTTAAATTTTAAATGTTATTTAAAAATATACGGGGGAACACAGATACTTTTTCCCTCTCTTTTTTATGGGATAATATTTTCGTGAGGAATGGATAATGCATGCTTGTGTCTTTTATTGGCACATAAGTTAACCATTACTGAAATAAATCAGATCAGTACTTATAATTGGTGACTTGTAAGTTGTATCAGATGAAGGCATGTCCTGGACAGACTCTATTCAAAACGTATAGCGACATCGATCGATACATACTCGTTGGGCTTTGAATTCATTTTGGGTTTATGATTAGGTTATCTTTTACTCGTAGTATATACGGTAAGTTATATGATCTATGTCAAATCTATGGTCGTATTTCCAGTTAAAAATTTACAAAGGTAGGTAGGTTTAGGAAGATACGAATCTAACAAATTGATCCATTAATTAACGTAATCGGATAAAAAAGTAAACTTTACTAAAAATATCATCATTAACTTCTTTCCAAAAAAATCAACGCTGCGATATGTGCGAGAGGACAAAAAAAAAATACAATATCAACAATAAAATAAACACATCTCAACCGTCCAAATTAAACTGCATCCAAAAACAACTTATTATTAAATCTAATTTCCTCAAGAGTTCAAATTATGTAAATACCCTCCGAGGATAACACAATAAAGAGAGAGAGAGGGTAAAAAAGAGAAGAAGCGTTCATTCGAATTCTTCAAATCAGAGAGAAAAATAAATGGCTCCGACGATCAGAACCATCACTAATTACGGTACTCACCAAGAGTTCTCTGTCGATTTCTTTGGAGACGACTTGATCGTCACCCAAACCGAGACTCCCTCCGTCATCAGGCGATGGATCCGAGATGTCGTCTTCTTCCACCGTCGCTCGCGCATTTGTAACCCTCTCGTGGTTGGACTCGGCGTCTACTGGACACCGGCAGATTATCACTCCGACACTCCATCTGATAGTTATCACTCCAATAATCCATCGGATTATCACTCCGACTCTTCTTCACCAGATCGTTACTACGCCGATTCTCATCCGGCGAGGTACGATTCTCCGCCGGCGAGATACGATCCTCCGGCGGAGACTCTCCAGTTATGCGTGGGTAAACGGTGTATCCTCATCAAGTTGTCTCACTGTAGCCGTGTCCCTGATGTCCTCCGCAACTTCCTGACGAACCCAAACACAACTTTCGTCGGTGTTTGGAATAGTCAAGACGCGAAAAGGCTAGGACTATCTAGACATCAGCTGGAGATCGGAAAACTTATAGACATAGTGAGTACGCTAGAGATCCTGATGGTGGGAGTCTGAAAGGTCTTTCGTTTGAGAAGATTGTTGAGAAATGTATGGGTCATCGAGGAGTGAGGGCAGATAAGGAGATAAGCATGAGTGATTGGAGTGTTGACTACCTTACTATTGATCAGATCCTTCAGGCTTCAATAGATGCTTACGTTAGCTTCAAGATCGGTGTTTGGGATCGTCTATGGCAAGTTTGCAACTAATTTATTGTTCCGAATCTTTAATCTTTCATCTTTCTTTTGTTAAGTTGTGGGAGAAAAATACAACTGTTACTTTCACTCGTTATTAATCTCTTTCATTACAGAATTAACTGATGGATTAAAGAAAAAACAACTATTTAAACACTCTATGCTCCTTGAAAGTTTGCCTATTTATAAAGTTGGTGATATAAAAGACTGTCATTGATACTGAGCTGACCTGTCTAACTGTAAAAAAAAAGAACAAAGAAAAAAGGATGGAATGGTATGGAATACAATCAATACATCAACGATTATGACTAAACAAATATTTTTCCCTTTGTTTTATTTGATTATATCATAAGCTCTTCAAGCTAATGAATCAAAAATAAATCAACTAATTCGTTCTAAAAATATCACATTCAATTTAATTTTCCATATCCTCATCGAATCTTTTTGATCAGATCTGAACCAAAATTTCGAAGTTATCCATTGTATAATTACTTTTAGGGGTGTTTTGCGTGTCTTGCATTCGCATAATAAAGGTCTGCTGACGATGCGACAGTACATGTATCTCAACCGTCCGATTATAACTGTACAAATGCGTAAAACGATAAACGGTTAAGATTCATTCAGTACGAAAACCTAAAAAGCACCACCGGCTAGGCCTGGGCGTTCGGGTTTCGGTTCGGGTTCGGGTCGGTTCTATTCGGGTTCGGGTCTTTTCGGGTTGCTAAATTTTAGACCCGTTCGGGTTTAGGAAAATTTCGGTTCGGTTCCTGTCGGGTTCGGGTCGGTTCGGGGCTAAATTTTATGGACCCGTTCGGGTTTATACAAATTTTGGTTCTTATTGGGATCTCATTCGGTTCTGATTCGGGTCGGTTTTTATCGGTTTTTTTAACCGAATATCCAAAATCCTACAAAATAACCGATAAAATCTTGTTATAATCCATCTTCTACTAAATATTTTTGGACTTTTCGAATATTTTGGTTATTTTGTTCTAAATATAACTATTATATTAGATTTATAATTGTAATTTTAGTTATTTTTAGTATTATAAGCTATTATAAGTCTAAAAAATAACTAATATTTTGGATATATAATTATATTTTGGATATTTCGGGTACCCATTCGGTTCTCGGTTCGGTTCGGATTCGGGTTCGGTTTTTCGGGTATAAATTTTTTGGACCCATCGGGTATTTGTCTTGGTTCCGGTTCGGTTCGGTTCCATCTTTTTCGGGTCGGGTTCGGTTCGGGTCTTTCGGGTCCGGGTAAAATGCCCAGGCCTACCACCGGCTATATAGTACAACGACCCTCCAGTACGACAGCTAGAAAAAGATTCCGCTTCCGTCTCTCCTCTCTCAAATCAGAAAAAAAAAAAGCTCAGTAATGGCTCCGACGATAAGAACCGTCGTAGATTACTCTACTCACCAAGAGCACTCCGTCGATTTCTTCGGAAACAAGTTGCTTGTCACCGTAACCCGGACTGCATCCATCATCAGCCAATGGATCAGAAACATCGAGCCCTACAATCGTCGTCCGTACTCCTCTCACCCTTTCGTCGTTGGGGTCGGCGTTCAGTGGACTCCGGCTGGTTATCACTCCGGTTATCCACGGGATAGCTCTTACTCCGATGGTAGCTACTACGGCGATTCTTCACCTGGAAACTACAACGGCAACGCTCCTCGGAACAGTTACTACTCCAATCCTCCACCGGCTAACAACTACGCCGTTTCTCGGCAGCGCAGCAGCTACGCAGATCCTTCGCCGCGTGGCTACAACGTCGATCCTGAAGCAGACACTCTCCAGCTATGCGTGGGTAACCGATGTCTCATAATCCAGCTATCTCATTGTGACCGCGTCCCCGACGAACTCCGGAGTTTGCTCGCAGATCCGGAAACCATCTACTTCGGCGTATGGAACCACCAAGACGCGCGGAAGCTAGCAGGATGTAGACATCGGTTGGTGACTAGAAAACTTTTGGACATAAAGGATTATGTGAAAGATTCGACAGGCCGGAGCATGAGTGATTGTTCGTTTGAAGCGATTGTCAAGGAATGTATGGGTTATCATGGAGTGAGGCTAGATGGGGAGATCAGCATGAGCGACTGGAGCGTTTACAACCTTTGCAATGAACAGATACTCCAGGCCTCACTAGATGCTTACGTTTGCGCCCAGATCGGTGTTTGGCTTCGTGGCTAGTAGAATCTTTGAGAACAAGTATCAAAGGAACGTCATGTTGCGTATCTTTTTAATCTTTCTTTTGTTAGCTTGTGAGAGAAAAAAAAAAACTGTTCTTGGTTCGTGTTAGTCCGTCAGTAGTACTATTATGCTTATGCATATTATCTCTTTAGTTCACATCAAAATGTTTTAAATTTCATCATCATGTAAAACTTGTGTTCATCATCCATGAGTAGTACTAGGTCGAATTTGTGTTCAACACGTTTTGGGGTTTTAATCAGTTTATCAAATAAAAAATCAATTCGCTGATCTCAAAATTTTGAAAACTCTTGTCACTTACCGTAAGAAAGTTTACACAGTATTGGCCTTCTGATGCATTTATTTTTTTATTTTTTCTATTAAGCAAACTCAGCTAATTTTTCATATCTTCATGGAACATTTTTTACCAAATCAGAATCAAATTTCGAAGCTATTTCTCAACATTAGTCCCATAATTAATTGGGGTATTTTGTGTGTCCTCTTGCATTCGTATAATAAAGGTCTGCTGACGATGCGAGTGCGACAATACATGCATTTAACTCTCAACCGTCTGATTATAACTGTACAAATGCGTCCAAAGATCAACGGTGAAAATTCGTTCCAGCAGTAATCCTAAAAAGCACCACCGGCTATATAGTACAAAGACCCTCCGCGGACTATAGAAAAAGATTCTCTCTTCCCTCTCTCCTCTCAAATCAGAGAAGATAAAAAGCTCATTAATGGCTCCGACGATAAGAACCGTCGCATGTTACACTACTCACCAAGAGCATTCTGTCGATTTCTTTGGAAACGAGTTGCTTGTCACCGTAACGCCGACTGCCTCCGTCATCAGCCGATGGATCAGAAACGTCCACCCCTACAACCGTGGTCAGTACTCCTCTCACCCTCTCGTCGTTGGAGTCGGCGTTCAGTGGACACCGTTTGGTTTTCACTCCAGTCCTCCGCGGGAAACCAATTACTACGGCGATCCTTCACCGGGCAGTTACAACGGCGACGCTCCATGGAATAGTTGCTACTCCAGTCCTCTACCGGCTAACAACTACGCCGATCCTTCGCCGCGTGGGGAGTACGTCGATCCTGAAGCAGACACTGTCCAGTTATGTGTGGGTCAACGATGTCTCATAATCCAGCTGTCTCATTGTAACCGCGTCCCCGACGAACTCCGCGGTTTTCTCTCAGATCCGGAAACGATTTTCGTCGGCGTCAGGAACTTTCAAGACGCAGGGAAGCTAGCGAGATCTAGACATCAGTTGGAGATTGGTAAACTTTGGGACATAAGGAATTTTGTTCAAGATTCGCAAGGCGGGAACATGAGGCGTTGTTCGTTTGAAGCGATTGTCCAGGAATGTATGGGTTATCATTATCAAGGGGTGAGGCTAGATCCGGAGATCAGCACGAGCGATTGGAGCGTTTACAACCTTTGCGATGAACAGATACTCCAGGCCTCACTAGATGCTTACGTTTGTGCCGAGCTCGGTGTTTGGATTCGTCTGTGGGAACTTTGAGAACAAGTATCAAAGGAATGTCGTGTTGCGTATCTCTTGAATCTTTCTTTTGTTAGCTTGTGAGGAAAAAAAAACTGTTCTTGATTCGAGTTAGTCCATGAGTAGTATTAGTATGAATAGTATCTCTTTGTTTGCATCAAAATGTTTTAAACTTCATTATCATGTAAGGTTGAATTTGTGTTCATCATCCATGAGTAGTTCTAGTATGACTTATTATCTCTTTGGTTTACATCAAAATGTTTTAAATTTCATCATCATGTAAAATAGAATTTGTGTTCATCATCTACTAGTATGACCCTATTATCTCTTTGGTTTACAAAATTGATCGATTAAATCTCATCAAACACTCTTAACCAAAATTGTAATCAAACCGGCTCAGTTTAAGGGCAAAAGAGTAATTTACCTTCTTAAGACGCGTATAAACAATTGCTTCTTCTTCAATACGCAAAAGAAAAAAATCCCTTTCCCTTTTGTCGTCTCTCCTCTTCTTCAAATTGGTCTCACTTCCTTCGCCGACATCGTTTTTTTAAACTCCGATGGTTCCCTCGCCGTCGAATCCGCAGCAAGTCCAGCAATTCCTCTCGTCCGTGCTCTCTCAGCGCGGTCCTTCATCCGTTCCCTACGACGAGTCCACCAAGTGGTTGATCCGGCAACATCTCCTTAATCTAATCTCTGCTTACCCTTCCTTAGAGCCCAAGACGGCGTCGTTTACGCACAACGATGGCCGCTCCGTCAATCTCCTTCAAGCAGATGGAACAATCCCGATGCCTTTCCATGGAGTCACCTACAACATCCCAGTCATCATCTGGCTCCTGGAGTCCTACCCTCGCCATCCTCCTTGCGTCTATGTGAATCCCACTGCTGATATGATCATCAAGCGACCTCACGCTCATGTCACTCCTTCCGGTCTCGTCTCGCTCCCGTATCTCCAGAATTGGGTATTCCCCAGCTCCAATCTGGTAGATCTGGTCTCCGATCTCAGCGCAGCATTTGCTCTTGATCCGCCTCTCTACTCGCGACGCCGTCCTCCACAACAGACATCTCCGACTCCGCCTTCGTACGATTCGTCACTCACACGGCCTCCTCCGGCTGATCAGTCACTGTCCAGACCGTTCCCGCCGTCTCCCTACGGCGGAGGAGGAGGAAGGGTGCAGGTACAGCACGTTCACCACCAACAACAATCAGATGATGCGGCTGAGGTTTACAAAAAGAACGCGATCAACAAGATGGTGGAGATGGTTCACGGCGATCTTGTTTCAATGAGGAGAGCCAGAGAAGCCGAAGCGGAAGAGCTACTGAGCTTGCAAGCCGGGCTTAAGAGAAGAGAGGAAGAGCTCAACAGGGGACTGAAGGAGATGGTGGAGGAGAAAGAAACACTTGAACAGCAATTACAGGTTATCTCCATGAACACTGATATTCTAGACTCTTGGGTTAGAGAGAACCAAGGCAAAACCAAGAATTTAGTCGATTTGGATGTGGATGATGCGTTTGAGTGTGTTGACACACTCTCTAAGCAGATGTTAGAGTGTAGTGCTTCCGATTTGGCCATTGAAGATGCTATTTATTCCTTGGATAAGTCGTTTCAAGAAGGTGTTGTTCCGTTTGATCAGTACTTGAGGACTGTGAGGCTGTTGTCGAGGGAACAGTTCTTCCACAGAGCCACGGCTTCTAAAGTTAGGGCAGCACAGATGGAAGCTCAGGTTGCAGCTATCGCGGGCAGGTTACATTCGTGAATGAAATTCAGTTTTTTTCGTTCTTTCTTTCTGTTTGAGTGATCCTGTGACACAATGCATGTATAGACTATATACCTGTCTTTTCTCCTTTGGATCTTTGTGATCAACATTATTATGATCAAATGAATCAATTGGTTTTGAGATTGTAAGTGTCTATTTTGAAAATTTGAACACTTTTCGATTATTCTTTCATCTCCATAAGAAAATTTGTGGTTGAGTTTTTCATCGAGTAGAATTATTCACCGATTAGCTCTAAGATTTATCTGGTTAAGTTTTGTCAAAATAAGGAGATAATGGAATGGTAATATCAAATCAAACTGAAATTCAATAGCTTATGAGGTTTATACTGATACAACACTGAAATCACTTGAAGAAAACATTGAAAAACAAAAATTCCCGGAATCCTTTTGACAATCTCTGGCAAGATAATTCAAGTTAAACCACATCTAAGTTGAAAAGATTTCGGTTTAGCCGGTAAGCTCCATGATGGCAGTAACAATATCTCCACTGGCTTCCTTGAGTGCCTTGACAGCTCTTGGCCTAGACACTCCTGCTTGGGTCATCACCAATTCAATGTCCTTTGGCTCAACACCGTCCTCGTCAACCTCCTCATCATCTGGAACCACTGGAGCACTTGACGACTCGCCCTTTGAAATCACGCTGCTGAGATCTGGAGCCTTGAACTGCTCGGCCGCCTGCGACTGCATCTGAGAGTTCAGGTCCTCGATCTTAGCCTCTCCAAAGATCACGTATGTGTCTGAAGCTGGGCTCTTGAACACATCAGGTTTTGAGATGACGAACATGATCTGTTCAACAAAGCAAATGTCCACGCGATGCATATTAATACACATGTACAGACTATAAATCAATGAATAAGAAGAATGAAAGTCAAGAAAACACTAACATTCTTGCTCTTTTTGACAGTGACACGGCTGACACCAGTGATGGGTTTCATCCCGAGCTTAAGCATCGCTTTGCGACTCTTCTTCTCACTTCTGCTTTGTTTTGACCTACTTCCTGCCTCTCCATCTTGTCCTGCTTCACCAATAAAACCTCAACAATGACTCAACTAGAACGAAATATCACATAATTTCTCAAGCAGTCACAAGCCTCAGGAATATAATTCACAAACAAAGAAATCTATGCTACAGATTGTATCATTTCAAGCTTTCTTGACCAAATTCCTATCTATCTTACACATTTACAGACTAGTGAGTGTCGACCAATATGCAAACTAAGATCTGAACTAAATACTAGGATCCATACGGATATGTAGATGAAGGAAATGATCAATCTTTTATTCAAGAACCAAAAGCAAGGACTTACCCTCTGCGTCATCATCATCGTCGGAGTCATCCTCATCGAGATCATCATCGTCCTCAACTTCAGGCTTATCAAGCTACAAGCAAAACACAGCAATCCAAAAAACTAAACAAATCAGACAAATGATATGCTAAATCTATAATTGAAATTGATTGGAACACTCGTGATTTGTAAAATATTCAGATCTAAAGTTGCATAGCTCAAATATTAGCACATACGAAGCAAAAAACTACGATCTAGGCGGGGGCGTATCAAAAATCTGAATCAAGACTAGTTATTTTCCAACTAACGAGAACAACAAAAAAAAAACCGCGGTACTAGAGAGAGATAGAGAGTGAGAAGAGAATCAATTACATCGATTTTTTGTTCTTCCAATTTGGCGGCGAGGATCTCTTTCTCTTCGGTAGTCATGATATGTGAATTGATGTTAAGAGAGAGAGAGAGAGAGAGAGAGAGAGAGAGAGATATTTGTGATCTGTGCGGAAGCCCTAAAACCCTAGATACCTAATTGTTATGGTAGTGAAGAGTGAGTGAATTGAGTGTTAATTATTGTGGTGACGAAAATCAAAAGGCCCAAAAACTTATTTGAATGTCAATTTCCTTGTCCGTTGGGCTTTTCAGTTCAAAAAGTTGGTCGGATTATCCAGTTAACGAAAAGCACAAAAAGTAAAACGCATAACGAAGCTAAATTAAACGCCATCTATGGGGATCGAACCCACGCGCTCTGCCACGTTTATGTTAGCAATACTGTGATTGTTTCCCTTCGATATTTGGGCTTTGGGCCTAATCGTAAATTCCCGACGTCGCGGAATTGCCATTGGTATCTTCTTCTTTCTTTCCTCACCGGAGGTCCAGGCGAACGAATTACTTGTACGGGAGCTGACGACGACGGACGACGGCGAGTAAGGCAAAACTGAAGGAAATTAAGCATGCCGTTCGTTTCGAAGATTCGAAGGCAGACTGATTACAATAGCTTCCCTTCTTCGATTCCCATTGTCATCGATAATGGCGCCTCCTACTTCCGTATCGGGTATCTTTAACATGAAGCCCTAATTCCTTCTTATCGCTAACTCAGTCATACTTCAGATTTTCGCTTTTATAACTCGTCCACCATTTCAGTAAAATTCGTGTTTGAATTTTGAAATTCTCTCGGGTTTCAGGTGGGCAGGAGAAACTGAGCCTCGTGTTGTTTTCCGCAATATCGTGCAAAGACCTCGCCACAAAGCTACAGGTCTTGAAATTGTGCAGTCTTTTAAATTATTGCTGTTTAGCTCTTGTATACCTCTTAGTTGCTTCCTTTGCTGGATTGCTGCTAGAGTAACCAATGAGTCTAATGATATGCTTTCAATTTTCTTCCTCTTCGTGATCCTAATAATTCGTTGGACTAGTAGCGTTTGAGTTTTTTTAGCTACTTGAGCTCATGCTGTGATTTAGAGAGATACATGACTATGCTTATATTGCTTAAAGTTGTTTTCTTACTGCATTGCTTTTATGTTCTATTGTACAGGTGAAACTGTTACTATTGTTGGCGACCAGGATCCTGCGTTGATGAAGTACTTTGATTGCACTCGCTCAGGACCACGTTCTGCTTTTGACAGCAACGTGGTTTATCAATTCGAGCTCATGGAATATGTACGCATTCTAAACCCCTGATTCAACAAGGAATCTTCCCTCCTGCACTTGTGCTCATTAGTTAATGCAACCAGTGAAGAACCTGTGGCACTTATCTTTTGCATTTTCCTCTGGTTTTAGATTCTTGATTTCGCCTTTGATCGTTTGGGGGCTAATGGATCAGTGGTATGTTTTAGATCCATTTTTTATTTTCATCTTGATTCTGTGTTTCATTGTACTCCTTGTCTTAGATAATTTTATCTCTTAGTTTAACGTCATTTGATGGCAGGACAGATCAATCATCCAATCCTCATAACAGAATGTGTTTGCAACCCAGTTCAATCTCGTAGCAAAATGGCAGAACTGCTATTTGAGACGTATGGAGTGCCTGCAGTTGGTACGAATCCAAGTTATTTGTTTCGTTTCTGATATTGATCGTCTTTTTGAAACAAATGTTTACGGCTTCTTTTGTGTATTGCTTCATTTATATGCCTTAAACCTCCTGTTGTCACAGCATTTGGAGTGGATGCTGCTTTCAGCTACAAGTACAATCAACTACATGGAATATGTAAAAAAGATGGAATCGTTCTCTGTCCTGGCTTCACTACCGCACACGCAATTCCGGTAAGTATTTGTGACTACATTGGATGCAATCTAGTGTCAACCATATTCATTCGCTGTCTTAAACCCATTCCTTTCCGGAAAATACTCAGCCATTGGTCTGATAATGTTTATCTGTTCGTGTTGATCTTATACATGGTTTCATTGGTAACAGTTTGTCGACGGAGAACCTGTTTATAAAGGATCCTGCCGAACTAACATTGGTGGATACCATGTCACTGAATATTTAAAGCAGCTTCTGTCACTTAAGTACCCTTTTCACTCGTAAGTGCTTCATCTGGACCTATCTTCTCAATGTGATTCCCCACCTTTCAAGATCTGATATTTCTTTTGTCGCCATGTTGAACTATGCAAAAGGTCTAGGTTTACATGGGAAAAGGCTGAAGAATTGAAACTGGAACACTGTTATATTGCTCCTGACTATGCTATTGAAGTTCGGAAATTCAAGGTAGTTTGCTTATTAGTGTCTCTCGTTTCTTTGTAAGACAGTTTGTGACGCTAGTAAAATTAAAAAAAAAAAAACATGATCGTTGTTGATCAGGAAGGAACAAAAGAAGCCGAAGAGAAAACAAGGTATTGGCAGCTTCCATGGATACCTCCTCCCGTCGAAATTCCTCCATCAGAAGAAGAGATTGCGAGGAAAGCTGCTATAAGAGAAAAGCAAGGTCAAAGGCTGCGGGAAATGGCTGAAGCAAAGAGATCATCCAAGATAAACGAAATGGAAAACGAATTGCAGAGCTTGCGTTTCCTTGTGAAACAGCTTGACAAGGTTGAAGAGGATGATATTCCATCCTTTTTGTCAGACACCGGTTACGCTTCCAGGCAAGAGCTAGAATCTACTGTTTCGAAAGTGACACAGTCGCTTAGAAAAGCAAGAGGTGAGCCGAAGGAAGAGCCAGACGAGAGTGAAGAGAACGCTGAATCTCTTGCTGAAAAGTATCCTCTTATGAATGTCCCCGACAATATGCTTACTCCTGAGCAGGTTTGTTTCCAAGAATAGTGTGGAAATCCTTTACTCAGATGAAAAATATGGTTTTAATCATTTCTTGCTTGCAGCTTAAAGACAAGAGGAGGCAGGTATTTCTTAAAACAACAACAGAGGGCCGGTTACGAGCTAGACAAAAGCGTAATGAGGAGGAACTGGAAAAAGAGAGAAGAAATCAATTAGAGGAGGAGAGACGTCGGTATGTAATCCAATTCCTTAGATAATATGTTTAGAAACCAAAAGAAAGGAAAAAAAAAGTAATCATCTTCTTCTGGTTGTAGTGAGAACCCAGAGTTCTATTTAGAGGAGATGCGAGCTCAGTACAAGGAAGTGTTGGAGAGAGTTGAGCAAAAGAAGCGTCTGAAAACAAACGGGTCGAGTACAAACGGGAACAACAAGTCTGGAGGTGGTGTTGGGCGAGGCGAGCGATTAAGCGCTGCACAGAGAGAAAGAATGCGTCTGCTGACAACAGCAGCCTTCGATAGAGGCAAAGGCGAGGACACGTTTGGTTCCAGAGACGAAGATTGGCAGCTTTACAAACTCATGAGCAAGGATCACGACGAAGACGACGAACGACCTGATTCAGACGAGGCTATGTTGGCTCGTCTATCATCCAGGCTTCAGGAAATTGACCCAACATTCGTGCTGAAAGCAGAAGGAGAGTCTGGTCAGGCTTCAGGGGAGGTTCCACGTGCACGTCCCTTAACAGAGGAAGACTACAAGATAGTGATTGGTATCGAAAGATTTCGTTGTCCTGAGATCCTGTTCCATCCAAACCTCGTTGGCATTGACCAATTGGGGTTAGACGAGATGGGCGGTGCATCGATCAGGAGGCTACCGCACGGTGATGATAAAGAGTTAGAGGAGAGGCTAACGAGCTCGATACTGATGACTGGTGGTTGCAGCCTTGTCCCTGGGATGAAAGAGCGGTTGGAAAGCGGGATTAGGATGATAAGACCGTGTGGATCAACCATACATGTGGTTCGAGCTATGGACCCTGTGCTTGACGCGTGGCGTGGAGCTTCTGCGTTTGCTGCTGATTTGAACTTCCTGAGGAATGCATTTACCAAGATGGACTACTACGAGAAAGGTGAAGATTGGCTTCGAAAATACCAAATTCGATTCAACAATTTGTGATTCCCTCTTCATAATTTAGCTGTCTGTTGTTTATTTGCCTAATTCAGTATGAAGGATTTTTTAGAAATATGAGATCATATAAAGTTATTTGGACAATTTGTAAAATTTATAATTTAAAAGAAATATTACAATGTTATCACTATCCATAGCCCAACACAGAACAGCCCAATTAGCGTAAACCACTTCGAGTGAGAGAACCCTAGCTTTGTCATTTCCAATCTCTCGAGCTTGGTTGCTTCTGGATCGAAATCGTTGGCTCTGTATTCGCGATGTCTAGCTTCAGAAGAGCTCTGCTGGTTGCAGGGAAGACGAAGATCAACCTCGAGAACTGCCATTTCATCACCGGAATCAACTACAACGGCCTCAGCGTCAAGCAGCTACAAGAGCTCCGCGGGATTCTCCGGGAAAACAGCAACACGAAGCTCCTCGTCGCCAAGAACACTCTGGTGTACAAAGCCTTAGAAGGAACGAAATGGGAGTCGCTGAAGCCGTGTATGAAGGGAATGAACGCTTGGATCTTCGTGCAAACCGAAGATGTCCCTGCGGCGTTGAAGACTTTCATCAATTTCCAGAAGGAGAAGAAGCTCTACGACAACAACTTGGGCGGCGCCGTCTTCGAGGAAAAAGTCTACGCTCCTCAGGATTACAAGGTTATTGAGACGATGCCGTCTCGCTCCGATGTCTACAGTATGATGTTCGGTGCTTTGCATTGGCCGGCGTTAGATCTCGTCAATACGTTGCAGGCACCAACCGCGTCGGAAAATGAGAGTGCTGCATAGAGGAAACTTCCAATTTCGTTAATCGCTTCAGTTATGTGAGCTGAAATATCCTCTTTTGTGTTTGTCCTTCGGAACCAAATCTATCAAAAATAATTTTTGAACTTCAGTGTAGACCAGTGTTTCTGGTTTTGTTACAATTGGATTGAGATTTCATATTCTTATACTGTTGTCTGTTAGAAGAAAATTGGCTGATCCAATTGTGAAATAATCATGTTGTAGACTTGAATTGCAGAATCCAACAAGTTTCAAGTAAACTTTTCTAATATCATTGCATTCCCAACTTTACTGCCTTCAAATGTGTTTAACAATTTGTGCATTACAACCTTCACTTCTACACTTGACTTCACTTCCATGGCTTTGTGTGCAAGTTCCTAAGGTTTATACTTGACGAAGATATCTTATTCAATGGTTGTTTTGCCACTAGTTGTGAATTGTGACTTGTTCCAATGAGAATTGCCATTTAAAACCCAAAAATAGCAAGCCTTGCATCATTCTTTGGTTACTCTTCTCTCTCAATCAAAATTTAACTAGTAGTGGTGGTTCATTGATTAAGATCACTTTCTCTGCTCTCCAAGCAAGCTTGAGATCTAACACAAATACATCAAGTAAACACATACACTCTGATGCTCTTTCAAGGCTATGGTTAACTGTTTTTTTCTGGAACATAAAAGAGTTGAGCAGTGTTTACACTTTATAGTTGTGTGACAATTGTGTTTTGCCTTTTGATGTTCAGGCTTTATACACAAAATCATCTAGTCTAGGCTCTCTTCTCCAAATACAATATATTTACATAACATTTATACGCATCTCAGATTGCGAAAATGGGATCAACTTCCGAGTTTGAGAAATCCGAATGATGCCACGAGTTGGAACCGCTTCTCCTTGCGCTCTTAACCCTCTTCCTCATCGACCTTGTCCTCTTCGACTTCACCACGTAATAAGTCATGGTTCCAAGAACCCCAGCCATTATCACACCCCCAACCACCGTCACCAGCTCAGCCGCCCACTCGTTCTTCCGCCCAACCACAATGTACGACGATGCAAGAAACGCCACCGATGTACACATCGACGCCAACCACATGAGCTTGTTGATCACTTCCACCACCTTCTTCTCAGCTTTCGTCTCTCCTCTCACCAACGTGATCTGCACCACCACGACCGCCAGAGAAGTAAACAACGCGATCGCGTTGAAGATGAAGAAGATCTTGAACGATGCTCTCCCCACCACCACCGCTGACCCGTCGTTGTTGTCTCCTCCCGGGACTGTGAATATAGCAGCGAAAGCCACAGTTGCAAACAACACAGCCACAACGGTCACCGAGTTGGTTGCATTGTTGATCCCTTCTCTGTGTAACTTCCTAAGCTCCTTGGAAATGTTGTGCACGTTTTTGTTCGTCCTCTTCGTCTGTTCCAGCTGGATATGAACATCGTTCTTGATCTGAGTGACAGTGCTCCTCAGCTCGTCTCTCGGCTGGTTCAGCTCATTCGCCCTAAGAGCTCCACGACGTGCAAGACACTCTTTTATGTAGGAAGACTCTTCTGACAGTGGAAGCCCTTCCGCTATGTCAAGTGCTGTCTTGTGCTCCCGTGTTAGAGCATTTGCATTGGTATCAGGCAGTGACAACAACAGCTCTACAATCTGCAAGTTTATACACCAAAACGTGAGTGAACAAAGAATCATACTCTCAAGGGTGATGTGAATGTGATGCATACCTCTGCTCGTTTCTTCCTAGTGGCAACGTGTAACGCTGTGTTACAAGACTTGTCCGGTAGCATAACAATGGCGGGATCTGCGTCGAGAAGCAGTTTCACAACTTCGGAGCTCTGCCCTTTCACAGCCATGTGAAGTGCTGTTTGTCCTTTCTTGTCAACACGTCTTGCCAGCTGAGGATCTTTGACCAGGAGAGCTTTAATGACGTCCACATGACCTTGCCTTGCAGCTAGATGCAACGCGTTCTTATGGTTAGACCGAGAGATCTCTAGCAAGTTCCCAGCTTTGGATAAGAGCTGGTTCACAACTTCTGTATGGCCTCTCATAGCTGCAGACACAAGCGGCGTCGCATTCGATGGACCAAACGTATGACTAAGCGTCGAATCATGATCTAGCAAGACTTCAACAATCGCTGCAAGAAACCAAAAACGTTGAAATAACTCACAGAGTTACATAAAACAAGAAACGGTTTGTGAGGATCATTACCATGGTGTCCTTGAATGGCAGCGATATGAAGAGGATCATAACCAGACCGGTTCTTCTTAGCAATGCTTTCTCTACTCGAATACTTCAACAGCTCTTTGACGACATCAAGATGGCCTTTGTCTGCAGCAGTGAAGAGAGCAGTCTCTCCTAACTCGTTCACTTCATTCACAATCGAAGCTCGGATCTCTGCGACTTCAGCGTCAAACTCTTCCCCACTAAGAGTGCCTTCCATCTGAGAGTTGATGTCCTTGAGAATCTGCTGCACAGCTGCCAAATCACCGCGTTGAGCGGCCAAGTGGAGCTCAGTGTCGTTGTGGCGACCAGTGACTTGCTTCACGTACTTTTTCTTCCCGGCTTGGTCCATTCTCTTGCCTGAGTTAGACAAAACCAAAGCTGGTGCGGTTGCTGTTGCAGACGGTGAAGGCGTTGGTGAAGGATCTGTCATTGGGTTTTGATTCTCGCTCGACTGTAAAATCATTCCACTTTTCTCCATATCTGAATTCAACAGAGAAAAAAAAACTATCGATTCAACTACCTTAGATCTGGAATATATATACAGTTATACACATCCTAACAGAATTTTCATTTTAGTTTATATCAATTTGGATTATAATAGTAGAGAAAATTGAAGTGAAGGGCATATGGGTGGTTCGGTAATCAACAGACAAGAAGAGGGACCATGAAGATCACATGTCCGGTTGAATATTCTCTCCGACAATCATGCAAATGATCAATCAGCTGCCAAATTCGAGGAGAATAATATTTCAGGCTGCCTAAAACTACTCAGAAAATTGTTTCCAGCTCAAGAAGCACCAAACATGTATAAAAATTCAATAACCAAAACCGGATCAGATCGTACGAAAAAGACTTTACAAGTCTTGGAGATGTTTATATGAAGTAAACTTAAAAATTCGAATTATGAGTTACCATCTGTAAAGGATGAGGCGGCCATGAGTGAAGCTCGAAGTCGAAGCTATCAGAGAGAGGTATAGAGAGATGTTGCTGGTTTGTGTTGAGATGTAATTGGGGAAGAAGGAGAGAGAGAGAAGGAAAAATGGGAAAGTGAGAAGGTTAGATGGAAAAGGAAGACTCATCTCCATGTGGTCAATCTCATGACTAAAAATATGTACTTCTTTTCCTTCTTTATTCCATTTACTAGATGATATCCCGCGCTACGTGCGGGCGTATATTAAATTTATTGTGTTAAAATATTAAAATATTTAATATTACACATCTACTGTTTATATTTAATTGATTAGATATCATCTTTTCAAAGTGTGTTTTAGTTTATGGAAACAAGTACCAAAAGAAATACTCATTTTCCTCTAATTTATTTTGTTTAACTTCTTCAATTTATATTCCTACATTTAGTTGGCCTTAATTTGACACCAATATCTCTTATCCTAATCAAATTCAAACCAATTGGAACATACTTAATAATAGCAACCCTCTTTCTTTACCCAATTTTTCATAGTTTGTAAATCTATATTCTTCTTCTGAGTTACATGTCATGTGAATTAGAGCCTATTACAGTCGATAGTTTTGAATAATATTTGTAATGTTAAGTATGTATCTTAAGATCCGGAAACTATATAATAAAAACCCGCTATTGTATTTGATATATAAAAGAAAAAAGGTTTATTATAGCATCTTCGGTAAACATTACAAAGCTGTGGGGCATGTTTTTCAAATTTTTAATACTTATTGTATATATGTGAAACATATTTAATTTAGGTTTGTTTCTATGTTTGTTTTGTTTTGTAAGTTATAGCTATCGTATAGCATATATAATAATAAGGGTTTCTTTAACTTTGTAGGAAATTAGATCTATAAAAGAAATGGTCATTCTCTTTCTAAATTGTCATTTCCTTTTTAGGAAATTTTAATTGGCGGCTTTTTTATAGTTAATCTTTATCCTTTTTCTGTCCATAATTATTTAATTTTTCTTCTTATTGGTCTTCTAAGGTGTTTCGCCAATGTCTACACATTAAGTTCCAAAGTTTTAAGAAGTAAAAAAGAGAATGAGTTTAGAACTATCACGCAATCACTTTTAGACGACCCCTTTAGGTAGATAGGAATGTCTCGTTGGTAATATATTTCCATTTAGAACATAATTCAAGAGTTATGTCAATGCTCTTTGTTTGTTTTTTATATGCATTGTATATATTATTTATAAGAAGTTGAAGCAAAGTATGGAATATATGAATTTTAGTATGAATTAAGAATATGAATTTAATTGGTTTATAAAGCTTCGTCCGCATCATTTCCCTCCTTCGGCTGCATTTCACTTATGTTCATTGATCGCTCAAATTTTCTTATTTTATTCAAGTCCACAATGGTACAATCCATCTTAGTTTATAGTGAAAAAAACTGAACAATAGATATTTATGTCTAACAAAACAAAACTTTAAGCAATGCCTAAACACGAAATGTAACCAACTTTTGTCCTCCCTTCTTTCATCAAGAAAGTCTTTGCCTTGCCTGACTTTAGCATAACCATGATGGCTACTAATAAAATCTTCTTAGCTTACCAGAATATCACATAACAGTTGGAAGAAAACCTTATAATTTCTGCAACAATGGAGGATATTATTCTACGAAAAGAAATCGGATCATCATTTGACAAAGCCTATTCAATAGCTACACTAAGGGAGGTAAAGTAGTTTATTCGTACAAATTGGAGAGTTCCTTTTGATTCTTCAATATGATACTGCACACACAATCATTTACCTTTGATAAGTCAACTATCTCAAATCTTGCGCCTCCGGATGAATAATGAGAGCCAAGAAAATGCAAAACCTGACCACAAAGTCACTTATTTTCCCTAGAATCAAAAGCTGCGAGAAACCATGTCTGATAGGTTCTCGCAATCTCAAACGCCTCCGCTACACGCCACTCAGCGGTTGGGACGAGGATTGAAGTCCACTGCATACTCGTCTCACGCCGCTCGTTGAACCAAGTCATCAACTGTCTCCTAATACATTCCATCATCTGAATAATCGGAAGTCCAGACGCTTCAGCGATCCACGAGTTCAGCGACTCGACTATATTTGCAGTGACCAAACCGTTGCCCTTCGAAGTACGCTGTAGCCCACAGCCGAGGAGGGATCCTCCGGATCCAGTACGCTGCATCTTGAGAAACCTCTTCGATCTCAAGAATCTTGGCTTCAAACTCAATCACCGTCAAAACATAATTCCTCTTCTCCGGCTTCACTGCGTTATTCTATAAAACCTGAAAAAGAGATAGTGTGTTAGACGCATGGAGATACGGTGGTAAGAAAAATAAAAAACACAACAATGAGTAAGATTAGCTATAACACAGTTGCAGGTTTGGGGCTTTGACACATACGGCAGTACTAAAATATCATGTAAACATCAGGAATGGGAAACACAGACAGAATAGGAAGAATATATACGATATCAAACACAACAGAGACAATTACATTACTGCTTAGGAGAAAAATGCAGAGTGGGTGTAAGAAATAGTAAATTATCATGGTAACACCAGTCAGAAACTCAAAGTCCGAGTTGTTATATTCAATACCATTTCTCGGTCTTTAATGATAGTCTATCAAGCTTATCTTTTCAGTCTTCTAATTACGAAGAAAGTATAGAACACAACAAAGAAACTACAGAACGCAAAGGACATTCAAATCCACAACAATCAGTTCCAATCCCAGGCAAATTTAAGTGAAAATTCGATTTGGAAAATCTTTACAAAGGACATTCAAATCCACAACAATCAGTTTCAATCCCAGGCAAATTTAAGTGAAATTTCGATTTGGAAAATCTCTACCGAATGACTAACAAAGCAGATACCAATAACTGTGGCAGGAGGAGGAGATGAATTACCTCGGCGTCAAGGAGGAGGAGCTCGAGACCCATCAGGATGTTTCCTTTCTTGAAATTGCGGGCTTCCCAGAAATGAATCAGACGAACGACAACCTCGTCGTTGCAGAATTGCCCATCAATCTGGCTGAGAACTTGGAAGGTCTTGGACTGGGCAGAAGGAGCGTCAGCTTTGGATGCCATGGTATCGGGAATGTGTGAGGATCTCTGCGTTTTTCGGAGCGTAGTGAGAGCTGGACTTCCCAGCGACAGTATTTAAAGGGTTGTAGGTAGCAGTCATTAATAACGAATTAAAGAAGAAGGAGAGGGCAATGAAGCCGGAGAAGAGGAATCGTAATCGTTGCATGTCGGAGTGGGAAAGGGAATCGGTGGAGAAGTGAGCGACGGCCGACGGGGGAGAAGTAGGAAGGCGAATAGAATAACATAGTGTTAGAATGGGGCTCCAAACGGGCCAAAGCGATATGGGCTTCGTGATCTGAATTTTTTTGAAGCTTGTATTTATCTGAATTTTTAAGGTTTTATTTATTTTGGTGGAAATGCCACGTGGCATTCAGAGAGAGAATCTGTGAAGTGCCTAAGAGACCCAAACAGGTGTTTTAAATTAGTAAAGATTTAATAAACTAATCTCCAAGTTTATTTATTTTATGGAATTGCCCTTAGCTTAGCTTTAATCTCCTGATTATATAACAGTAACTTGCAGAATTAGAGGATTGGATTCTGATTTCTTTTGGTTTAGAAGCAAGTGGATGTTCACTAGCAACAACCTAATAAACTTTTCAGAAAAATGAATACCACTAAAATGTTATAAAAAATAAAAGAATTGGATACACAGATTAACCAACCAGAAACAAATAAAAAATGAAATAAAAGAACATGAAAATAGAGAAAAATAATTTTCTTATCCAAAGAGGTACACAGAAGGAGAGTGAGAGAGAGAGACACACGAAGCTCCAGAAAAAATGGCGATAGCACCTCTACGAATCACGAATCCTTTCCCATCTCTGCGTCTTCTTCCCGCCGGAAAGCCCAATGCTCCGAGACTCTTCACCGTCCGCGCCACCGACGTTGAGTCCACTGAAGAAACTCAACCCGACCCGGAAACAAGCCAGGCCGAATCCAGCTCGGATCCGGACCAGTTCGAGTCACGTCTCTCAAACATCCGACTCAGATATCGAAGCGGGACGGGGAAGAAAGCAGAGGTGAGAAAATCGAAGAAAGGCTCGAGCTTGCCCGCGTCGAAACAATCGGGAATCTATTTGCCGGCGGTGAGTCTGAAAGAGCCGGTCTCCGGTGGGTTGAAAGTGGAGGTAGGGTTTAGCCCATACAGCGAGCGGATCAACGGGAGGATTGCCGGATTAGGGCTCGCGGCGTTGCTTCTGGTAGAGCTAGCGACGGGTAAGAGCGTATTGAATTACCACACGCCTTCTGTGGTGTTTCTTCAGATATATTTCGTTGCGGCTGTTTCTGCTATGTTTGTCAAGGTTGAGAAGGAGAAGGTTAGTGTTTGGCCCAAGGATTGAAAAATGTGAATGTTGCTTTTGTTATTGAGAAATGTGTATGCTTTTGTAACTTTTGTTTAAGTATGTATGTAATGTATACTCACAGAATTTCAAGATCATTGATACAAGATTTGACAATGAAAGGATATCACTTTGGAGTGAGTCTGTTGCTGTTGTTCTAAGTAATTTGCAATTGCAAGTTTTAAAATTTATGGATAGTTATGTACTTATGTTATACAAGAATTGGATCGAATTTCTCCCTGCCTTATTTCTTGTTAAGTATTCATCATCTTAAACAGAAAACACCCACACACACAAAGGAAGAAATAAAGCAAGACTATTTAGTTGTGAAAATTGTGATTAAGAGTCTTAAGATGTTTGGACCTAATTTCACTCATTGTACACCATCAAACTAGTCTTCATCTTAAGTATGAACCTAACATTGAGAGAAAGATGTGACTCCTTTAGGAAGTTGTAAAGTTGAACTTGCTGGCCACATGAATTGCAAAATTGCCTTTCAACGTGTAACAATAAGTACATTCAGATGTTTCTGGTTGGTGTATCTTCCACGCGAATATTACAAATATTCTCAGTCTTGATGTCAACATATCCACGGCCATGCGCAAGTCTCAACTATGAATGGTCAGCATAAGTGCTGGTCAACTGTCAACTGGTCATGTTTGAATTTCGGTTTCAACTGGAAGTATTATGAATTTATGATCATTTGGTAGTTGCTTTGCTACATCAATTTTTTTCTGGTATGCAATCTCTACTAATTTAGAGACAAACGTTGCTTGATTATCCTTAAAAAACATATTTGCTTATTTCTGTCAAACTTGAAAGAAATTATATTCTTCTTAAAAAACATAACCAATTAAAAGCTCTAAATAAATTAATTAATAAGGGCGCCAAAAAGATAAAACCCTCGGCCAACAAAAAGCCTCGGGACAGAGCAGAACGGAGAAACCTAAAAGCGTCGGCTTTTGAGTCTCTGTCTCTTGGGTTTTCGATTCTCTTACATTCGATGGCTTTCTGGGGTGGGTTCACCGTTTCTTTGCGTTTAATCTCAAAACATATATGAACAGTCACCGATCAAGAGACGTAATTTTTTTCCCAAAAGAGTTATGCGTTTGATGAAAAGATTTGCTTGTTTGCAGGAATCGAAGTGAAGCCAGGAAAGCCTTTCACTCTTAAACCTAATGAAGCGACAGCAACAAGAAGACTCCACCTTTCCCAGGTCTTTATTCTTAATTTCTACCCTCAATTTCGTTGATTTCTCTTGCTTTCCAGATTTTGTACCTGGGATGCTTATGTTTACTCTCCGCTTGCTTAATCTCCTATGCATGCTCTTGATTTGGGCGTGTTTAAACAGAAGTTTGCAAGTTTACATATACATGAAAAAATTGAATTTTTGTTATTTGATTGATCTTTGCTTCTTTTTTTGGTTTAGGCGACATTGGGGATTGGCAATGCAACAATCAGAAGCATTCTTCAGTGTAACGTTGGGAAGAAAAGTCCTCTCTTCTTATGTGTCTTGACTCCTGAAAAAGTTGATTCTTGCCAATTGAATCTCGAGTTTCAAGAAGCTGATGAAGTTATATTCTCTGTCATCGGACCTCGGAGCATTCACATCACTGGCTACTTCCTCGGCAGGAGCACCGCATTAGGCCAAAACGATGACGAATCGTATCCTCTTATTGATATTTTATTAAACTGAATATGGATTATTGGTTCGTATATTTTTATTTGTATTTTCTTGACTTTAATCAAAAGGGAGTCATTTGGCGAAGACATTGTTGACACAGACGTGGAGAAAGGTAGCAGTGATGATTATGACTACAGCGATAGTTTCATAAACGACGATGATCCATCTGGCCGCGGTTCACACGTTTCTAGTTCTGATGATGAAGAAGGTATGCCATTATATAAAGTTGTATGTCATGTCTTCTTTGGGGTTTAAACTTCAATTATTAGTTGTATACACTGGGAGTTACTTTGTAGCCTGGCTTTATTACTGTGCTTAACTAGTTATTTTGGAGTTTGGACTTACACATACATAACATTTTCAGTTTCTATATGAATATTGCTCTGCAGCCTTTTGTCATGAGACTTTGTGACTTCATTACAGTTTTCGTTTAGTTTTGGTTCTCTGTACTGATATAATACTTGTATTGATCTGCATCTCTTGTTTTGCTTGCATGGAATTAGATTGGGGATTTTGAGAGTGTTTCTTTCTGGTTCTGTACCTCCATTTCTTGATAATCTTGTTTATTTTCCAGTAACTATTAAGAAGAAGACGGCAGAGAAGAAAACAAATAAAAAAGGTGGAAGGCTGAGGAAGCAGTTTCAGGTGTCTGATTCAGATTCTGATGAAACCTCAGGTAGAGCTGATGACTCTAGCAGTGGTGATTCCGTAGAAGTACTTAACAGCGATAATGACCACAAGATCCCGAAGGTTCTTTCTTCAGAGAATCCTGTGCCTTCAAGGGTTACGAGGTCGAAGGCAAAAAGTTCGACTTTGGAAGATGATGAGCCTAATGCCAAGTGTGAGAAGACATCAGAATCAGAAACTCATCTGGATAAAAGGTAAGAAAGTTTCTCCTCTCCCACTACAGACCAGGGTTAGTATTGATATCTTTTTAAAAACCTAATATCTTTAATACACCAGGGAGGATGAACCATTGGGAGATGTTGAACCTTCTCCTGTTCAAAAAGACTGCGAAAGTCATTCGAAGAAAAAGAGCAAAAAGAAAAAGTCTAAGAGTTCAGTTGTAATCAACTTAGATGACGGAGAGGAAAAGAATATGACTGAAGAAAGTCTTCAGAATGAGAAGCCAACTACTGACAAGTAAGTGGTACCGTACTACTGAACAGTTGTTTATATTTTGCCTTCTAGCTTTTCAGGATTTAAAAAGATGCTACGTTGAACTGAAACCAAACAACGGAATGAACAGTTTTGTTGTTTATGATATAAGTAGATCGATATTCAATGTGATTATACACGTAAATTAGTAGCCAGTGTTAAGTTACTGGTCAAGTTTGCTTACTGTGTGATTCTTATCCAGTGAAAGTAAAAAAGGTTACTCTTGTTCTTCAGAATTTTGACGTTATATATACAGTTTGTTAATCTCCATCTACTGGAAAGTTGACATCATTGTTAAGTGCACTTATTTCGGTTAAGCTACTTGTTTTAAACCTCTGTTAACATATCGTGTCTTGCACATGACAGGGAGATCAAACCATCAAATGATGTATTACCCTCTGAGAATGGTGATGCAACTCTTTCGAAGAAAAAGAGGAAAAGGGATAAGAAAGAGGAAACTACAGGTGTCCAGGAAAATTCAAAGAAGAAGAAACAAGCCGTCGACAAGTGAGTCATAGTTTTACTATTTAGGTTGAAATTTGCAATTGATGATAAATTTAATTGTCTGCAAATACAAGTTAGTTTGTATGATCAACTTTTGGTTCCTGAGACAAGCTTCTGCTGAAGTCTTCTTTGAGTTTTGTTGGTGTTTAGATTATAAAAGCTAGTCCTAAATTTTTTTATTTCCATAATGAATAGGGACACCGAGAAAGAAGCTGGTACTAAGAAACCACTAGAATCAGAGGTTTCATCAACTGAAGTGATCATTGAAGAGATTTCAAAAGGAAACTCAGATGGAAAATCAGCTGTCAAAGGCAAAAAGGTGAAAATATTTCTGACATCTTATCTACTTCCATGTCTTGTGCAGTCTTTGATGTTGTCTCAATTCCAAGCACCGTTTGATAAAAATATTGATGGATGTTTCAGGTCAGCATACTCTTTACTGGGAAGTTGAAAGATAGCGGGGAAGTGTTTGATTCGAACTTGGGAGAAGCTCCGTTAAGATTCCGCTTAGGTAACCTCATGGTCATTGTTGTTTCTCCCATCCTCTTAACACATTCTGCTTTATTTACTCTTTACCTTATAATGCTGCTTGCAGGTGGAGATAAAGTCATAGAAGGTCTCAACATTGGTGTTGAAGGTATAGTGGCTTAACCATTACATGATTTCAACTGATAATTCATAAATTTAGATATATTTTGAAGAGTATCGTTGGATTTCTAATTCTCAGGGATGCGAGTTGGTGATAAAAGAAGACTCACAATTCCGCCATCCCTCGGGTATGTCATAATAGTTTCTGTTAAGCATCTCTAGATGATTTGATTTATCTCAGCTTACTATTACTGTAACTAACCGAGTTTATACAACCTGCTCTGTTTCTCTTTCTCTAGATATGATAAACACAGGGACTCGGAAGATGGATTGAAGGGAGCTGTGCCTAAGAATGCGTGGCTAGTCTATGAAGTGGAGGCAGTAAAACTCAGATGATGCTATTAGCTTTTTTTTCCATTGGCTCTTGCCTAAAGTTTTGTTTTTTGGTTTTGCTTGAATCTTACAAAACATTGAAAGAAATCTTGCAAAACTCTAAACTCTCCGGAGTATTCAGTTAAAATGCATATCAATGAATGTTGTTTTGATGAGTTTCATGATGGTTATTGTTGAGTAAATGCTTCGGAATTGTTGAAACATGAGGCTCTCTTATACATATCAAGTCGTAGGCCGTTAGGCATTGTCTCACACACTTCAAAAGTAAAAAAATCGTACTGCAGGAATATAAAAGGGACCAGATTCTTTAGAGACAGATCAAAACTGAAGCTCATCTATATATACACACGTATATACACAAACGGTAAAAAAAGACTATTCATATAGGAAGACGATGATGAGGCGACAATGATTTGATCTTGATCCAGTTGAGAAGCTACTGTACTCTTTCCGATAGAGGAAAGTTGCTAATGTTGGATTCCATCTTGTTGAATGTGAGGTTTGCAATGGCTCTATCGATTGAGTTTGTCTCTGACTCTATCTCTTCCTCTCTACTCAACCTGCAATCATATAACTGTCACTTTGATCAGTCTCCTTCTCATAACAACATAATCAGATCAAGACCAATATAAAGGTTTCATTTTGAGTTAGAATCAGGAAAAAAGAATACTAAGATGTATACCTTGTATTATCACCATAATCAAATCTGGACGCTTGCATATGGAACTCTTCTGAGTTGTTGCTGACTGAATCAGTCTTGTCTTGCGAGTTCCTTGCAAGTCGGTAAAAGGTATCACGGAAACATTTGCGCGCCACATCAGTCAACTAGAAACAGCAAAATCAAACCCTTTTAGTTTTTTTTTTTTTTTTTTTTTTTTTTTTTTTGAAAAAAAAAAGACAAAGCAAAAAGCAAGTCCAAGTTTGAGAAACTGCGTACCTTTCCTGAAGCAATCTGTAGATCCTGCAACACGAGTTCTTCAGAAGACAGATCATCCACATAGTTTGAATCGAACATGTTCTCTTCTCCCTTTAAACCAGAAAATAAAATTGGAGGATTCTTATCAGAATCTCTAAATCAACCACACAAGAATCAGCTCCAAGTCAATATTAAGTTAAAAAAAAGTCAATCTTGGCGACCAATCTCTTACCTTTACAGGCATGACATGACAATGGAACATGGGAACTTCGCTGCCACCATACATAGCGGAAGATCCAACACTGTTATTGCTGCTGGAAGTACGATGCACATCTCCATCATTATCCTCCAAAATTGAACTCCTTCAAAACAAAAAAGATAAAAAAACATAAGCCTATATGCAAAAATGGTAAGACACTTATTTGTAATGATAATTAATGAAGAAAGAATGAGTCTTTACAAGAATATATCATCCATCTGCTCGATTCCTTCGAAATCGTGAAGCGAAGAAGCGCCGTAGAAAGCCTTTGATCTCTTAGACTCTTCCTCTTCTTCTTCGCTCGTCTTCATATCCATCTGACTGTACAACAAGCCTTCTCCTCCACTGAAACCATCGTAATCGAAACATTTCTCCGCAGCTTCAGGGGAGTTCATGCTCCATCCACCCCACATACCGTTAGATGGGTACGTCTCTGATGAAGACTCTTGGTAATTAGGCACAACAAGATCTTCGAAATTTCTTCCCGCATAACAATCCATAATCGATCGATCTATCATAAAACAGAACAAAGCTCACTATTTTCAGAAACGAATCAATCTAAATCTCAGAAGAAAAATATGAATGAAAATAAAAGAGAAAATACTCACTTTGTAGTGAACCGATGAGAGAGCTTTGATCAGACCGGAATAAGAAACTAAGATTAAGAAAAGAGAGAAGCTTTGGATTGAAAATATTCTTCACCTGTAAGCAAAAAGAGACCAAAGAGAGAGAGAGAGAGAGAGAGAAGAAGATTGTGGTTGTAATTGTATTGTTTCAACTTCCGAGGAGGTGAGAGAGAGAGAGAGAGAGAGCAGGAATCTGAACACAAGTAAGATAAAATCAAGCGCGTGATGGATAAAGCGCGTGAGGTAGATCTTGTTTTCGTGGCTCAGAATTCATAGAAGAGATTTGTGGCTAAGATCTTTCCTCCATCTAAAGCAGTCTTCTCATTGGTACACGTGTAAGGCCATATCTTTTCTTGTCTCCAAAGTCCGTCTTGAAGATATCAAAACCTCTGCAAGTTGCAGTATTTTAGACCATTACCTTTTCGTCATTCCAAAAATGACCTCATAAAGCAGTAAGAGGATAACGCGGTAGTTAGAGGATATTTTAGTCATTTTGGTGCAGAAACGTGTCTTGCTTGGCTGATATTTAGCGAGTACGTGGCGAGTTGTTTGTGGAGAAGAGTACACGTGGCATGTGATTAGCGGTAGACTGGCACGTTGGTTGATCCAGGTGATGGGGCCATGTGCTCGGAAAAAATAGCATTTAAGTGTTTCAACTTTCAACTCAAAGAGTAACTCATGGCTTTCTTATTGGGCCAAGGCCCAATCACTACAACGAGGAATTTAGTATCAGCATCTTTCTTCGCGCATTGAATTATTTTGTTTTGACGGCCATTGATTGAGATTGATTTCTTCGAGCTTCTTCCGGAATCAGCGAAGCAGGAAGATGTTCAAGAACACGTTTCAATCTGGGTTTCTGTCTATTTTGTATAGTCTAGGGTATATTTTTCGTTACTTCTTTCTTTACAATTTTTGATTAATTCGAATCGTTCGATATTCTCTTAACTATGGAGGTCTTTTTTTTTTTTTTTCCTTGCAGAAGTAAGCCTCTTCAGATATGGGACAAAGAAGGTGAGCAATTGATTATACAATAGGCTTTCTAAATTTTACGTTTTTTTGCTGTCAAAATCCACAATCAGCTGAATGAGTAACAAATCATTGATTAAGCTGCAATTTTTTTCTAGAAATTCGTCGAAGTTATGGTTTAGCTAAAGCATCTGTATTGTTTTTTTCGATTCATAGTTGTGGATGGACATGTGAAGCGTTGCCATGATGATGACATACAATCGAATGTGCTTGAAGTAGTTGGATCAAACATCCAGTCTACATACATTACATGTCCCGCTGATCTTTCCGCAACTCTTGGCATCAAACTCCCCTTCTTGGTCTTGGTAGTAAAGAATCTGAAGAAATACTTCTCCTTCGAGATTCAGATTCTGGACGACAAGAATGTGCGCCGGCGTTTCCGAGCTTCTAACTTTCAAGTCTGTATGTCTTTCCCTTGTTCACTAGCTTGTTCTGAATGTGTTATTATAGCAAGACCTCTGCTTTAGTTTCTATGCTGCTATTAGTTCATTGGTGATTCTCTTAACGCAATTGTTAATCAAGATCATTCTTAGTTAAAGGCAATGAGTAATAGGTAGCTTCTAGAAAATGTTTAGCTTAGTTGCTGCGTTACTCAGAAAGATACTGATTATCTAATTGTAGTATAAGCTTTGTCAGAATGTTATCTGTATTAGATATAGTTGTTGTTACTAGTATTGATGTTTTGTATTGAACATTTTTGTTTGTTTGTAGTCTGTGACTAGAGTAAAGCCATATATTTGCACAATGCCACTGAAGATGGACGATGGATGGAATCAGATTCAGCTCAACTTAGCTGATCTTACAAGGAGAGCTTATGGCACTAATTATGCTGAGACATTGCGAGTTCAGATTCATGCTAACTGCCGCCTCAGGCGCATATATTTTGCTGACCGTCTCTACTCTGAAGAAGAGCTCCCTCCCGAATTCAAGCTTTATCTCCCAGTCCAGGTTTGGACTTCTCTCTTTAGTTACTGCTTTTTCTCTCTTTCTTGCACAATTCTTTTTACTTACAAAGAATTCTCTTTTTTTCGTTTGACTGCAGAAAGCGTGAAAAGTTCACTCCGAAGTCTTCTACCATTTCCGTGGTGGTTACTGTAAACTGTTTCAGATAGACCTAGAGCGTTTACATTAGGTGCGAGTTTTAGTGTCGCTTGTAGCTTCCATGGTACTTGGAGTTTGCCTTACCTCGAGCATGCTTGAGACTTGATAACTTCACTGTGTTAAAAGTCTATATGAAATGGGATGATTTAAGCTTAAGATTTTGAATGAATTTTCATACATGATCTTGAATTAATGCAGACGAATGATGCTTTCATCATGTTGTACTGATTTGCGAGATACAAACATTAAAAGGGACCACAAATTTCAATCTTTTTTGAGAGTTAAAAATGTCATCAAGCCAAGAACACAATTATAGAACTGGATAGACTCCAATTTCTTTATTACATACAGTAGGGATGTTTTTACTGGCCAATGACTCGCTTGGCACCGTCTAAGGTGTTCCTGAGCAGCATTGCCACTGTCATTGGGCCTACACCACCAGGGACCGGAGTTATGAAACCTGCAACTTTCGTAGCTTCTGCGTAATCCACATCTCCAACCAACCGGTATCCTGATTTCTTGCTCGGGTCGTTCACTGCGTTAGTACCAACATCTATCACCGCAGCCCCTGGCTTTATCCAGTCGCCCTTAATCTGAAATTTCAAGACAACAACAGTGTTATCAAACTATTCTCAGTTGTCTACATGAGGTTGACTGAGTTTTTTTTCAAAAGACGATGAAAATATCTGAAAATCACCATGTGGGCTTGTCCGGCAGCAGCAATAATGATGTCAGCTTCCCGTATGATAGCCTCAGGATCCTTGGTGTGAGAGTGTACAGTTGTAACAGTAGCATCAGCCTTGAGCAATAGAAGTGAAACGGGCAAACCAACAATGTTACTACGCCCTACAACAACTGCTCGTTGCCCCTTTATCTTTATGCCGCTTCTCACTAACAGTTCCAAACATCCCTGCACGCAATAAATCACCTCAATAATCAACATGTTTCTTGAAAGAAGACTGGTGTCTGTATGCAAAGAAGAAGCAGTCAGTACCTTTGGGGTGCATGGAAGGAAGAGGGGTTCTCTGCCTTTCATGGCAAGCTTACCAATATTCAATGGATGGAAGCCATCTACATCTTTACCAATGCTGATTGCACTCAAAACATTCTCCTCATTAATATGTTTTGGCAATGGGAGTTGCACTAATATACCTGCAAATCAAAGTACCAGAGCTTACATAAGTTTAGATGAATGATAGATAACTTAGACATACAAGATAAATAAAAATTGACAGCAAAAACTATACCATGGACAGTTGTATCTGAATTTAGCTCATGAACTTTGCTTATAAGATCAGCTTCACAAACATCCTCTGCTAGGTCCACATCAAATGACTTTATCCCAACCTCAGCACACGCTTTCCTCTTCATATTCACATAGGTCTGCGAATCCTTTCGTTGCCCTACTATAACAACTGCTAGTCCTGGGACCTGCACAATGGTAATGCCACACTCAATTTGATTCTCTCGCGTTCTTTAAATTATATAAAAGGTATTAACTGAAGCTATAAGAACAAACAAACTCACTCATTCGTTACACTCTCTCTTATTACAATGATCTATCAAACCATAACTTAGCTCACCATCTGTCTGACATTTAGACAGACAGTATGCTACTTGAATGTAGTGCAGGCAAGAATATTCAAAAGATCCCAAACAAAAGTTACATATTCATGAACTAAAGGCAGAAAAAACTTCCCAGAATTAGTAAGTAGTCAACGCATTCACTGTTTTCAACGATTCAACTGAAACGGAGCTGACATTTGAGCTTGGTTAGCTTTTTTCTAAAGAATGATGTGATCATAGCTATGGATTTAGAACCTTAAAGCTTAAAGAGAGTAAATTTCTAATGATCCAATAATTTTCTGATCAATCAAGCTTTGCTTAGAAGAGACAATTGCACAGAGAGACATATCAAAATTAAGACACTGAATCTAGAGAACAGAACACAGATTATCTGGACCCCCAAGCAGTGGTAAAACCGTGAAATTAACTATAATTGCTATAAGATGTGTCTACCTTGATTACCAAAAAAAAAAAGATGTGTCTACCTTGCCGTGTTTCTCAGACAGATCGCGAACTTCCTCGGCGATCTCTGATCGGATGGTATGAGCAATCGCCTTTCCATCGATTATCTTCGCCGTTTGATCTGATGGTGAAGCCATGAGCTTGTCGTAATTCGCCTGTGTCCGAAAAATATCGAATTACGTATCTGGTGGTTAGTGTAACCACCACTATCCACAGTCAAAGATAGCGAGCAGGACTTAAATCTGAATCCTCCCCGCGAATAGAACACTTCTCCACCTGCAACCAAACGTTCCAAAATGGCATAAGATGTAATTTCCGCGAGATCCAACCAAACGACGATCGGAAACGGCGTCGTATGATATGGGACCTACCGCAACTTACACGAGGCTTTGTCGCGGTCACGAAAACCCAGACGTCGTTATGGCCCACTCCGTTTGATTTAACACCGCCGTCACGGCGAATCTTTTCCCTCCCAGCGTTTCACGCAACAACAGTAAGAAAGTTTTGGCGGTAAATTGGGTCATCGAGGGGTACGTGTCAACTTGTTAATGGTCGATAGTGCGCGTATATAATTTTATACGCATGTGTATGTATACTTCGTGTTGTTTTTCCCGCGCGAGATATATTCTTTTTTAGGGTTTGCCGCACAATCAGAGCCCCAGTCTAGAGAGAGAGAGAGAGAGTCAGGTGGAGATTTACGGAAGGCGATAAGAGAGAAATTGGTAGGATTTACGGAGATCTCTCTCTTTGCGTTACTTTAATTCGTCGATTTCTTAAGGAGGCGTTAGCAGTGAGAGTTCTTAAAAGTTGGATCTTCTGTTCAGCCGTGAACAGCGACGTTTCGGTTTTTGGGATCTGTGATACAAAAATGTAAGACTTTTTCTCTTTTGCATATCCTTGGATTTTAATTTTATATCCGGATGGGTTATCTTAATTTTGTATCGATGGTTTTTCGCGATTTCATTGCAACTTCGAGAGAATTCTTCATGAAAAAAACAGTGAAGGATTTTTTCAGATAAAATTTGGGGAAAGTTAGCTTCAATTTAAGGATTTGAGATGATTCCCCAATTTTTTTCGTTTTCCCCCAATTTTTTGTCTACAAAATCGCATTGACAAAATCGAATATTGGTTCTGTGTCATCTTCCCAACAGGTTCCTGCTAGTTCAATTTGTGATTTAGTTAACATATCAATTTGCCTTGAAAAGTCCTCTCAGTTAAATCAGTTTATTTGGAAGACCAATTAGCTTAATTTTGTTTCATGTTTTCAGCTTCGTTTTAGACTATGGAAGAAGTTCAGCCTCCAGTGACCCCACCCATTGACCCCAATGGAAAAAGAAGCGAAACATCGCTCTTGGAGTTATGCGAGGTTTTACTCTATTTTTGGTGATCTCTAATTGCGTCCCAATGAATTGAAGACTAGATCTAATCCCTGGAATTAATTTCTTATTTGCAGAAATCTCTATCTCTTGAAGGGAGCATCTGCGACGAAGTTTTGAAGTTGTTTACTGAAACCAAACGAATTTTGTCAGCAAACATGTCTAACATTGGCAATGGAACGGTAAATTTTTCTTTTTTAATTGTCTCCTTCTCCTTTACTAGTAAACAGTTTCTTTCGGTAGCTAATTCTTACTTTTTGCTCTTTCTTTTAGCGGGAGGAAGTAGAGAGGTTCTGGTTTGCGTTCATTCTCTATTCAGTGAAGAGGCTTTCTGCGAGAAAAGAAGCAGACGGTCAGTCAGTGACTACTGATAATGGGTTTAATCTATGTCAGATACTGAGGGCTCTAAAGCTAAAGTACGTATTGTTTACTCTTCCTTCTTATCTTTCTTTTATGACATTTGTATTGATGATATTCCTTGTTTCTGTTTCAGCATCGTGGATTTCTTTAGAGAGTTACCTCAGTTTGTAGTCAAGGCTGGTCCTGTACTATGTGAACTTTATGGTGCAGACTGGGAGAATAGACTTCAGGTACTACCTAAGCTCTGTAGTTTTATTTTGGTCCATCAGTGCTAATTTTACTTCTCTTAACCTGTGTTACTTTCTGCTCGTTTTACTTACCAGGCAAAGGAGCTCCAGGCGAACTTTGTGCATCTTAGCCTCCTAAGCAAGTGGGTTTAGTTCCTTTCCTGTGTTGCACTCTCTTTTCGTTTTTGTTTGCTTTGTGGCATAATAGTGGTTGACATTTTTTGTTTTTTTTCACTATGCAGTAATCAATTTTCCATTAAATAAGATTTTAGAATTTCTGATTTCTGGTGTCTGGTTTTTATGTGAACTTATTTTGTGAATGATGTTTTTTGGTATCCTTTCTGACAGTTACTACAAACGGGGGTACCGAGAATTCTTCTTGACATACAATGCAAATGCAGAAAAGACCTCAGCAACCTCTGCTAGCTATTTGCCGGATAGTTACCGTTTTGGATGGTTACTCTTTTTGGCACTCCGAAACCATGCGTTTAGTCGATTTAAAGACCTTGTGACATGCACAAATGGTCTAGTTTCTATATTGGTTAGTGACTTGCTTTACATATTCTGTCATTCATTTTAGTCTTGTTATACTTTATAACTTGACAGACGTTTCATTTCTAAAATGAAGATAAGTATAGGCTAACTTTTCTTTTCGATATCAGGCTATTTTGATCATACACGTCCCTTGTCGGTTTAGAAATTTCAGCACCCAAGACTCTTCACGGTTTGGTAAGTCTTTATATCTTTTAGCCCCGTTATTTTCTTCTAGCCGGATAACAGTGGCAGCATTTGATGTTCATTCTCTACTCTCGTTTCTGTGATGAATTTTAGTTATGAAAGGGGACAAAGATGTAGACTTGGTTGCATCACTTTGCAAGATATATGACGCCTCAGAAGATGAATTGAGGAAAATAATGGACAAGGCAAATAATTTGATAGAGACAATATTGAAGAAGAAGCCATCTTCAGCATCAGAGTGCCAAACCGACAAGCTGGATAACTTTAGCCGAGGTTGGTTTAAGAACATTTTTCCTTAGCAAAGTCTTGTGAGTTGATTGAACCATTTTACCTTATTGTTCATTAAAAATGGAGTTTACTTTTCAGATGGCTTGACCTACTTTGAGGACTTACTGGATGAGACATCCATCTCAACTAGCTTAATCACTCTAGAAAAAGATTACAATGATGCAGTTTGTAATAAAGGCGAACTCGAACTCGATGAGAAGATGTTCATCAATGAAGAGGATAGCTTACTTGGATCTGGAAGCTTATCTGCAGGAGCTGTAAATATTACTGGTGTTAAGAGGAAAATTGATGCTTTGAGCTCACCTGCAAGGACATTCATAAGTCCACTCTCTCCTCACAAGTCACCTGCTGCTAAGACAAATGGTACCAACAAGTTGACAGCAACACCAGTGAGCACAGCAATGACAACGGCAAAGTGGCTCAGGACTGTCATATGTCCGCTTCTGCCAAAACCTTCTCCTGGGTTGGAACTTTTCCTGAAATCATGTGATAAGGATATAACAAGTGATGTCACCCGAAGAGCACATGTAATACTGGAAGCTATTTTTCCAAATAGCTCCCTTGGTGACCGTTGTGCAGGCGGAAGTTTGCAACCTGTTAATCTGATGGATGACATATGGGCAGAACAGCGGAGATTAGAAGCTGTCAAGTTATACTACAGAGTTCTGGAGGCAATGTGCAAAGCAGAAGCTCAGATTTTGCATGCAAATAATTTAAACTCTTTATTGACAAATGAGAGGTTCCATAGATGCATGCTGGCTTGCTCAGCTGAACTGGTTCTGGCTACCCACAAAACCATAACAATGTTGTTCCCAGCTGTTCTAGAGAGGACTGGGATCACAGCCTTTGATCTCAGCAAGGTTATAGAGAGTTTCATCAGACACGAGGATTCTCTCCCTAGAGAGTTGAGACGGCATCTGAACTCACTGGAGGAACGGCTTCTAGAGAGCATGGTATGGGAGAAAGGCTCTTCAATGTACAACTCTCTGATTGTTGCCAGGCCATCGCTTGCATTGGAGATTAATCGGCTTGGGTTACTAGCTGAACCGATGCCATCTCTGGATGCAATTGCTGCTCTTATTAACTTCTCTGAAGGATCACATCATGATTCATCTATTCAAAAGCATGAAAATTGTCCAGGTAATTTTTTTCTTGAATAAAATCTAGTTGAAACGGCTTTTGCCAACCTGCTGTTAATGGTGTGGTTTTCTTACCGAAAACTTGAAATGTACTGCCATATAGGACAAAATGGGGATATTAGATCGCCCAAAAGACAATGTACTGATTACCGCAGCATTCTAGTTGAACGCAATTCCTTTACATCACCAGTAAAGGATCGTCTGTTGGCCTTTAGCAACGTTAAACCCAAGATGCTACCACCTCCGTTGCAGTCTGCATTTGCCAGGTACATTTTCGGTGATTATGGGTAGAAATGGTGGGGTGGTTTACCATTTTATTTGAAGTCCCCCTAATTAGTTCGCTTATCCATGTACTTGTTAAGTTTACTGTTTCCGATATATGTCTGCAGTCCGACACGGCCCAATCCAGGAGGTGGAGGAGAAACTTGTGCAGAAACTGGTATCAATATTTTCTTCACTAAGGTAGGTCAATGCGATCTTTTGAGCCAAATATCTGATACTACTTACAACTAAGCTATGGTTAGATGCACTATATTTCCTACTCACTATATGATGGTTCTTCCCAGATTAATAAATTGGCTGCCGTCAGAATCAATGGAATGGTGGAAAGGCTACAACTTTCACAGCAAATAAGGGAGAGCGTATATCGTCTCTTCCAACATGTACTTGCTCAGCGGACTTCTCTTTTATTTAATCGACACATTGACCAGATCATTCTCTGTTGCTTCTACGGAGTGGCCAAGGTGAGGAGAGTGATTTAAGGTCTTAAGATAATGTCATCTGGTTTATAAAGGCTTCTCATCCGCTTATACTTTCCTTTTTATCATGAATCACCCTGCAGATATCCCAAATGAGCCTGACTTTCAGGGAAATCATATACAACTATCGGAAGCAACCACAGTGTAAACCACTAGTATTCCGCAGCGTTTTTGTGGATTCGTTACAGTGTCGCCGTCAAGGGGTATATATAATATACACCCTTAATTTTAAGCTGAAAAAGTTTCTTTTACTCTGTGGATAAAATTTAAACTTGTGACAATGACTTGTGTAACAGAGAATAGGGCCAGATCATGTTGACATCATCACATTCTACAACGAAGTATTTATTCCGGCCGTAAAGCCATTGTTGGTGGAGATATGTCCTGTGAGAAACGACCAAGGTGTGGAGGCCAATAATAAGCCTGAAGGTAGTTTAGAAATGCTAGATTCTTGTTAGGCAAAGAATTATTCTTGATTGCAGTCCCATTAATTAATTGATTGTCTTACAGGTCAACGTCCTGGATCGCCAAAGGTGTCTGTGTTTCCAAGTGTTCCAGACATGTCCCCTAAAAAAGTATCCGCCGTGCACAATGTCTATGTTTCTCCTCTTCGAGGATCAAAGGTAAAAAAAATCTCTTTATCACGACGATATGACCAAGTGTTGAGGAGAATGTAGGTGACGAAATTGTTTTGGATACGTTGCAGATGGATGCTCTTATTTCACACAGCTCGAAAAGTTACTACGCTTGTGTTGGAGAGAGCACACATGCTTACCAGAGCCCTTCAAAAGACCTATCTGCCATCAACAACCGTTTGAATAAGTAAGTCAAAAACACACTACTCATCAGCTTCTTCAGTATATAGGATCTGGATAAAACCAACCCACTTATCACATCTGGTGTGTCACAGCAGCATTAGTAACCGCAAGAGGACGCTAAACTTTGACGTAGAAGCAGGAATGGTCAGCGATTCCATGGTAGCAAATAGCCTTAACCTCCCAAACCAAAACCAAAACGGAAGCGATGCATCGTCCTCGGGTGCTGCGCCCCTAAAAACCGAGCCACTAGATTCATAGATTACCTCGCTCGCTATTTGTAACGGCAACTTCTCTTTTACTATGCTATCATCATCTGTAAATGCTTTTCGTAGAGAGTTTGTTTTTTCTTGAGTAGCTTTCTAGTGATCATCCTCAGTGAGTGGTCAAAGAAAACACTTGTTTTATTAAAGTTACACTTTCACATTGATTGACCTTTTAGATATAATCTGAAATAATCGTCGTTTTTTCAATTTTCCAGCTCTCAATAAAGTTTTATGGATCTTACTCAACTTTAGAAAATCCTACTAATTTAATTATGAAGAAATCCTGAGCAAAATAAGTTGTGTAGATCAAAAATGAGAGAAAAAAACTGAGTCTTACATTTGGGTACAAAAACACATTCATAGGTTAAATATTTGAACCGGCCAACAACGCTTCTGACCCTTGGAGCTCACCCCTGTAGCCTCTAGCGAGATATCAATGCTGCGATGCTCAGACGCTCTTGCAACACTCACACGCAGATGAATCCTTGCGGCAGGACATTCTACAGTTCCAATGGCTCCTCTTCTGTCATCACCACCAGACAGAAGCGTGGCTGGCGCCACTGAGATTGGTTCTTTGAACGTCAAGACCGTCTGGGACCAGTGCGTTGGCGGAGTGTAGGGTGATGTGGATAGTACGGTTGGATTTTCCTTGCAGAACCTATTGGTGAAACCTGCGTCAAACCACAACACAACACCGTGGCACAAACTCATTTTGGCTTCTGACTCGTTGGGCTCCAGCGTTGCTGTTGCTGTGAAATCTACCTCATCCGGTTTCATGGTAGCCAGGTCAAATGCCTACAAACAGAGAAAAAATTCAAGGAACTTAATTTCGGCAAGTCTTTTTTTTATTCCTGGCAGAAATTAAACAATGTTTGAGCTTTCAAACCTGGAGAAGGGCAGGCTGTGTCACTAAATCACGCTCCTCTACGACATCAACAACGGGAATTCGAGCAGTATCTTCAAAAATTTCCTTGCCAATTGAGGACATGTCAAATCCATAGACATCCTCCCAGAAAAGAAGACTTGTGGCGCCTTTGCCAAACCCAGCAACAAACTGATCCCCACCAAGGAGAAAAAAAGAAAAGGGACTAAACTCATCAAATATGATATTAAAAGAAGAAACATCATTATCGAGGGGAAAAGATTAAGTATTACCATAGTGGCTGTGTCGGGGAGGATTGCACCTCCAGGCTTCAACCACCGGTCTCTTGCATAGAGCACAGAGCTGAGCATTGACTCATATAGAAGGCAGTATCCCATCCATTCGCTGACTAGCACATCAACACTATGAGGTTGAATCTTTATGGATTTTTCTAGCTCTTCAACCATTGAGTGTGCAACTTCAAGTACCCCATTGTGCTCGTTATCATGAAAAACTCTGTTATCCTTGGCAATCTGTTAGCAAGCAATTTTTCAAACGAGAGAAGAATTACTCTATGAGATATAAGGCAAACAATTTTTAAAAAAATTGAGAAAAGGAGAGAAAGCTAACCTTAGTTGCAACTTTGGCCATCTTCTCGCTAGCTTCAACTGCAATTACCCTTGAAGCCCCAGCTTGAGCAGCAAAGAGACTGCAGGCATAAGTAATATAAGAAATGTAAATGATTCCTTTGCAATTAGCCTATGCATACTCCAGATAAGAGTTACCAAAAATTTCGCATAGCAACCAAACGATATGCATATAGACAGGGAAAATTCAAGTGAAGCCTTCAGAATGAGAACAAAAAAAGGCAAATAGAGACACCAGATAAGAAGAGTGCTTAACAAAACGCATATTTAAACTTAAATCACATGTTCAGTCTTAAAATTAGATCCAATAAACGAAAATGAGTGAGAGGATTCCTGGAGAGAATAAATAAGCTGCTAACTCACCTCAGTATCCCAGTTCCACAACCAACATCCATTACAACAGAGCCACTCAAGAGAGTAGGATTCTTCAAAAGTGCATCCCGGTACGCTTCAGTTCTAACCTGCAAAGCAGTTAAACGAAAATGAATACATCTTACAGTTTGACACAGTCCATAGATTAACAAGTTAGTTAATGTTGACATGAGATTCGAGAAAGTATCAGTGCATCACCTTATCACTTATCATCTCCTTGTGAATACCGAATGAACTATAAGATCCAAAATAGTTTTCATTCACTTTTCTGATATTCCTACCAACCAGCTTCCCATCACAAACCCTTTCCACACCAACATCTGTTTCTTTACCTTTCCCATTGACTCTCAAATCATCCCCAGAACTTTGCTTCAAGCCATTGCCGTTGGAGACCAGAGTAACATCTTTACTTCCATTCAAATTGCATTTTCCATTGCTTGACAGTGAGCTTTCCCCTAAAGCCTCATCATCAATGCTTAAATCCCCAAGTTTCTTCAATTCCTCCATCACTTCCTCTCTGTCAACTGGCTCGTCTTCGTCTTCCTCATCATCTGCAAAGCTGTACAAAAGTGAATCCTCCTGCCAATAGGGCTTCAGGTATTTCTCTTCATCCCAAGGAAGCTTCACATCTTTCAAAGCTTGATTCGATTCAGCCCAACTCCAGCTTTTGTTCTCAGCCACCTAGTAAACATCAAAGGAACCAAATTTATCAAATAAGATAAACCTTTAAAAAAGGGAGCAGGAAAAGCATGGAAATTTCACAAACCTGTGACCGAATATAGTTGATGAGCTTAAACGAAGCGTAGAAATCCAATTTCAATTCCTTTCTAGTTCCATGAAAATCAAATCCGTGGCTCAGACGACAGTGGTCGAAGAGTGAATCACAGGAAACGTGGTGAGAATCACAAAACAAACACACGAAATCAGATTCGGAGCCGTCGTCATCTCCCCCCTCTCCTCCTCCTCCTACACCATCCTCATCTGCTTTCCAGTCTCCCCAATCTCCATCGTCTGAGAAGTTTTCTTCTTCTTCATCGCTGTAGTTGAGAAGCTCGTCCTTCACCATCTTTGCTGCCGCAGCCATGAGAATGATAACTTGAACGGCGCCAAGTTCTCTAAGAGAGGTTTAAGAAGCGGAGACACCCCGGCGGGATGGAATAGATAATGACCTTTTTACCCTTTTCAGATAACCAGCTGGGTTCAGTCCAATCTGACTCCTAAACCAGAGAGTAAACCGAAACTAATCTGGACTGAAATAATCACAGATTAGGCCCATTTAGTCACTCAGTCTGAAACGACGTCGTTTAAACTTGTGGAAGCATTTCAGATGTTTCTTTCTCAAATCGAGTACTGTGTTTCGCATTTCCTCTTATCTCAGGGAGAGAAAATTCACGATTTAGCGATTAAACAGCGTAGATCAGATGGCGGCACCTTTCACGTTGAGGAAAATCGGTGTTCCGCCGAATTCAGCGAACCTGACGGAAGCTCGCCGCCGTGTTTTCGATTTCTTTAGAGCTGCCTGTAGATCCATCCCTACCGTCATGGACATTTACAATCTTCAAGATGTCGTCGCGCCTTCTCAGCTCCGCTTTGCAATCTCTGCTCAGATTCGGAACAACGCTCACATCACCGACCCTAAGGTACTTTCCCTAATATCACTCTGATTAAACTCCAGACCGGTTTTTTAGAAAATTGATTTGAAATCAAATTGCTGACGCTCCTTGGTAATATTGATTCGGTTACCACATTGACGAAACACTCAGCTTTTTTGGTGTTTAGGAGATCGTAAATGCGTTCATTGGACTTTTGACTTGGTTTTATTGTCATCTATGTTTGAAAGTTGAAAGCTTACCTTCTACCATTCGGAATTTTATGAAAGTAGTTTATGCGATTGGAGACATAATTTTCTGGATAGTTTAGTCTTAGTGTGTGGAGACTTTTTCGGAGCAGAAAGGTGGGAGCTTTTACTCATTACTTCCTGCTAAAGCTGTGCTGCCTTGTAGTTCCTTCTGTATGTGACATTAGAAACTTTCTTCTTTGCATTTGTCTAAAAGAAAACGGAAGCAGAAGTCGATATGTAGAACCCGCTACAACAATATATACATTGAAGAAAAAATCCATTTTTCTCTCGTAATATGACAACATTGTTGGTATTTGGTACCCTACATAAAGATTTGCTTGTGTGGCGAGTTGTTTGAATTTTGAACCACCAATCTAAGGCATCTTCTTGAGTATGGTCGCAGTGATCTTGGATTTTTGTTCTTTTGCTTTCGATTGGCTTTCTTTTTAGGTGCTTTTAGAATGGAATCTATTCCTGATGATAGTTTTGGTTCTGCAGGTAATTGATCTGCTTCTATTCAAGGGAATGGAAGAGCTGACTGATATAGTGGATCACGCAAAGCAACGTCACCACATTATCGGCCAATACGTGACAGGTGAAGGGCTTACGCAGAACACCGGAAACAAGGATGAAGGAAAGTCTGATTTTCTCAAGAATTTCTATACCAGCAACTACAATTAACCTGGTGATGTTTTTCTTTTCAAGCTTCACATAAGCTGTACTGGTTATGTCATACTCAAGTTTCGCACAAGTCTTTCCAGTATTGTATTTTCGACCTTAGGAAGAAGTCTTCTTCCCGATAATAATTCGACTTTTTCCATTTGTACGCCTATTTTCTCTCCGCTCAGGGTGGTTTTAGTAGTACTAGCCAAACCTCTCTAAGATTTATCTGTGATAGTGTTTGCTGTGCAAATCTTGCTATGTTATCAAGATACATAATCTGCTTTGTTTTACCTTTAACTCTCAATATAAATTGAATTGGTCCGTTTGAGTTATGATCATACAATCCAAGTTTCTCCATCTTCTGTCATGTTGGTTACTACGACCTCACACTGATGACCTATCCTCTCTCAATATTCAAAGACCTATAAACATTCCACTCTCTAGAAACTAAGCAACCTGATGGCTAAAGATTACAACACACACACACACACCACACTCAAGTCTTTGGGGATCTCAGAGAACCATTTTCAAATGCAGTCTTCTTTCACAAAATAGTTGCGTTTGGTAAGAATCTGAGAAGGACTTGCTTTGTGATCTCTTGGAAGGAGTATCCCAGCCGATTTGAGTCGTAAGATTATGTATAGAGCACTATACTATTCTTGTGTTTCACTCTCTTGGCCGGGCAAGCCACAAGGAACTAAGAGCACGTAGTCGAGATGAATAATCATGTATGGCAAGAAGAGCACGAGCTGACTGACGCGTTGTTAACACTCTTATCATCTGTTGCAGCGTTTGCAGCCTCAAGTTATCAGCCTGCCACCAAGAAACGCCCTATGAACTCCATAACAAACAGATGCCTATATACAAGATTTATCTATTTGGGACGATGCAAAGCTCATTGTAGGGTATGTCTCACGATAACATCCAAATTTCAAACGTACCTGGCGGATGAATCCTTCAAGGGTGCCTAACTGTCCCATCGCCATGGCCATCTGACCCATGTAGCTAGCGACATTATCAGACGAACTAGAACCAAGAGTCCCACTGGATAAAGTATCAGCTAAAGATTGCTGTAAACTCTCCATCCCTTGAGATAACGCATCTTCAGCCTGCTGGGACGTCTGCTGCAAGCTATTTATGCCCGTCACCTGTCGTTCTGTCATTGGCTCCAGCTGATTCGCAAGAAGCTGTCGTAAAAGGTTTTGACTCATTAGATGTTGGTTTGGTTATCAAAATTTTGTCTATGAACTTGTAAGCTCACCTTGAGAAGTTCAGATGAACGGAACCCGCCAAGCCACAAGAAGCATCTCTCAGCTGGTGTTTTCCACATGCCAGATAGCAAGTGGAAGACATCATTCTTAGCTGCGTTGCTCTTGATCCTGAAAAGCTCCTCATAGTGAGCCATCACTCCATCCACTATTATCCGGAGTTCAGCATTACCAGCATGAGCATTCAGAGCAGATCTTAGCTCGTTCATTTGCCTGTTCTTTTCTTCAAGCCATCGTGAATGTTCGGCATCAAAGGCCAAAGCCCCTGCAGAAAGACAAGTGTATTAGATCAAAAATAAACCCACAATACTTGCACCTTGCAGACCTAGAGCCTATACTAGCGCTAACTATATGGAACGTCAGTATTGATATCACCATGACTCCAATCTCCCATCTAGATCTTTATCAACCTTGAAACTATCTTAACATATTGCCATGAGATGACTTATGCTATCACCATTTCATCAATCAGCATCAAGCTGACAGAATATCTGCATTTATCTTAACCTAAATGTCACAAGCCAAAAAAAATCAATCTGAAAACTAATGGAGAAGATTCAACCCACCATTTCCACCAGTAGAATGAGCTTGGTCTCCTGAGCTTGAGATGAAAACTCCCTAAAAAAAAAGAAAAGGTAATCTCACTTATTTATGCAGAAATTACAAATACATTCGTGACAAAGAATCTGATAAGAACCGGAACATAATTCTCTTTATTCCTTCAACAACCGATGAACAAACCAGGAAAGAACCAAGGATTTATTCGAGAGAATTACATTTCACCATCACCCAACAAAACTATCAATGACCCATAATTCTGTTACCTCCTCTACTTCAGCTAATCCAAGACTCGACTAACTTGTTAACAGTCTAACAGTTATAATTTGAAGTGGCATCAGGCCTTGACTAAAGTGGAGCCCCTTCTATCTTCCACATGAAGACTTACTTATCAGAAGCACACTAAATAAGAAAGCGAAGTTAAACCTGCTGTCTTGCTCTTTGCAGCTCCTGCTCAAGTTGTGTCAGTTTCAATCGGCTGTTCTCAAGCTGTTGAACATACGCCTATGGAGGAAACAATAACATGCTTCAGGTAATGGCAAATAGATATTCTTCCAAAGATGTTCCAAGGAAGTAAGAGTATACAAGAAAGATCAAAACAAGAAGAAAAGCAACATTCACCTTCTTCCTCAGTCTGCTTTTTCTTGCTGCTTCTCGGTTTTGAGCAAGTCTACGAAGGGTCTATAGATAAGAAGAAAAAGGAAACAAAACAGATTATGCATATGAGCAAATATAAACAAGATACTTGTTGATCCACAGAGATGAATTTGTGACCTTTTGATCCAACTTATCCTTAGATCGATCGCTGGAATCAGAAGCAGCAGGAAGCATCACGTTCCCTCTTTCAGACTGCATGTAATAAACATGAGGAATTAGTCCTGTGGATTTGGCTCTACCGGTAGAATGTCCCAAAGTTTAACCAAGGGAACCCGGTTCAAGCCTCCCACGAGTGACATTTTAGAAAATGCAATACAAAAAAAATGATTAGAGCCAGATTACGAGCTAACCCCCAGATCTCTAGGATCTGTGTCGCCATCAGTTGAGGCATCTGTCCTTGAACTTGTATCAGCCATGTTACTTTCTAATACTAATACTTGATGCAGAGACTATCCACTCGTGCTCCCTTTTTCAGTGGTTGCCTCTGGTGCAGAGAGTCTTACACTAGAGGGAGAAAAGACTGCCAAGAGGAAAGAAAGAAAAAAAGATGCAGACAAAGGAAATTAACAGATAGCAAGATAGAGAAGACATGATAACAGAGAGAGAGAGAGAGGCTAAAGCGCCTTACCAAAACAACCAATATGAATGGATAAGGAACAACCAGTGAACCATTGACTGAGCTGAATGACAAAAATAAACAGTTTAAGTACTACATTTTTTGCTACTGTAGTAATAATTACTGATAAACATACTGCTAGATGACTCCAGTACTGACTAAACTAAGCAATTGAACACATACCAAAGCAACTCACTGAGGCAACGAGAAGAACGCAAAGCTAATATAATTACATCCAACTAAACAAGTAGTTCCGCAAAGTCTAAAACCGCTCGAAGATTGAGAAACTACGTTCAGATATTACTCTTAGCCAACAGATCGAAGTTAACATTAGTAGAACTTATGTAACTGCCAAGGTAAAAAAATGCCTCAGATTGGACTTTAGCCACACTCACAAGAAATCCAAGTTATTGGTTCACGGAAACCAGCTTAAGTCACACAGCAGTAGCATAACTACTTGAGTCTACTAACATGGCCTGAAACAAAATCTGAGGATGAATTCGAAAGCTAACACAAGCGAGAACTAAGCATAGAGCAGCAGCTCATACATAACTCACCACCAAGGATTCAAAATCTATTCACTGAACAGAATTCAACAGAAACATGAAATTCTGAGCATATTAACATTTCAAATCCAAGACTTAGTCAGAGAATTCTAAGAATTTTGGCTGCTGAAAACGCCATCAGATGAACAAAAAGCTTCGAACTTTATAAGCTTCTGAAAGTCAACTAGTTCTTAATTTCCAAGGCAAAACACAAAGTTGTACAAAAAAAGTAAGCTTTTCAAATGACTAAAAGCAAGACAAAGAACGAGGAAACTCCAAACATGGATAAAGAAGAAAAGAATCCCTAAGCTTAAAGAGCTTGAGTTGAGAAAGAAAGAAGCTCACCTGGACAAAAATGAAAATCTTATGTCTGAGTAAAAGGTTGTCCGAAATCGGATTGAAGGAAGAAGCAGAGACACGATCCGAAATTTCAATCTCTGAGACGTCGTTTTGTCTACAAACCCACCATCCCCAAAAGAACATCGATCAATTTAGCGAAATATTGCAAGCTTAAACCCCATAACTATTCTTATTACCACCCAACGAACTCTATATTCATAAAATTTACAAACCAACCCATATAGTTTTCTCATCGATCAATAACATCCCATTTCTCGCTATCGAACCGGTTCAAATTGTTGGTCGGTCCGGGTTTTTCAGGCAATGCCAATGTAGTTAAGAAATTATTTTATCTTTGACTGGCTTCCTCCCATGTGCAAACAGCAAACTGCAAAGGCCTTTTGTCCCTTCCAGGTGCATTCTCACGTGCCAGACTTTTCATTTGAGTAGCAAAAATCCAAAGAGAAATAAACCAGAAACTGAAGGACAACAAAAACAAGCTTAACCACCTACCTACTCGGTTATAGACTAACCGGTTTATATGGTTAAAAAAGACCAATACCGAACTGGAAAGCTTCCTTGGGGTCAACGCCTCTGTTTTTGAGTGTATAAAAATATGTTTTTCACATAACAAACGAAAACTCAAAAAAAAACAAAATGGGTTCTTGGATGATCAAGTTGTTGCTGCTGCAACTTGTAATTGTGTTGATTCATCATGTTGAATCAGGCTCTATCATCAAATATCTTCCTGGTTTTGATGGCCCTCTTCCTTTTGAGCTTGAAACCGGGTAGGTTCTGTTTCTCAACTTCATCTTATTCTTTGCATTAAGCTTTCTTAATGGTTGACTCTGTGTTCTGACTTTTGGAAATTACTCAGGTACATCGGTGTTGGCGATGCAGAAGAAGATCAATTTTTCTACTACTTCATTAAGTCTGAGAGAAATCCAAAAGAAGACCCTCTTCTTGTTTGGTTAACCGGAGGACCTGGCTGCTCCTCTTTCTCTGGCCTTGTTTATGAGAACGGTAAACCTTAAATCTTCCTTCTTTGTCTCCACAGAATATTTAATGACTTTGTAAAAAAAAAATCAGGACCTCTTGCTTTCAAGGTTGAGACATACAATGGAAGTGTCCCCTCCTTGATCACTACTACATATTCATGGACAAAGGTAATGTAAGTTGTATTAGTATTCATGACAACTCAATGAAGATATATTTTCCATCTTCAAGTTTATATGATCATTGCTTGTTTTTCAGGTGGCGAGTATAATCTATTTGGACCAGCCTGTTGTGACTGGATTCTCCTACTCAAGAAACTCACTAGCTGATATACCAAGTGACACAGGATCAACTAAGCGGGTCGATGAGTTTGTTCGTAAGGTAAAAGTCAAACTCAAAACTGTCTCTGAATGCATATATATAATGTATGTCTTTATGCGTAGACTTTTGAAGATTTTGTTATTGTTTTTTTCTGATTCTTGTGCAGTGGTTAGCCAAGCATCCTGAGTATTTCTCCAACCCTTTCTATGTCGCCGGAAACTCTTATTCCGGTAAGGTGATTCCTGCCATTGTTCAAGAAATGTCAAACGGTAAGTTTTTTTATCACTTATGTAAACCCTTTACTTTACTCTTGTTTCTTGATCAGTTAATCCACCAATTTTGTCACAGGAAACTGTATATGCTGCCAACCTCAAATAAATCTTCAGGTTCATCAGTATTTTCTTGCTCTTACTTTGTTGTCACATACGGACCGTAACAAGCATTAATAATTCAAGAGCTTTGTGTGCCTATCTAAAAACAGGGCTATTTGCTCGGAAACCCGGTAACAGACTTTGATGCTGACCAGAACAGTCGTATTTCATTTGCTCATGGAATGGCACTCATCTCTGATGAACTCTTTGAGGTACCAATTACATAAGCTAGGAATTCCTTCGTCTCTTTTAATGTCACCACAATGAAGTAGTTTAACGAACCATTTCAAAACTCTTACTTATTTGTAGTCGATGAAGAGAAGCTGTGGAGGAGATTATTATAATGTGGATCCTCTTAATACGGATTGCTTGAAACTCGTTGAAGAATTTAACAAGGTACACACATATTGGAATGTCGTTACGCTAATTTTGATACTATATATGGTAACTCACTATTCACTAACTAAGAATTTTGTGGTTTATTTACAGACTGTTTCTATGATATATGAAGAACTTGTTCTAGACACAAATTGTGACACTACATCTCCTGATTGCTACGTATGATTCTTGGAATATTTACATCAATGGATAGCCACTTTAAGTACTAACCAGTAAACAAGAAAACTGACAAGGTTGCTTTTGCAGACGTATCGGTATCTGCTATCCGAATATTGGGCTAATAACGAGAGCGTACGCAAAGCACTTAAAGTGGTAGAGGTATATATATATATATATATGACAAGTTGTTTTAGTATCATAGAGATCACTGCCAACAAAACTGATGGCCAAACTCAATGAGGATTTTTTATTGCAGGGGACTACAGGGAAATGGGAACGATGTAATTATAATGTGCTGTGCGATCAAAACATTAAAAGCAGCATACCATATCATTTGAATAACAGCATGGAAGGCTATAGATCTCTCATCTTAAGGTTGCTACAAAAATGTAACAACATGTGTGCTTCGTTGATATTGTTTGTAAACTTTTTTTTTTATGGTGACGGAACAGTGGGGATCACGATATGTCAATCCCTTTCGTGTCAACACGAGCATGGATAACATCTCTTAACTATTCCATTACTGACAAATGGAGGCCATGGATGATTGACAATATAGTTGCCGGGTATGAGTTTTATATCGAGTATTGGGTTGTTTTTATCATTTTGTATAAGCTGCACATAAGTCAACCATTTTATATATTTGCAGATACACTCAGACTTATGCTAATAAGATGACATTTGCTACTGTGAAGGTAATTAAGTCTTTGATCCACATATATAATTGACATAAATGCAAAGCTTGTTTTGTTTGCATCAGAATTTCTTATTTGGTTTTGTCTTCTGTGGGTCTGGTTTTCCAATTTATAGGGAGGCGGGCACACGTTAGAGTATAAACCAGAGGAGAGCTCAATCATGTTCGAGAGGTGGATTAGTGGTCAAGCTCTCTAAACACATATAAACCTAATTAATTAATCTTGGAGTGGTCCTATGAATTGAATGTTGAAACCGAAAGTGTTTTTTCACTTTGATGATTCATGAAAAAATAAATGTCCCATGTTATTATTTATCAGAAAGCAATGTACGTAGCATGGTTACGTAAATTACTCGTGGCTTCTCTAGTATTATTCACATATGGAATAACATATAGTTAAATACAAATAGTTTTTAAAAAAAAAAATTATTTTTGACCGGCTTTCTCCCATGTGAAAACAGCAAACTGCAACGTCCTTTTGTCCATTCCACGTGCATTCTCACGTGCCAGACTTTTCATTTGAGAGACAAAATCCAAGAGAAATAAACCAGAAATGGATAAAAAAGACTTAACCACCTACCAATATACCCAACTGGAAAGCTTCCTTGGGGTCAACGTCTCTGTTTTTGAGTGTGTAAAATATGTTTTTCTCATAACAAACGAAAACTCAAAAAAAAATCAAAATGGGTTCTTGGATGAACAAGTTGTTGCTGCTGCAAGTTGTCATTGTGTTGATTCAGCATGTTGAATCAGGCTCTATCATCAAATATCTTCCTGGTTTTGAAGGCCCTCTTCCTTTTGAGCTTGAGACCGGGTGGGTTCTGTTTCTCAACTTCATCTTATTCTTTATTTGCCTTATAAATGTGTGACTCTGTGTTCTGATTTTTGGAAATCAAATTCAGGTACATTGGTGTTGGTGAGGAGGAAGAAGATCAATTTTTCTACTACTTCATTAAATCTGAGAGAAATCCAAAAGAAGACCCTCTTCTTGTTTGGTTAACTGGAGGACCTGGCTGCTCTTCTTTCTCTGGCCTTGTTTATGAGAACGGTGAATCTTCTATAACTTTCATTCTTGTTTGTCTCCACAGAAAGTTCAGTGACTTGAAAGAATTAATCAGGACCTCTTGCCTTCAAGGTTGAAGCATACAATGGAAGTGTCCCCTCCTTGATCACTACTACATATTCATGGACAAAGGTAACATTAAGTTGTATTCATATTCATGACAAGTACTTGGTGAAAATATATATGTTCCGTCTTCAAGTTTAGGATCATTGCTTGTTTTTCAGGTGGCGAGCATAATCTATTTGGACCAGCCTGTTGTGACTGGCTTCTCCTACTCAAGAAATCCACTTGCTGATATACCAAGTGACACGAAATCAGCTAAGCTGGTCGATGAGTTTGTTCGCAAGGTAACGTCAAACTCAAATTGTCTTTGAAAGCATACATGCATAGACTTTTGGAGATTTTGTTATTGTTGTTGGTGATTCTTGTGCAGTGGCTAGCAAAGCATCCTGAGTATTCATCCAACCCTTTTTATGTCGCCGGAAACTCTTATTCCGGTAAGGTGATTCCTGCCATCGTTCAAGAAATGTCAATTGGTAAGTTCTTTTTATCACTTCAGTCAATCCCTATGTAAACAGTAAATCATTTTCTTTGACTCTTGTTTCTTGATCAGTTATTCCACAATTTGTGTCACAGGAAATTGTTTATGCTGCAAACCTCAAATAAATCTTCAGGTTCATTAGTATTTCTTGCTCCTTACGTTATTGTCACATATATAGCTTATCAAGGCATTAAGAACTAAAGAGCTTCTCCAACGACAGGGCTATGTGCTCGGAAACCCGTTAACATCCGATGGTCTTGATGGAAACTCTCGCATTCAATTTGCTCATGGAATGGCACTCATCTCTGATGAACTCTACGAGGTACCAATTACTTAGAGATTCTAGAATGATGGAATGTCTCTTCTTGTCACCACAATGAAGTAGTTTAAACGAATTAACCATTTTAAAACTCTAAAACCTTTCTTCTTTTTTTTTGTAGTCGTTGAAGAGAAGCTGTGGAGGAGATTATTATAATGTGGATCCTCTTAACACAGAATGCTTGAACCTCATTGAAGAATTTCTGAGGGTACACACATTCTGGAATGTGTTACCCGAATTGTGATACAATGGTTGGTCACTCACTAACTTGGAACTTGTGGGTTATTTCCAGAGTGTTTCAATGATATATGAAGAACTTGTTCTAGACACAAATTGTGACACTACATCTCCTGATTGCTATGTAAGATTCTTGGTATATTTTGGATCAATAGCTAGCTAGCCACTTAACTAACCAGTAAAGAGAAAACTGACAAGACTGATGGTTTTGCAGACGTATCGGTATTTGCTATCCGAATATTGGGCTAATAACGAGAGCGTGCGCAGAGCACTTAAAGTGGTGGAGGTATATATATATATATATATGACAAGTTGTTTTAGTATCATAGAGATCACTGGTAACAAAAATAATGGCCAAACTAAATGAGGATTTTGATTGCAGGGTACTACGTACAGGAAATGGGAACGATGTAATTTTAATGTGCTGTGCGATCAAAACATTAAAAGCAGCATACCATACCATTTGAATAACAGCATTGAAGGCTATAGATCTCTCATCATAAGGTTGGTAGTTGGTACACAAATGTAACAACATATGTGCTTCGTTGATATTGTTTGTAAACTTTTATTTATGGTGATGGAACAGTGGTGATCACGATATGTCAATCCCATTCGTGTCAACACGAGCATGGATAACATCTCTTAACTATTCCATTACTGATAAGTGGAGGCCTTGGATGATTCTTGATAAAGTCGCTGGGTATGACTTTTACATCGAGTACTGGATTGATTTATTCATTTTGTGTAAGCTGCTCATCAGTCAACCATTTTTTTATTTTCAGATACACTCAGACTTATGCTAATAAGATGACATTTGCTACTGTGAAGGTAACTCTTTTAATTTGACCCACATTTATAGTTAACATAGATGCAAAATTAGTTTTTTGTATTCATCAGAATTTCTTAAATGGTTTTGTCTTTTCTGTGTCTGGTTTTGTCTTTAATAGGGAGGCGGGCACACGTTAGAGTATAAGCCAGACGAGAGTTCAATCTTATTCAAGAGGTGGATTAGTGGCCAACCTCTCTAATTAAACACATATAAACCTTAAGTAGTCTTGGAGTGATCTTATGAATTGAATGTTGAAGCCGAAAGTGTTTACTTTGATGATTCATGATAAAAAATAAATGTTACATGCATGCTTTTAATATGCTTACCCAAATTACTTGTGGGCTTTCTCTAGTATTTTACGTACGTAAATGTTGAAGAATGCACAGTTAAAAGTTAAAACTCAATACAAATTGTGAGTTAGCCTTTCTAATAAAAGTATTAAAAGGTGTATATGAATATGAAAAAATATTTTATTATCTATAGAGGGATCGGAGAAGATTAAATTGCGAAGCCATAATCGCATTAGAGACTAACCGGTCAACGCTTCTAATTTTTCTAGGATAAAGATGTCTAAATGCATCATTATCTCAAAAACTCAAGTTGCCAGTTGCTTTATCCAACTGTGTTGGTAGTTTAAGTCAATGCAAAACAGATATATGAAAATGTTAATTTGTCTTTGGACAAACACTAAACACTTAACACTTTAACAGGCGACTTTGTCCCATCCACGTGCAATTTCACGTGCATGCCCAAACTTTTCATTTCAGGCTTCCTCTTTAAAACACTAGATTTCAGTCCTCTAATCTGCTGAGATTGAGATGGAAGTGAAGGAGAAAGCATCCAAAGAGAAAAAAAAAAAAAGAAACCAGAAACTGAAGGACAAAACAAAACCTAAGCCGCTACCTACTCGGGTTTAGATATGTCAGTCGACCGGTTTATATGGTTTAACCGGTACTCAACCGAAAAGTTTCAGTCTTTTTCTGTTCTTTTTTGGGTCAACGCCTCTGTTTTTTAGTGTATAAAAATGCTTTTGCAATAACACTCGTAAACTCAAGCAAAAATGGTTTCTTGGATACTCAAGTTGCTGCTGCTACAACTTTGTCTTGTGTTGTTGATTCAGCATGTTGATCCAAGCTCCATCATCAGATATCTTCCTGGTTTTGAAGGCGCTCTTCCTTTTGAGCTTGAAACCGGGTTCTGTTCCTCAACTCCATCTTATTCTTCATATTAGCTTTACAATATATACAGCAACACTGTGTTCTGAGTTTTGATGTTTAATAATCTAGGTATATTGGTGTTGGCGAGGCAGAGGAAGATCAAATGTTCTACTACTTCATCAAATCTGAGAGAAACCCAAAAGAAGACCCTCTTCTTGTCTGGTTAACTGGAGGACCTGGCTGCTCTTCTTTCTCTGGCCTTGTTTATGAGAATGGTAAATCTTCTTCAACTCATTCTTCTTTGTCTCCACAGAATATTCAATGACTAGTTTGAACTTTGACATCAGGACCTCTTGCTTTCAAGGTTGAGGCCTACAATGGAAGTATCCCCTCCTTAGTCTCTACCACATATTCATGGACTAAGGTAACATAAGTTGTATTTATCACAAATCCGATTAGCTCTTCTTGATCTTCAAGTAAAGTTTAGGATCATTGCTTCTTTTCAGGTGGCGAATATAATCTATTTGGACCAACCTGTTGGGACTGGCTTCTCCTACTCAAGAAACCCACTTGCTGACATACCAAGTAACACAGGATCAGCTAAGCGGGTCGATGAGTTTGTTCGCAAGGTAAAAAAGTAAACAAGTGGTCTCTCTCAAAGCATATACATATGTCTTTATGCATTGACTCTCAGAGTGTTTGTTTGGTTTGCTGTGCAGTGGCTAGCCAAACATCCTGAGTATTTCTCTAATCCTTTCTATGTTGCCGGGAATTCTTATTCCGGTTTGGTGATTCCAGCCATCGTTCAAGAAATCTCAAATGGTAAGTTTCTTTTCTATCACTTCAATCCCTATGCTTTGACTCTCGTTTCTTGATCACTTATTTCACCAAATTTATCACAGGAAATTCTATATGCTGTGAACCTCAAATAAATCTTCAGGTTCTTTCCATCAGTATTTTCTTGATTCTTACATTATCTCCATATATATAACTTATTATCAAGCATTAAGAATGTAAAAAGAGTATTGTATTCGCATCACTCACCATGATTTCAAACAAACAGGGCTACGTGCTTGGAAACCCGATAACAGACGGTAATCTTGATGGAAACTCTCGCATCCCATTTGCTCATGGAAAGGCACTCATCTCTGATGAACTCTACGTGGTACAATCTAGCATTCTTTTTTTTTGTCTCTTGTTGCCAACGAACCATTTCAAACTTTTTAAAAACTTTTTTGTAGTCGATGAAGAGAAGCTGTGGAGGAATTTATTTTAATGTGTTTCCTCTTAACAAAGAATGCTTGAAACTCGTTCAAGAGTATAAGAAGGTACACACATTCTGGAATTTAGCTGCAAGAATTGCTATTCAGTGGTAAATTACGTACTAACTTAGTATATGTGGTTTGTTTACAGTGTGTTTTTAGAATATATGAAGAACTTATCCTAGCATCAAACTGTGACCCTACATATCCTAATTGCTATGTAAGCTTTCTCGGTATCTTTGGATCAATGGCTAGCCACCACTACAGGAGAAGAATATCGACAAATGACAAGGTTGCTTTTGCAGACATATAGGTATTCTCTGTCCGAATATTGGGCTAATAATGAGAGCGTACGCAGAGCTCTTAAAGTGGTCAAGGTATGTGACAAGGTTTATATTTCATTAGTAAAAAAACTGATGATCAAACTTACTGTGAGGATTTTTTTGATTGCAGGGGACAACAGGGAAATGGAAACGATGTGACTATAGTGTGCGGTGCACTCAAGACATTAAAAGCAGCATACCGTACCATATTAATAACAGCATCAAAGGATATCGATCTCTTATCCTCAGGTTGGTAACAACAGAAACTTAACAACATCTCTTAATCAAAGCTTGTGTTTCATTACTGTTGTTTGTAAACTTTTGTGGTGATGGAACAGTGGTGATCACGATATGACAATCCCTTTCGTGTCAACTCGAGCATGGATAGCATCTCTTAACTATTCCATTGTTGAGAAATGGAGGCCTTGGATGATTCTTGATAAAGTTGATGGGTATGACTTTATCGAGTATTGGATTGTTTATCCATTTTATATAAGCTGCTCATAAGTCAAAAACATTTTTTGTTTGTAGTTACTCTCAGACTTATGCTAATAAGATGACATTTGCTACTGTGAAGGTAATTAAGTCTTTGATCCACATTTATAATTATCATAGAGATGCAAAGTTAGTTTGTTTACATGAGAATTTCTTGTTTGGTTTTGTCTTTGATAGGGGGGCGGGCACACGTTAGAGTATAAACCAGAGGAGAGTTCAATTCTGTTCAAGAGGTGGATTAGTGGCCAACCTCTCTAATCACATAAACATTAATCTTGGAGTGGTCCTATGAATTGATTGTTGAAGCTGAAAGTGTTTGGTTTGATGGCAGAAATAAACGTTACATTTTACTATGCAAGTCTACATTTTTGTGAACAAAAAAGAACTTGAATCACATAAAATGAAAAAAGATAAACTTTATACTTGGGTTTCTTAGCTTTGTGAGTTGATCTTAAAATGGAGAGAATGCGAATTAGATTAGAAATTACCAAACGGGAATGATGAATTCGTGAAGCAGACTGGATTGAACGTCAAAAATGAAAGAGCCGATAGATCTAGAAAATTTTAACAAAGATGTTACAGAGAACTTGTCTACTTATCCTCTTTCCCCAGACTGTTTTGAGACTCCTGGCGTTTTCTTTTCTTCTCCGAAGAGCCCTTCTCTGGCTTTGACTTTGACTTGGAACGCAAAGTAACACTCCATAGAGCTCTTTCAATATCTGAAGCCCCATCCCACTCTCCCTTCAACTTCAATTCCTATGATAATCCATACAAATTTGATTCAAGGCAGCCTCTAACATTTTCAAAGACTTCAAAGGTCAAATGTGGTGTAGAGAAGACAAACCTTGGCTTTATCTTGGAGCTTAGTCACAAACAACAAGTATCGCTTCAAAGAGTAATCCTTTGAGTTCCCAAGAGCAACCTCCATTGCCTTCACAAAAATCAAAACAGAGAAACAAAGAAAAAAACAATAAAGTGTGATTCAAAAAGGTTCTTCCTTTTGCTTTTGCTTTTGCTGCTCTTTGATTGTCAGACTAAAGAAATTGAAGAGATAAAAAGGACCTCGTCGGACATAAAGGGAGCAATGTCGGGAGCGTAAGCAGCCAGAACGGCGGAGGCGGTGGCCGGACCCACGCCCTTAAGCACGGTGAGCTCTTTCACTGCCTGAGAGATGTCAGGGAGCGATTTGAAAGCTTTTTCAGAAGCAGATTTCACCGCTGAATCGTCCAGAGACGACACGAAATCCAGCAAACGCGGCCTTGGGATAATAAACAAAAGCAATCGTCGTCAAATTGAGAAATCAAGCTCTATGAGTATATAGACTGAGAGAGGAGAGAGAGAGGAGAGAAAGAGTACCTCCATTTTCCGCGGGAGAGCTTCCATTTCATGAGTTGGGAAAGCTCGGAGGTGGTGAGGTAAGGGTTTGGGTCTCGGTCGTGGAGAAGAGAAGGGAGTTTGACGCGGTAAAATTGATCGAGAGAGACGAGGTCTGGCTTGTTCAGAGACTCGATTCGAGAATCGTACGACGACAAAGCCTCCTTCCATGCTCCCACATCGCTACTCTTGAAGTCTAGTTCCATAGTTACAGGTTAACTGCCAAACCAAAATAAGAAAATGGAAGAGGGAGAAGACAAATAAGTAACCTATCTGAGGAGTTAAGGGGGATTGGGAAAACTCGAAACAAGGCCCATCACATTTCTTAAGCCCATTTTCGATAATGAAGGCCCATTTTTCATTACCGCCAGGTCTCTCTGCCGGTCATTGCAACACAAAATGGTTTAAGACTTTCAAGAAAGTACACTGTACACACATTCTGGAATTTAGTTAAGAAGATAATTCAGTATACATTGCAGCGAACTAAGGTTTTGAACCTTGCAACTATGATAGAAAGCTGTTTGCTTGTTGTTATTAATGGTTACTAAAAAAGGTCACTTATTAATGGAACTCATCTTTCTTACTAGCGTCAAATGTTTGTAACCAATTTTGGCATGGTTTCTGGTGAAACAGTGGTGATCACGATATTGATGTACTTTTCCTTGCAACTCAAGCATGGATTAGATATATCAAGTATACTATTATTGATGTTGACGACTGGAGGCCATGGATGATTCACAATTAAGATTTTTTTTCTTTTGGTAAAAATGAATCACAATCAAGTAGATGGGTAATTGACTAATTGGGTATTATACCATTTTTCGTTTGTTTCTTTCGGCACTCTTATATAAGCTTTTTTTCTACCAATAAAGCATTGTGTTGGATGTGAATCCCGTAAAATCCCACTGTATACGTTACAACTTACAAGCCATGATTCTTTATGGGCTCATTGAAGATAATCAAGACTTTTTTCCTTCTTTGCATATACACGAGAAACTACGTAAATAAGATGACATTTCCCCAGAATAAATTTACATAAATTTTAGTATATAGTTTTTTTGGTTTCTAGCCAGCAGGCAGGCATACGAGTGAGAGTATAAACCAATGGAGATCTCAATCATATTTAAGAGGTGGATTAGTAGTCAACCTCTATAACAAACTATCAGTGACTCCACACCAAAATGAAATTTATGTCTATGTTAACTTTAAGCTGAGCAGAACAACATATACACCGGAGTTTTTCTATCTTTCTCTCTTAAATCCTTCCCTGTAACTGAACATCTTTGATTATAATATATTTTCATGATTGAGCCCAAATAAAAGAACAACTTTAAATGCTTGAATTTTTAAGGAATATGAAATGGATTCTGAAAGCAACTTACGGTTCATCTTGAAATGGATAGAAGGACAGGATAAGGTACAGGACTGCCACACCAAAGTAAGATATCATATATAACTTAATAAAATCTTAAAATAAATTTTGGTAGAATCTAATTTACGCGGTATGTATGAACAAACTCTTTGTACTTCGTTGACCTTTATAGGGAGTCATTTCTTTTAAAAATTTTAAATAATGATTCATTTTAAAAATAATTTTAAAAATAAAATAAAGTAAAGCGAGTCATTTCTTTGAATAATGATTTTCTGGCAAGTGTGAGCGTTTTATCTTTTCAACATTTTCAATTCGATGGCCGACACATTTAACAAAAAGAAGAAAAGAAATCCAACCAATAATATTTTAAAAACATAAAGGTATTTTAGGGAAAAAAAAAGTAAATTCTGTATAGTGTATACTATAGTCTATTACTATGACGGAAAATAAAGCTGTTCATGACATTTGAGACCGAGTCTTGAGAGAGAGAGAGAGAGAGAGGTGAGAGATTTTAACATCCCTCCGTCGTCGGCTTCCGTGGACCGTACCCGCCACAACTACATTTCCGTCGGGGGTTACGTTCTTCTTGGTGCTCTTCTTCTCTTTCCGAGAGACGAAAGTTTTTGGCTTTTTGCTGGATTTTGCTTTACAATTTTTCTCTTAGCTGCTTCCCAAGCTGAAATTGGGTTTCTCTAGCTCTGTTTCTTCGGAAAGGGGCTTTTCGAAGATTTAATGCAAATGGAAGCTACCAGTGACTGTGAAGAAGAACACAAGTTCACTCTCGACAACTATCATGTCGTGGAGCAGGTTAGGAGAGGCAAGTCTGTTTCCGATTTCGTGGTTCTTCATCAAATCGAAGACAAAAAGTAAGATTCTTTGCTTCTTTCCTTAACTTGTTTCCGTACACAGACAATGGATTTTTCGTGGTTTTGACGAAAAACTGCTATCAGATTTTGCTGCTTACTTCAGGTCGATTTTCCTTGTTACATTTAATTTCCAGTTGATAATTAGAGCCAACAGTGGTCAGTGCTCTTATTCGATTAGGTATCAATGAAAAAAAACGAGGCGATTTATGTGTCTTTCTCAAAAATACGGACAAAAGGATTTGCCAAGGCTTTGGGTTTTTGTCTAGAACGAGTATGTTTGTGTGAGTTAGGTTTTAGCTGAAAATTTCGTAAAAGTAAAAGTGAAAACTTTTTGTCTTTTTTTTTTTGCATTGTGTTTGATCAAGAAGTATTTGTTGTATGTTGGTCTCTATCTATCTTTCATGTCTTAGGTATACAATGAAGAAGATCTGCCTGGCTAAACAGACGGAGAAGTTAAAGCAAACCGCTTGCCAAGAGGTGACTTTTGGCTGATCTTTGAATATTTGGTAGCTATAATTTTTAACTGGAAGGACATTTGTCACAAATCTTTGTATCAGTTATTCTATTCACACAAATATTGGCGTATAAGGTGGTTCCTAGTTGTTTGGTGAAATTTATATCCTATCTATGCATAATTTGGTTTGTCTAACTACCAAAGTGATTTATTTGGCATATGGTTGTTCGTCTTATGTAAATCATCATCTCATCCATTTTTTTATCAAAAAAAATCATCTCATCCATTTGTGTTGCAGATGAAATCGCTCTTAAAATTGAAGAGTCCTTATATCATACAATATGAAGATTCCTGGATTGACAAGGTAAAGGAGTTGGATGTCAATGTCCATTCATGGTTCTTAAGATTAATCATCAGTTTTTTCACATATTTTATTTATCTTGTCACAGGACAATAACGCCTGCATTTTTGCTGCTTACTGTGAGGGAGGAAACATGTGAGTTATTCATTGGAACTCTGTAATTATGAGTTATAATACTTTTCTAAAACGTTTGTTAATCCAAAACAGGGCTAATGCTATTAAGAAGGCCAGAGGAAAGTTATTTCCAGAAGAGGTAATCTTTCCATTCAGTTATATTCTTTTGTTACTATTCCCCACATTGTTGCTGATAATAACAAATTTGCATTTGATTCTGCAGAGGATCTTTAAATGGTTGGCACAATTGTTACTCGCTGTTAACTATTTGCATTCAAACCGAGTACTTCACATGGATTTAACGGTATATATTTTATTCATACAACATAACTTTTGGGGCTGTGTGATTCCTTTTCTGTGTTATTTCCGTGAAGAATGGCGCTCTGATTACTGAGTATGTTTGCAGTGCTCAAATATTTTCCTACTAAAGGAGAATCACATCCAGCTTGGTATGATAAATGTGAAGAATGATTTTACTCTTTCACTCGAAACTTTATATCTCTGTCTTTCTGTTCTCTAATTAGCTTTATATTTCTACTAATGGCTCAGGTAATTATGGTTTGGCGAAACTTATAAATCCAGAAAAGCCTGTTTCCTTGGTGTGTTATCTAATACCTTTTGTATTCTCTTTATATGATCTCTCTGGACCCATTTGAAAATCTAGTATCTCAAATACCAAACATTTCTTTTAAGAAAATCTCATTCATAGTATTTTCTTTAATAGGTTTCCGGTATTGCTAACAGCATGTGCCCGGAGGTTTTAGAAGATCAACCATATGGATATAAGTCTGATATATGGTCGCTAGGTAAGTTAAAGAATATAAATCCCTATATCACTATATGTAAACTTCAAGTTACTGAAAAGATTCACGTTTTATGCTGCGTTCTTCAGGTTGCTGTATGTATGAAATTACATCACACCAGCCTGCGTTTAAAGCTCCGGTGGGCATATCTTAGCTTTTATATCTCAGTACTTTTAAAATGTTTCCATATGACTTTATGAAACTAATTTGTGTGAAAACAAAAAACTTACAGGATAAGGCTGGACTCATCAACAAAATAAACAGAGCCCTTTTGTCTCCTCTTCCTATTGTCTACTCCTCTACCTTGTAAGTTATCTTCTTCTTTCGAGTGACATGATTGGCTTTAATTCTTAACACCACAAACACCATGAAACGAGTCACACAACTATTTTCATGTTACAGAAAACAAATGATAAAGCTTATGCTTAGGAAGAATCCTGAACATCGGCCAACAGTAAGTTATCAGTATCATATATCATTGTTGGCTGTAGAGTAGTGACTCTTTTGACTAATTATTACTTTGCAGGCTTGTGAATTGTTAAGGAACCCTTGTCTACAACCGTACCTCCTCCAATGCCAAAACCTGTCGCCTATTTATCTTCCTGTGTTCCCTTTAAACAGCCCAAAGGATAAGACAAGAAGAAACTCACTGCCTGGCAAGTCTGCGAAGGAGAGAGATTCGAGAGAGAAGAGCGACGTATCTCGCAGTTTGGAAAACCTTTATCCGTTCTGGACAAAAGCAGAGACTGGATCAAGCAGCTCGTCACAGCCTGCGTCATCCTCAAATGGTGCAGAGGACAAACTTGAAACAAAAAGAATCGATCCAAGTTGCCATACATCGAAGCTCTCTGAGTCTACTAGTGATAAGTCGGAATCTGAGATTGCAATCTACAGTACAGAAGAAAATGTTGTGCCAAAAGAAACTGAAAACATGTTCTCTGAGGAGTCTCAGTTACGTGATGTTGTGACTGCAGAAGAAGTAATATGTTGCCCTCCCAGCGCCATCAAAGAATGTGAAGAAACTCAGGAGGCATTTCCTGAAGCAAAGGATGATGATCAAAGAAAGCTATCAGTTTCTAGCACTGCAGTTTCATCTACTGAAGTCGAAGCAGCGAGAGAATGTTTGTCTGGAAGCGTTGTTGAGGTGGATGAAGCAAAGACGGTGAAACTAACAGCGAGTGAAATGTCGTCGGTACTGAGTAAGCTCACAAAGCTTGGTCCACCACAGAGTAGAGAGAGAGCAGATGCGTTGGAGTGTTTGCTAGAGAAATGTGCAGGGCTTGTAAAGCAAGAGAAATATGAAGAACTTGCTGGTTTGCTTACACCATTTGGGGAAGATGGTGTCTCGGCTAGGGACACTGCTATTTGGTTCGCAAAGACTCTCTTGTCTTCTGACAAACTCCACCAATGAACCTGATTGCCTTTGAGAAAGAAAGCAACAAAATGCCATAAAAATGTAAAATTTTCTTCATTCGCCAGTTTTCAATTTAGTTTTGTGAACATTCTCACTTTCCCTAAGTAACATCTACTGCAACCAAGTTTCAATCTATGAGTGTAATAGATAGTTTTCTCCTTCTCCTGTTACATATTTTTGTCTTTTTGAGCTTCTTTCATCTCCACTGATCTCTTCGTTTCCTCTTCCTTTCTCCGTCCTCGAATTCATCGAGTCTCCTCTCAATCGAATCAAGCTCTTTCTGTTTATCCGCTCGTGCTTTGTCCAAGCGCTCCAGTTTCTTCTCTGCTTCGTCGATGCGTTTACGCAAACGATCCCTCTCTCGCTTCGCCTGCACCAGAGCCTCACGACGTCGTCCCAGTGTTGTATTCGCGTATCTAAGCTCTCCTTCTGTCTTTGCAAGATTTGCAGCACAGTCTCGTAACTTCTTCTCCTCCAACTGATTCTTCTTCAAGACCTCATTGTACTTCTTTTCTTGAACCAATATCTTCTTCTCTTTCAAATCACCAGCCTCTTTCTTTAACACATTCTTCTGCGCCGCCTCCACTTGCTCTCTCATCTGCTTTAGCTCATTCTTGCGATCTTGGATCGATTTCTTGACCTGAGACAATCTCTTCTCCTGAGAGTCAACATCTCTCTGTAGCGAATCCAGTTTCTTTTGCTTTGCTTCAGCTTCCCTTTGAAACCCGTCGGCTGATTCGATATCTCGTTCCTTTTTCTCCACGAGCTTTGACTTGGACTCTAGTTCTTGAGACCTCTCCTCAAGATGTTTCCTCTCTGTCTCTAACTCACGAGACTGCTTCTCAAGATCCGTTTTGATCGATGCAAAATGACGTTCTAGGTCGTCCCATGATTGCGTGAAGGACAATATATCGGAGGCGTGAGACTTTGCCTTCTCCAGTGTTTCACGGAGACGCTCTTTCTTCAGCTCGGCGACTTCAAACTCATCCGCCATTTTCAGCACACTTTCTTTAAACACCGCTGCAAGAAAGAAACAGAGAATGAGCGAGCGCTCAAGGAACCAAAGAAACCCTAAGAGACAACAAGAAGACAAATCGCTCACAGTTTGACGTACGTGAAGTGGCAATGGATCAAAGGATTAGGAGCTTTCTTGAGTAAAAGAATAGAAGCGAGAAGAATGGACGAAGAAGAGAGTAATGGCGGTAACTAAGAAGCGAAATCGAACAGAGAAGATATAAAGGAGAGAGAGCAAAAGAAAATTGTAAAGAGATCTTGGCGCTAAATCTCTCTGCTTTTGATTCTGTTTCGCTAATACAACTCTAACGAACGAGTTGAGGATACAAATTCATTATCTTCAAACATATAGTATTAATTAATTTTAATATAAAACTTTATATAATCTCTCTGGCTCAACATCTGAACCGGGTGTCGGTTCGTTTTTCCACTTCAGGTCTCCACCGTATTAGACCTTTTTGTGAAGTTGCTCTATTCCCAACCATTATCGAGTCTTCATTCTTGATACATGATCTAATAAACTCAATTATATGAGCCTGAACATTATGAATTGAGCAAAAACTTGTGAGACTCTCAATGCCAAATGATTTTTTGTTTTCTGACGAATTATATAAAGCTATATCATACAAGACAGATTCAACTCTACCTCAAGAGTTCGAATTCATGAGAGAATCTCTAACTGACTAATTCTAAAACACAGTGATGTAAATAGCCAGTGTCACAAATAGATCGGTTAAACGCCGAGGCCATAAATCAAAAGTCAAAACAAATGAAGTAGATCATCGTCCTCCGTGAAGCTATAGACTGCCGAGAGAGTGAGCCTGTCAAGATGTGTTGTTGACTCAGTAACTTAATCGTACACGTAGAACAGAGAAAATATTTGAAGAAGAGAGCTAAAAGTTGTAATTCTGTTTACCTAAAGACAACCATGATGAAAAGAACGATGTAGAAACCGAGCTTAGTAAACCGCAACTTCTTTTCAAAGCTAATACCACGGAACACTTCAGTGACGTCTATGAGATGTCTTCGCTCATTGTATCTGGAAACAATTGTGCCGAGTTTTCAACCAAGAATCAATACATGTGTGAATCAAGAATCAATCACAATACATGGACAGAGAGAGCGAGAGACTTACAACATAGCGTGGTAGACAGTTACAGGGAGGGCCACGAGAAAGAAGAACCAATGCCAAGTGAGGAGGAAGAGAATGCAGAGTGAGCCTTGGAGGATAAACTCAGGTAGAACCAATCGGTTGATACGGGAAGATGTTTCGAAAGGGTTCAAGTAATCAGCTTCTAAATCTGTTAAACATATAACCTACAAAATCAACAGAAGAAAAAAGAAGAGTTTTTGAGCATAAAAATGGCTGCAACCACTTAAAACTCTTAACAATATTGGTATTCTTATCTCATTCAATCACTTCTTCTTCCTATACAATCAACTCGGCACTCTAAAGTAGGCACAAAGTCATTAAAAATTTGATGACTTAAACTTGCAAATTTACAATTTATCAACTTTACAGTAACAAAGAATCATCTCAGAGACCAATAGCTGCGAAATAAGTCGTGAGGAGAAGCCAAATCACAATTAAGAATAAACAACGAAACCTGTCTGGATCCTAAATTATTTGGCAGGATAATTCAATTGTGGCAAGTTAAGAGTGCAAAATCGATGAAAAGTTTGCTAATTTCCTGAAAAGTTCTGCATCGGGTTTTAACTAATTTAGCTAAAAGTGAGGTTTTTCACAACTACAAAGGCGTAAGCTAGATAGGTTTCCGGTAAGCACTAGAGAACAATTCCGACACTCACGATTTGAACAGTAAAACCCCTTAGGACAGATCTCGATTTAAGAATCTCGCTTCTCAGTTGAAATTAAAAGATGGATATAGTTACCTGATAGAAGACGGAAGCGACGAGGGTTATGCTGACGAAGAAGGAGAGAATCCATAAGAACAAATCCCAAGCCATTGTTTCTTCTGTGGACGACTCTCTTTCCTTTCTTCTTCTTCTTCTTCTTCTTCTTCTTGGATGCTGTAGTAATCTCTGTGCGACTCTTGTTATTACTAGAGACCTTTTACTTTTTGAGAAAATTAGTTTTTTATATTTATTCTCTCTAAGTTGTATTTTATGAGGAGAGAGACTTCTATTAGAAAATTGATTCCACATTCCTTTCGGATTACAGTAGGAATTAGGAAAGTTTACAGTTTCATTAGTCTAAAAATCTCTGAGAAGTGAAAAACAACTTACAAATTTGCAAAAACTTTTAGAGTATGAAACTATGAATTAGAATTAACAAAAGTTGACAAACTGTAAACGGAGATTTGACAAGAAACAGCAAGTGATCTTAATTCCGCACACATTCGTTTCCATCACAAATACAAATCCTAGAGAGTAGAGATGACAAACTAACTACTACTTCGTCTAGACTTCTTGGATGATCTCCGGCTTTCAACTTTTCTCTGGGCAGCTTCAAATTCTTCTTCGTTTGGCTCAGAGTCAGCATTGTCACCATACCTATAGACAAGTGACGAGAACATTGTATCGAACTTCACTTTCCTCTCTTTACTTCGCTGTGCAATTATAGCGTAAAGATCTTTCCCTCCTCCACCACTCTTTTTTGCTCTACAAGTTGGTCAATTTGAAACATCATGTCACAACAAAGTAAAAAATCAGAGGGAGAAATTGTTAGAAGAAAGATAGCCATAGAGAAGAAGCTTGTTACTTCTGCCGCCTCTTCGTAGGATTGCCGGGAGGTTCAATTTCTGAAATCTCCTTTGCCCATTTCTTGTAAGCTTTTGTTGATTTTGCTTCTCCTGCATAAGGGAAACAATTGGTTTCATTACCGCACAAACAAATCAGAACTCGGTTGCAAGAAAGAGAAGCCTACCCGCTGCAATGGCCTCATCGATGATAAATTTGAAACGGTGTGAATCAAGCTTTGGATACGAGCAAAGCATTGAGCAGAAAAGTCTGGAAGAGGCATAGTACCAACAATGTTTATATTAACTTCACTTCACCACCTTACTAAAAAAATGGGAAAAAAAAACAAGGGCATCTTCAGTTTACCTGCTCATTTGACCCTTAAACTTGTTGTACAACTCAATCAAATCTTTCTTCTCGGACTCAGAGCCCCTGTAGTTTGCCTCAAACTCTTCAATATCTTCCTCTGTGACCTGTAGTGTCACAAGAATCGGTGAGTGAAGGAAACAGAACAAACAGCTGAGTGCAAAAGTCCAAAAAGGAATCAATTGGTGTTTGCTACCTTCTTGTACATGGCCTTGAAGAATTCCTTCAAGTTGTCAATCACGTCTCCCGAAAGATCCTATTTAGATGCGGAAAAAAGCTGAATTTTAAGAACATCTTATAGTATACTGAAGAAGTGAAGATGAAAGCTTTCTTTCGCCAATTCATTTGAACAGAAACTGGGAAAGAGTACAAGCGACTGATACATGTGCAGTGTATTCACACATGGTATGAAAGTTATGAGACCAAAATCATGAAGATAAGAAGTCGACTTACAGCATCATCAACTGAGCCGGTTTGATCATAGACTGCCCTTTTCTCTTCATCACCGAGAATCGATATCACTTTTTGCAGCTGCTGAAATTTCTCTTTAGCTTCCTGTATGTTAAAAAAGCAACAAGAAGTCAGGTTTCCATGTAAACTTGAATTAGATACATAGATACTAAGAAAAAGACACCCTTGAGAGCAAGCGTTTAACCTCATCGTCTTTATTCTTATCAGGATGAAGCCTCAATGCCAGTTTATGGTAAGCTTTCTTTATCTCTTGCGGAGATGCTGTTGCTCCCACACCAAGAACCTTCAAAATGAAAACGGATTAGTTAGTTTCATTGAATTCTTGATAATCACCACCATACAAGAAAGAGGATTCTCAGACAAGAATTGCAAAAGCTAAACATCGGATCATAAACAAGCTCTGGGTCTTACAACCCCAATATAATCAACCGATGAAATTCAGACCATCACAGCAACATCAGGCGGGATTAGCAGATCAAAACTGACAAACAATCTAAAGTATACAATTACAATCTGAGAAATAAGATTCATACGACTTTAAACATTTCGGGGACAAGGAGAAGCTTAATTGGAACAATCCCAATCCATAAACGAAAACCCTAAATCCGGAAAGGAGTCGAAAAGACAATAACGAGAATTGATACCTCGTAGAGATTTTTCTCAGTAGATCTCCCATCATTCTCCATTTTCAAGGTTCTCGTTTTACTGTTTCTGCGAGAAAGTACTTAAGTACACATCAGAGAAGCGATCGAGTTAATAAAAAATCCTTTTCGGAATTTTTGCCGCCTTATTCAGTGAAGATCGTCTAACCTAATCTGCGGAAGTAAATGTAATTATGTAAACTAGCGCCCTATATTTAAAGAGTGAATAAAATAAGGGGGTTGCTTCGTAATTATTACTTTTTAATAACTAAACCCGAATCAAACCGATATTGGTTTGGTGTGACAAAAAACCAACATTGATTTCTCTTTTGATCTTGAGATTGCTTGAATTTTTTGTTCATTCGTTCCAATTGCACCGGTTATGGTTGGTTTAAGGTGAAGTTTGTGATCCACGCCACATAGGAATAATTCCCCGAGTAAATGGGCCCCGCATCGGCCGTTGATCCTCCCTTTTTCTCTTTCTCTCATTCTCCTCTCTCTCTGAATAATTTCCCTTCTCTGCGTATCATCCATTTTCGATCTGAGTTTGTTTGTTTGTTCATGGTAGCTTCCGCTGACTATGCGTGCAATACGAATCCGAGACTCTTCGCGTCGATCTGTTGTTTTGAGAGGAGCTTTCCGGGATTCGTGATCTGGATTTGGGTGTTTATATCCGTTTTTGTTTGTGAGAACAATGTCTAATTTGTATGGAGATTACAACCAAAAGATCGATTACGTCTTCAAAGTCGTGTTGATCGGTGACTCCGCGGTCGGGAAAACTCAGCTGCTTGCTCGGTTCGCTAGGAACGAGTTTAGCGTCGATTCTAAAGCTACCATTGGTGTCGAATTCCAGACTAAAACGCTCGTCATCGATAATAAAACCGTCAAAGCTCAGATTTGGGACACGGCTGGCCAAGAAAGGTTTGCTATATCTTCCACTTCCTCTAGTCATTACCTGAGAAGTGACATTGCGTAATGTTCAAAATGATCAATGTTGGCCATATGTCTTCAAAGTCTAGGCAACATATGATTCAATATAAGTAGATATATATGAACAATAGGTTGGAATGTTCTGTATTTTTGTGCATCAATACTATGCTGATTGGTCTCATCTATTCATTAGAGCACATTTAAGAAAACTAAATTTCCCAATACGTTTGAAATTTGATGGCAAAATTGGGTTAATAGCCTATTAAACACGTCATATGACCATTACTCTGTTTAAGGCTCTTAGTCATACATCCTCTATGCGTATTTTTCTCTATACATTGCATCTTAGAAGTAGTTTCATATTAAACTTTACTTGAATAATAGTATTAAACTTTACGTGAATAATATAAGCTCTTAATCTTATACCATTGATTTGCTATTCTTATATATCAAACTGTTGCTGTTCTTCTTTTTCAGATACCGGGCGGTGACAAGCGCGTACTACCGAGGAGCTGTTGGGGCAATGCTGGTGTACGACATGACCAAACGCCAATCATTCGATCACATGGCGAAATGGCTGGAAGAATTAAGAGGACACGCGGACAAAAACATAGTGATTATGCTAATCGGAAACAAGTGTGATCTTGGAAGCCTAAGAGCAGTGCCAACAGAAGACGCGCAAGAGTTTGCGCAAAGAGAAAACTTGTTCTTCATGGAAACCTCTGCTCTCGAAGCTACGAATGTTGAGACCGCGTTTTTGACCATCCTAACAGAGATTTACCGTATAATCAGCAAGAAAACGCTAACGGCTGATGACGATGACGCCGATGGGAATTCAAGTCTGTTGAAAGGGACTAGAATTATCATCCCTAGCGAGCAGGAGAGTGGTAAAAGAGGTGGATGTTGCGGCAAATCGTAACTCTACTAGCCAAAGAGAAAATGGTTGTACTTTTTTTGTTTGGTTCTTGCTGTTTTTTTTCTGTTCTGCCTTATTTGTATTCATGTTAGGCCATTTTGTTCTTGAAACGAAACAATAAGCCAAGATTTACTAGAGAAAGAGTTTGAGTGATGAAACCAAAATCCCCACTTTTCACCTACTTCCACCATTATCTATTCTCGAGTAATCTGCAATTTTGTTGGTTGTATTTTGAAAATACTGAACAAACAAACCAATAAAGAGAGGTCCCAACACTACACTGTAAATTAATGTGGGCTTCAATGTTTTGTTTCTGTCAGTTGTCAAATGTCAACCTTTGAATGGATAACGATTCACTCCATAAAAAATGTCTGAACCCATGTAACGGGGGCCCACACGATGCCAGCGTGGCATTTCAAAATATGATGCCCACCGTTTCTCTCGCTCTTCGCCGGTTTCTCCTAATTCTATCGTCTCTCTCCGGTTTTCTTCACGCTTCTCTTGTGACCTCTTACCTATCTTCTTCTTCTTCTTCTTCTTCTTCTTCTTCTTCTTAGATTTCTCAATCGATCTCGAACAGAGCATTACGTCTGCATTCGGATTCTCACCTTGACTTCCAAGTCAATTTTCCGATTCGTCTTTTTCACCAGATCTGAATCCCTCGAATCCAATATCTGACAAATTCATATTCGAAACCGCTTTAATTTCTCAATCAGCTCAATTTCTGGAGATCAATTAACAATGGTGTCGGTCAAATTGGGAATGCTCCATTACGTAATCGACCACGTATACGGAGCGTTCATGCACCGCACGAAGATAACCCCACCGTTCTTCTCGCGAGGGTGGGGTGGTCCGAAGCTGGAGCTGCTCGAGCGGATGGCTAAGAAGCTCTTCCCGCTGGATGTTGAACAGAATTGGCCACCGGCTATGGTCCGTCCCGTGTGGAGGACCGTCTGGGAGACGAAGACCGCTTGTCTCAGAGAGGGCGTTTTCCAGACTACCTGCGACGACGAGCTGACCGCTGCTTTGCCTCCGGAGTCTCGCACCGCCAGGGTTGCTTGGCTTGTCCCCAAAAACGTTCCTCCCCAAAAGATGGCCTGTGTGGTTCATCTTGCAGGTAGCACCATTACAGATTCTTCTGTGCTTAGATAATGGAAGATTGTTCAATCCGGAAGTTTTATTCACATGGAGTTTATAAGTCAAAAATATGTCAAATTGCTCTATTTTACATTGGAATGGCTTCGTTAGTTGTTTATGTGATCTAATCTGTGCAAAGCCCTTTTAAGCTATGGCTTTTTACCTGCTTGAGGTTGGGAAATTGCTCTTAGTTTCTGCGTATTTTATGTTACTGATAATGTGCTGCATTGTTGTAGGCACAGGGGATCATACATTTGACAGAAGACTGCGTCTGGGTGGACCGTTGGTGAAACACAACATTTCAACAATGGTGCTGGAAAGGTAATGAAAGAGACTCATTCTCCTCCGGTGATGAAAGTTTGAGAGCAAAAAAATTGTTGCTTTGGCCTCTTTTGAAGCTTTTGCCATGTTTTTGATCAAACATAGATAATGCCACTGCAGCCCTTTCTATGGCCAAAGGCGTCCGTTTCTACAACGTGGTGCGAGGCTCCTCTGTGTTAGTGATCTGCTTTTACTCGGTAGGGCAACAATCGAAGAGTCCCGCAGTCTTATCCACTGGCTTGACACTGAGGAAGGCTTTGGAAAGATGGGTGTTTGTGGGCTTAGTATGGGTAAGTTACATTTATTTTCTCTTATGAACAACTTGTGAGCTATTGCATTGGGTTCACTCGGATGAACTATATTGCCAGATCCGCAATTTCAACAAGATTATACCAAATTTATATTGTGATGTGGATGTTTTGTAGGACAAAAAATTGTCTGGGATAGATTTCCTGTAATAGTTGTGAGATGGTAAACAAAAAAAAAAAAAAAAAAAAAATAAAAAAAAATAAAAAAAAAAAAAAAAAAAAAAAAAATAAAAAAAAAAAAAAAAAAAAAAAAAAAAAAAAAAAAAAAAAAAAAAAAAAAAAAAAAAAAAAAAAAAAAAAAAAAAAAAAAAAAAAAAAATTAATGCTTTATTTACAGAGAATCATAGATATAGCACACTATATGTAGTTGCTCCTAGTTACCCTTTCGTTATAAGCAATAGCATTGTTTCCAACTCCTAAATAAGCTTCTCAAACGCTTGTACACCCTTAGATTTAGGTGAGCCAAATCTAGGAACTGCATCCATCGAGGGATCTATGTAGTTGCAACACCATGTGTTGTTTAAGTTGTGTTTTTTTCTTGCTTTTCACTGAAAACTGATAAGTTTGCTGAATATATTAGGAGGAGTACATGCTTCAATGGTTGGATCGCTTCATCCAACACCAGTTGCAACGCTTCCATTCCTGTCTCCGCACTCTGCGGTTGTTGCATTCTGCGAAGGAATACTAAAGTATGGAACCGCTTGGGAGGCACTGAGGGAGGAACTTGCAGCACAGGAGATCACAATGACTCTTGAAGAAGTGAGAGAGCGGATGAGAAATGTTCTCTCCCTCACGGATGTCACTCGCTTCCCTATCCCTAAAAACCCCGATGCTGTCATCTTTGTTGCTGCAACTGTAAGTAGACGAATGAATCAATAAAGTGACAAACTTTAACAAATTCTGGATTCAAATTGCTGATTGTATGATTGGTGTGTTGGTAGGATGATGGATACATACCCAGACACTCGGTGCTGGAGCTTCAAAAGGCATGGCCAGGCTCAGAAGTGAGATGGGTTACAGGTGGACACGTGTCCTCTTTTCTGCTGCACAATGATGAGTTTCGCAGAGCAATCGTGGACGGTCTCGATAGGTTAGAGTGGAAGGAGCCATGGTGACTTAATCTCCAGTGTAACTTCACAGTGAGGAGGTTTATGTAAATGTCTTACTTAATCTCCTCGTGTTGTACTTGTATCCTTTGTTTCTTTTTTAAGAAAAAGATTCTTTTCGCTTTCAAAAGTGGTGGGCTCTACATTGATTTATTTCGGCATCGTAGTCAGCTTTGACTCAGCACACAGCAATAGTTTTTGGGGTTTTCACATTCCATTGTTATATCGTTACATAGGTATGTAACACTATTTGTCTCAGGAAATTGTCATTTATCTTACAGTATCTAACAATTTTGCCAATATCTGACTTAAATTTCTATTACATATACTGTTTAGCTATTTCTATGTCTTTTAGTTGCGTATATTAATCAAAGTACATGATTGCAGTATTGTGCTCGCTATGCTACAAAATATGTTGGTGCAAATGACCAATGTACGGACAAACTTTTAAAAAGAGAATCAGAACAGTGACGACATATACAAAACAGCATCCTATGTATTTTTACCGCGCTTTATTATGAATTTTAAATTTTGAAGAAGAAAAACGTTGTTGTACGTTGGGAGTAGTGTAATGTACAAAATTAGTAACGCTACATACAAACACAGCTGTGTTCCATTGATGTATCTCTAGTCTCTGCTTATAAATCCGAAGTTGTTCACACTCCTCAGAGTAACCACACCCTCAATCACAATGAAGCTCCTTCTTCATCTCTCTATCCTTTTTATCTCTCTCGCATCTTCTTACAGCTGCACCTCAAATGACAAAAATGCCCTCCTCCAAATCAAGAAATCCCTTAACAACCCTCCTCTCCTCTCCTCCTGGAATCCCCGAACCGACTGTTGTACCAGCTGGACCGGCGTCGAATGCACTAACCGCCGCGTCACCTCCCTCACAATCTCCTCCGGCAAACTCTCCGGCCAGATCCCGAACCAGATCGGTGACCTCCTTTACCTCCGTACACTCGATTTCAGTTACCTGACTCATCTCACCGGAAACATCCCACGCACCATCACCAAGCTCAAGAACCTCGAAATCCTCCGGTTAAAGCAAACCAATCTCTCCGGTCCGATTCCTGATTTCATCAGCGAGCTTAAGAGCGTTACGTTCTTGGACCTCTCCTTTAACCAGTTTACCGGTCCAATTCCCGGTTCACTTTCTCAGATGCCGAAGCTTGAAGCCATTCAGATCAACGATAACAAGCTATCCGGTTCTGTACCCAACTCTTTCGGTTCTTTTGTAGGCAACGTCCCAAATCTCTACCTGTTCAACAATAGGCTCTCAGGTAACCACAGTTGTTCTTTAAATCTTTTAAAATATACTACTGTCGTCGTGCTTAAAATGTTTTTGTAACCAATAAAGTTACATTTTTGGGATTTAAACAATAATTATTATATTTTAAGATCTTGCACCAGAATTTGCTGGGTGATAATGTGATATATAAAACCCGGTTTAATGACATTGCCTCGCAGGGAGAATACCGGAATCGTTGTCAAAGTACGACTTCAATGCAGTGGATCTGTCGGGAAACGGTTTCATCGGAGATGGTTCGATGTTCTTCGGGCGGAACAAAACAACAATACGAGTGGATCTGTCGAGAAACATATTTCAGTTCGATCTCTCCAAGGTGAAGTTCGCTAGGAGCATAGTGTCGTTGGATCTGAGCCAAAACCGAATCTTTGGGAAGTTTCCAAGGGAGCTGCGTAAGCTTCGCCTCGAGCATTTCAACGTTAGTTACAACAGTCTCTGCGGCAAAATCCCACGTGGTGGTCTCCTTCAGACATTTGAACCAACCGCCTTCTCTCACAACCTCTGCCTTTGTGGGACCCCGCTTAAGGCTTGCTAGTTGCTAGTCTTGTCTTATCTATGAAATTTGAGTTATGATGTTGTGTCAGCTATCATAGCCTATCAAGTTAATTGTTCCTTTTGAGATCATTATGTTAAGAAAATATTAAGAATGCTGTTGAGATATTCAAAGTGTAAACACTTTAGAACTACAACATACCTCTCGTATTCATAAATAGGATTAGTATATCACATGTATATACTTCGAATTGGATAACGAGGACTAGGATAATATAAAGTCCGATTGATAACGTAATGAATAGTGGTGTGTTACAAAAAAATAGATGTTATGAAAGATGACAGTATAAATTTAAGTGGTACGAAATATAGTGGTACAAATATTAGTAGTAGAATTTGATGGTACATATAACGTAATATCTTCTTGATTCTTGATTGGTGGTTACGTATATGATGGTACAGTTTATAATACTTTGTAACACTATGTTCAATTTACACCAATCACAGCCATAATCATTCTTTAACTACCAAATAAATTATGATAAATTGTCTCATGCCTATTGCTAAAGTTGAGACCACCACACGTGATGATGTTGAAGGTAGGTCAGGAAACAATGTATAGTTTGGTAATATTCTACCAAAGATACTGTAACAATTGCGATATAGTTTGTTAGATAGCACTTATTTTGGGTAAAGCTAGAGATGACCTAAATGTATTTTGGGTTAAGACTTTAGTGGGAGATATTTAAGGAACTTTTGAAGGATTTTTAAGATTTGAGTAGATTTACAAGTTTTTTGTTAAATAATTTAAAGTGATTAAGTGAGATTTCAGGGTATTTAAAAAAAAAAAATATTACCTTTATTAAAAACGTGAATCTTATAAAAGAAACAAGAAAAACTATTTATTTTAATTAATTTAATTATTTATTCAAATCCCATTTCATTAGGTGGTATTTGGATATATTTGTTTCTAACTACAAAATCTCTCTCAAATCACTCAAAACAGTTTTCGAAAGATTTTATTGATGAAATCCTAATTTTCCAATCAGGTGGAATTTTAAAGGATTTGTATAAATCACTAGTCCAATAACTTTGAATTTTAAATGATTTTTATAAATACTAAATCCAATAAGAGGTGATTTGGAAAAGATTTGAAATCCTCCCAAATCACTAGTTCAATGAGGCCCCTAATGATTTTAGACTTGTTTTATAAAAGTGATGTGCTTATTATAAATCTAAGATTGGTGGTGGTAATGGAACTTTGTAATGTTTGGTAATATGGGCCGAGGTTTCTGTTTTTATTGGGCCTCAAAGTTCTAATTTCCAAAACGATTCGTTTCATCTTTAAAACATTGCTCGGCGATTCCGACGCGCATCTCATCCGAGTCCCGGAGAAATCGATCGTAGCTCGCTGCCCTTTGCTTTATAAAATCGTTTCTCTCGACAGGGAAAGAAAAGTTCGTTGCTTTTCCTCAATTTTTTCTCCAATTTCTCGTTTCAATTCCGTTAATTTACCGTTCCACCGAACGCACGTCGAAACCCTATAACCCAATTGCTTTTTTCGGGTCAACTTCATCTTCGAGTTTTCTAGGGTTCCGTATCTGAATCTGTGGAGAAGAAAAGCCTTCTTGTGGGGTTTACCTAAATTTTCTGAAATCAGAGGTATTTTTAACTTTTCCGTCCCTTTTCGAGTCTTGTTTGATATACCTTGTGGTTGATGAACCTTGTGTTAGCTCGTCCACCCATTGAGATATCTGGCCGTTCAGGGCTCTGCCTAGTTCAAAACGGAAGTCTTAGAGAGGGTTTAAGGAATGGTTAACACTGGTTATGATTTAGGGATTCAAAAAATGTGTTCAAGTTTTCGTAAATTATTGAATCAGGAGAAATTAGGGTGCTTTGATAAAATGCTGCAGCCTTTTGTTTGATTTTCCTCAAAGTGTTTCTCAAGATGTGGCTATGATTTCCTCAGATAAAAGTGTTGTCTTTGGATTTAATTGAGTACACAATCCTATTTTAGTGCTCCTCTGTGGTTGGCTGATAATTTACCATCTCCTTGTCTGTTTTTCTTTCTTTCTCTTTCGGAATTTATAACTTTTCTTACTGCATGTGATCTCCTTGGAGAAGAAACGAGAGATTCTTTGCTAATTGGAACTTATCCTGCCCTTTTTAGCCATGTAGGTGACTTATTGATGTTCTTGTTAGTTACTGGATCTTAATTCGTAGAAAAAGAACACTTTTAAAACGTCTGTAGTTGGATTATGAGTACTCTCGTAAAATAATTTGAAATACCATTCTTTTATCCAGCACAAACATTTAGTGAATATCTTAATTTTCTAGCTTTCTAAACTACTGATGGTAGCTGTGTTCCACTTGACAGTACAGATTTAAAAGGAACAGCTTTCATTTGTATGGGAAGTCTCTGTTACTAAACTACATATTGATATGGAAGCACAAATTCATCAACTTGAGCAGGAAGCGTATACTGCTGTTTTAAGAGCTTTCAAAGCGCAGTCTGATGCTATTTCTTGGGTACTCTCTTGTTCCTTTGGATTGTTTAGGTGATTCTGTTTTCTGTCAGATCATAACGAAAAGTCTGGCTTCTATTGGCTGTACTAACTATTTCCACAACATAGGACAAGGAAAGCTTGATAACAGAATTGCGTAAAGAACTAAGAGTATCTGATGACGAACACCGGGAGCTCCTGAGTAGGGTCAATAAGGACGATACTATCCAAAGGATCAGGTCAGACTGTTTCTTTGCAATAGCAAAAACGAAACACTAATCTATCTTGAAAATTCGATTTATATTAATATGTTGGATAATGGAACTGCCAGGGATTGGAGACAGGGAGGCGGAAGCCAAGTTCCGAGACATGCAGCTATTCAGCCTTTTGATGTTGTTCCTAGTCCCACTTTCTCAGCTTCCCGGAAGAAACAGAAGACATTCCCATCTGTAAGTCTTCTGTGTTAGTCGTGTGGTTCTTTTGTGCTTTCTTCTGTTTATCTCTGCTTTGCTGTTTCCTGTCATTTCTTGATCAGTTATCGGTGATATGCTGTGCATGCAGTATCACCAATCAATTGGTGCGCCTGGAAACAGGTCATTCAATAGTCGTGTGGTGCCTGGTGGCATATCAGCAAATGAATCTCCTGAAGGTCTAATCGGAAGGAAAGTGTGGACAAAATGGCCTGAAGACAACAACTTCTATGAAGCAATAATAACGCAGTACAACGCAGATGAGGTAATACGGTTTGGTTATTGAGTGTTGTGACTTCCGATGTTTCTTGAAGCCTGTGATTGTTTATTAGTTGTTTTGTAGCATATCTTACATCTGAACAGTGAACATGGCTTCAAGTTCCTTGCAATTTACACATTTGTTATATTTCTCACAGGGTCGGCATGCTCTGGTGTATGATATTAACGCAGCAAATGAAACGTGGGAAATGGTTGATCTCAAGGAGGTAAGCGTTTCACAAAGATTATCTTAAAAGTCTTTACATGTGGTCACATATGTTTCAGTAAAGCGACATGGTGGCTTTAAATGATGATGATATGTTTCAGTAAAGCGACATGGTGGCTTTAAATGATGATGATCTTGATAAGAGCTAATAATATTGTAGATTCCACCGGAAGATATAAGGTGGGATGGAGAGGAGAGTGGAGTAGCTTTAAACATTGGCCATGGAAGTGGAACGATCCGTGGCAACCGAAGAGGCCAAAGCCTTGGTAGAGGGAGAGGACCAAGAATTCATCAGCCAAGAAGAGAATTTTTACAACCACCAACACAACAAAATGGTGGTGGTGGTCGGAGAACGTCCTCTGATGATATTGAATTGTTCAACACAGACTCACTTGTGAAGGAGGTGAGTTTTTCTTTCTTCTTGTTTATCTGAGGTGTGTACCCATTGAGCTTAATCGCTGTTCTAACATGAAAGTTTTGTTTTAGGTGGAGAGAGTTTTCGATTCTGCGCATCCCGACCCGGTGGAGCTCGACAAGGCCAAGAAAATGCTCAAGGTCTGATATTAATTGTCTATTGCGAGTGGATTTCTTATGTTTTGATTCAGAGTGATTGTAACGCAAGTTGTGATATGATGCAGGAACATGAACAGGCGCTTATTGCTGCCATTGCAAGGCTTGCTGATACTTCTGATGGCGAAATTGGTAATAATAACAGAAGCAAGGCTTTGTTTTGTTTACAATCTCAGAATAATATTTTATTTACTACTATTCATTGGATCAATAGGAACGTATTAGTAGTACCCAAAAAATTTAAACACACAACTCCTGCACTTAAAACAGTCTCTAACCTGTTTATATATGAATAGCTTAAAATTTGTGGATCTTTCTCCCGAACTTTTGATTGTCTGCTTCTTTGCTGCGAACTTTTGATTGTTCTCATGGTTTACTGCTTGTAACTCACCAGATGGAGATCCACCGTATTCGCATGACCATCCAATGCCACAGGGATGATGCATAAGCTTTGTCTGTCTGGTTTGGTGGTCGTCAAGCCAAGGGACTCTGGATTTTAAAAGAAATATTGTGCTCGTCTGACAAAAAAAGTGGCTGCTGGGTAGATGGAATAGTCAGTCTTCTTTCGAAATGTATGAACAAAATTGTAGGATTGGAACGTAGGATTTTGCTTTGTAATGACAAATATTTTGTTTAGAGAGATTGTAACCTGTGACTATGATTGAGATTGACCATGTAAATGTTCCTGACTCCACCTCCAATGGATAATCATTCAGACCTGCCATGAAAATGCATACTGTAAGTTTGTCGAATTTGCCTTGAAATCCAGGTGAGATGGATGCTTAACGCAGCCTCGACCCACCCCATTACACATTGTTCAACCAAATAAGATATACACAAGTATGATTCTCAAGAGTTTAGATTTCTATCTATGTTTATCAAGAGAAGCATAAGAAGAAGCTGAATTTCAGATGTCTCAAGATGAGAGGTTCAAGGTCGTATGCGTTACGAGCTAATCATCTGAAACAATTTAGGGAAATCAAATGAAGCTTAGGGAAAAACACTTACGCCATTCCTTTTGGCAGCCAATATCATTGATTTTCGATCTGGAATGTTGATGACTGAATCGAATTCATCTCGAACTTGGGAACATGAGATACTCCACCAGTTTTGATGCGCTTTCGTTGCAATTCCTGCGAAATACGAAGTAAGACCCTGAGATTTGAAGGTAGAGGTTCCCGACTACTTGACATGATACCACACAACAGCCAGAATCCAGATGAACAAATCTAAAGCCTAGAGAGCACGAAACATGGAAAAATCGAAACGAAACAGCGATGAAAGCAAATAAATCCTAGCTCGTGAAGGTGATTTATAATAAGCCCTGGAAATTTATCATTACCTGGAGATGGAGAACGCCTTAGAGAGATCGAACAGGATCGGATTTCACTAGATTTCATCGTGTAAACTGAGGAATCGCATGATCGGAGGAAGAAGAAGATGACTGGAGATTGATTTATGCGATTGCTGTTCATCCAAGGAAGTCGAGAAGAGGGGAAGAAGAGGAACATGTCAATAATAGAATCAAGGAAGCAATGTTGAGATTGCTTGACCCGTTTACCTTCTTCTCCTTTTTCTCCACGAAAAATGTTTTCTCTTCCTTTTCTTTTTATTTTTGGTTGCAAATGAAAAAATAAATAGTTTTAAAATGTTGAAATCTAATTAACATGTCACAAATTACTTTGGAAAAAGAAAAAAAAAATCTGATATTTGTAAAGAGAATAATAAAAAGGAAGAAAAATCTTTTTTCGTACTTGTTAGATTTGGCCAAATCTAATGCAGATCATCCTCTGCAACCAAATCCCAAGCAAGCTCCTTCCTTTGGATCATCATCCATCATCATCTCTCTGGGAAAACAACAACGACAATGCAGTTTGATTTCAAAAACATAAACGTCGTCCCAATCGGAAACGAGTTCGTCGACCTCACCCTTTCCCGCGTCCATCACCAGACTCCAACTATTCTCCTCCGCAAGGGCTTCGAAATCAGCCGTCTCCGTCAGTTCTACACTCGCAAAGTGAACAAGACGGAGCTCTGCTACCGCGATAAGCTCTCCGCCATCCTCGACGAATTCCCACGCGCCGACGAAATCCACCCCTTTTTCAGTGACCTTCTTCGCTCGGTTTTCGATAGAGATCAGTATAAGTCCGCTCTAGGTCAAGTCAACACCGCGAGGCATCTGGTTTCCAGAATCGGCGACCATTACGTAAACCTACTCGAGTTCGCTGAGTCGCTAACGCCGTGCAAATCCTTGAAAGCGAGTGCTATTGCAGATATGTATAGCGTTGTAAACGAAATCACTCCGAGTTTGGCTTATCTAGAGCAGCTCAGGCAACACATGGTGAAGCTTCCTTCGATTGACCCAAATTCACCATCTCTCTTGGTTTCTGGGTACCCTAATCTGGACAAGACTCGGTTTTTGAGAAGAATCAGTAACGAAGGTGGTGATGATTTCACCACAGGATCAGTCAATTTCGCTGTTGGTCATACTGATTACGAGGATTTGAGGTACCAGGTGATTGACGCGCCTGGGATTTTGGATAGGCCTTTATCTGGAGACTGCCGTGTAATCAAAGCATTGGCTTGTCATCTTCGAGCTTCTCTTGTGGTGTTCTTTCTGGATGTTTCTGAGTCGTGTGGCTACAGCATTGCGCATCAGGCCGTTTTCTTCCACAGCTTAAAGTCTCTGTTTTCGAACAAACGGTTGTTGATTGTGTGCGACGAGGCTGATTTGGTGCAAATAGATGAACAAGATTGGGATCTGATTGAAGAGATGGTTAGTGGAATGGGACCAAGTGGAGATGAAGAAGAAGAAGAGGTGGGATTGGTGATTAGTAATCTGAGGAGTGAAGAGGGTGTGATGTTCGTCAAGAATGCTGCCTGCGAGAGGCTATTAGATGGCAGGGAAAGACTGATCAGTTGCGTAGCTGAGACCAAAGCTGAGTTTTTGAGGAACAGAGACATCTTGGCTCTTGAAGAATGGAAACAAGACATAATTCCTGATGAGGATCATAAAGATTCCGACTTTATGGCTGGTTCAGGCGTTTTGTTTAGGCTTAGAGAGTTGGGGCGTGAAGAAGAACTCAAGCAGGCTGAGGAAGAAGAAGATGATGATTTTGTGATGGCCGAGGAACGTTTTAACCTCGAGCAGGCTGAGCAAGAAGAAGAAGAAGAAGATTTTGTGATGGCCGAGGAACATTTTAAACTCAAGCAGGCTGAAGAAGAAGAAGAAGAAGATGATGATTATGAAGAAGAAGAGGAAGAGGAAGAAGAAGAAGAAGAAGAAGAAGAAGAAGAAGAAGATGATTGTGTGATGGCCGAGGAACGTTTTACAGAGAATCACAAGGGTCAACTTGTATCCATTCGCAAGTTTCAACCCTTGCGGATGTTAGTAGCCTTGGCTTTTGTTATACTTGTAGGGAATACTTATGGAGCCATTCAACAATGTCTCTCAGCTTTAAGCTTTTGATCTTAACTAGTCTTAGGTTTCCTCGTCGAATAAGTTGGGCGTTTTTGGCTCTCATTCCTTTTTGCTCCAAAACATGCGTTCTAAAATATTAAATTTATCTACTGTATCAGTCTTTTGAATGCTTTATTTATTTATTTATTTTTTCTTGACTGAAAGCTTTCTTTTGTTTGAAACTTTGAATGCTCAAGTTCCTTGAAGAAAACCTGATTCTAGCTTGTATTCTCAATAGCAACAATTCCATTCACATTAACTAATTCTTACCTCCGGAGAAGAACAACAACAACAAAAACCGATTTTTTAAAAAATGCTAACTAAATTGATTTACGGTTTAACTGAAACCCAACCGACTCACTTAATACATGTTTGATATGAACATGTGTGTTGCTTTTGAAATTATCATGTTATGTCGAAAACATGTGTTGTGGGTGGGTCTCCTTACTCCTTGGTTCTTGGAATGGAAAAATTTCAGATATCTGACATTACAAGGCCGGTACAATGTTCAATATGTTGACGTCATAAGAGATAAAATACAAATGTAAAACGACGTCATTTTACATCTAACCTTATCGAGAAACGTAACAGGCGCACCACCGCCCCACTTTACGGCTGAGCTGACGTTAAGCTAACTCTTGCAAACTACGGTTTTTATCCTTTAAAGGACATTCCGGTTTACCTTTTTGTTTGTTCAATGTGCCGCTCCGGTTTAAGTTCGAATTAAAAAAGGCACCGTAAAGAGTTAAAGAGAGAGAACAAAAAAAATAAAGGAGAGGAAAATCTCATCTTTCCCTCGACGACAACTACCTTTAGGGTTAGGTTTATTTTCCTCTTATTCTCTCTACTCGTTTTCCCTATTCCGATTTGCGATTCGTCTTCTCCGATTCGCCTTTCATTCGCTTTCTACACTCTACAGTTTCGATTTCGGGTTTTCGAATTGGATCTGCACTTAGACATGGATGCTCGCAAGAGAGGACGGCCTGAAGCTGGCTTATACAACTCCAATGGCGGCGGATTCAAGAAGTCTAAGCAAGGTTAGCTCTTTTACTCTTAACTATCTTCCCTTGTTCGAGAAACTGTTAAGCTACTGCAATTCTGTTTAATTATACACAAATCCTTTCAGTTCTTTTGAGTTTCACTGTCTCTGATAAAAGGTTAAAAATTTGAGATCCTCATCCCTGGATATATAATTTTATTCAATTGGACTGTCCTTGTACTGATTTCTGCAATTTTAGCTCCGTACTATTTTCACTGATGGAAAAGTAGGGTTTTTTTTGTCCTGCTAGTCATTGACATAGGATTAGGTCTTCCTTTCTCATTGCGCTGTGTTTTTGTGATGTCTTCTTCTATTATGCCCAGTTTTCTGGCTAATTAGCGTGATTACAGCAAAAACTGCTACCGTTTTTATCTGATGCAAATCTAAATTCCATTAATTGTTCTGTTGAGTAATGATAAATGAAGTTTTGCCAAGTGACGCTGGAGTTAACTTCAGTGCTGCTGGTCTCAAGCTTATAGTTTTAGCTATCTCTTAAGTTTCAGTAGTGCTGTAGTTTAATCTCTCTTCTCAAGTATAAGCTAATAACATTCTATCATCACGCCTAGAGAATAAGCCTTTTATGCATCTTTGGTTTTAAAATTCAAGTTTCATATAGATGAATGAATGTATGGATGATATGGTTGAAACTAAAGCAATATTCTTAAACTTAAAGAAAAGTCTTAACTAAAGAACAACACTTAATGTTTGAAACAGAGATGGAATCACATTCAACTGGTTTAGGAAGCAAATCGAAGCCATGCACAAAATTTTTCAGGTTATAATCCTTTCACTTAACTGGATTAATATTCAAATTGTTATTTATCTGGCCTTGAAATTGACAAGTAAAAATGTATGCTAATGAAGTGGTTAGTTGTTATTACAGGTACGTAGCATCATTCATGCTATACAATTTTTTTTTAAAACAGCTTTTAGTAGAACCTATATGATTCTCACTAGGAATGGAATAGCGTATGTACATACAAAATCAATCAAAACTTGTCTTTTGTTTGAGCTAAGGGAATTGTTGAGATAGGTGCTCTGTTATTAACTTATTATGTTTGGTGGTAAGGTATTAGTGATTTTTCGTTTGTATCATGATTATTTATGGTCAGGTTAGGTTCTTGCATCAGTGGTGAACATGACTTTTTTAGTTAATTAGAACAGGAAACATATTACTCTCATGAGAATTGTAGCCGTGAATTTGATTCTTGTGCCATTTCTTCTTGTCTTGACCGTTTGTTCTTGTGCCATCTTAAGGCCATTGGGTTTAACTCTCTGATGTATTTGTTATGCTTGTGTTGCAGCACATCTGGCTGTCCTTTCGGAGAGAACTGTCATTTCTTGCATTATGTTCCTGGAGGATACAATGCCGTAACGCAGATGACAAATATGACACCACCCATGCCTCAAGTTTCGAGAAACATGCAAGGATCTGTTGGTGGAGGACGATTCTCAGGGAGAGGAGAGTCTGGGCCTGGCCATGTCTCTAGCTTTGGTGCCTCAGCCACTGCTAAGATCAGTGTTGATGCCTCTTTAGCCGGCGCAATCATTGGAAAAGGTGGAGTCAGTTCGAAACAGATATGTCGTGAAACAGGGGTGAAGTTATCAATTCAAGATCACGAGAGAGATCCGAATCTGAAGAATATTGAGCTTGAAGGAACATTTGAGCAGATAAACGAAGCGAGTAGAATGGTTAGAGACCTGATTGGGAGGCTTAACTCGGCAGCTAGGAAACCACTTGGTGGCGGTGGTGTGCCAGGTGGCGGTGGCGGTGGCCTTGGTTCTGAAGGGAAACCTCATCCAGGGAGTAACTTCAAGACGAAGATCTGTGAGAGATACTCTAAAGGAAACTGTACATTTGGTGATAGATGTCACTTTGCACATGGCGAAGCAGAGCTACGCAGGTCAGGAATCGCCTAGTTGCTCAAGAGTTAGAGAGTTTGCTGGCCAAACAAGTTGCTTCTTCTGTGGTGGTGATATCTAATATCATCTTCACCTACTTGTCATTTGTTTTTTTGTTGGTACAATGTTAGTTTCATTGTCATTTGTAAGTTTTTTTCTGTTTGGTGGTTTTTAGAATTTAGTTTTGGTTAAATCGAGTTTCATTTGAGATGGGAAGGCTTGAAGAATGATTGACAAACTTAGTAACAGTGGTTAGGATTGTATGCAGCCTTTTATTCATCTTATGTTTTCTCTACTGTGTCATGAGCTACTCACATATATACACTTTCTTTCATATTATTTTCTGAAAATCTGGAAGTGTTGACTAACTAAAAATCTGTTAACTGTCAACAACACAAATAATTGTGTTTTGAAATCTGTCACTGATATTAAATGTGGAGTGCAATAAAGTAAAAATCATGGTTGGTGATGATATTAAAAAAATGTTGAAAAGAAAGTGTCGTTATACGAATGCGACTCTAATGATCTCACATAAGAGACCTAATGAATTACTTAATTCATTGCTTGTCGACGCCTAATTGTGTTTCGTCTGCCACCTAATTGAGTTATTATAATATCAAGAGATTAAGAAAAGAAAATCCGCACGAATCTCCCAAGTACATCACAGTTAAGAGTTCTTTCACGTGACAACCACAATAGTGTCTGCAGATATCTTATTTAAATGCTTTACACGATTGCACATGACAGAAGAAAACAAACACGATCCTCCAATTTCCACTTTTAGCCTTTTTTTCCCCGTCACCACTACTCTCACTACTTGTGACTTGTGTGAGTCGCCAACAACGTCCCCTCCCTCGGTTTATAAGGACAACAAATCTCCACCATTCTTGTTATATTTTTTATATATTTTAAAATAGTTGGACTAGTGGAGATCGAGATATGTACGTAGAAAAAAAAACAAGTTTCTTAACCGTTCTAAATTGTAATGCAACGAGTAAATTAAAACACTAATAAGAGAGAAACTTGAATATGACAACTCCATCCTTGTACTACTACTGTCCCGATTATAAACTGTTGTTTAGAATATGTATCAGACAGGTTCCAAACTACGGTCTATGATACGTGTGTTTAGCTAAAGTGATGTGAGTCCTATTTATATAAAAAAATAAAACAAAATTTAACATTAATGTGAAAGACTAGTTTAGGGACACCTAGACGTAGGAAAAAAAAAACATTAAGGCCAATATCTAAATTTTATATAAATAAATAAAAGTGATAAGATTTGAAAAGATAAATGTTGACTGTACATCTTTCACTTTTCCGTAAATATTAGTCCATTGCCGTAAATACAAGATATTTTGAATAGAAAAGTAAGGACGAAAAAGGTAAAATAAAATAAAATATGAGGAGGTGAAAGAAAAGAGGGGGCCCACTTCGACAGAGAGAGATGTCACCAAATCCTCTCTCTCATCCTTCTTTCGACCCACGGGCCATCAATTTATACGGCCTGCCTTTTGCCATTCGCATCTGACCAGAACCAGAGAGAGAGAAAGAGATAGAGAGAGAGAGAGAGGAGACAGGAGAAAGAAAAGAGAGAGATTTTGCGGAGGAGCTTCTTCGTAGGGTTTCATCGTTATTAACGTAAAATCTTCCTACGTCGTCAGCTCAAGGTCCCTTCTTCTCTTCCATTTCTTCTCATTTCAATCCTATTGATTATCCTATCCGCTGCTGGTCTGTGTTTTTTCTTCTCTTATCTCTTTCTATCATTTCGCATTTCAATCTAATTCACCATAGATCTGATATTGCTCGGTATTGATTGCATTCAACCGTAGATCTGGTCTCGACTCTCTGTTTCCAGTTTCGAAATCATATCACCTTATTTTCATTATTGGATTCTCATTCGTAAAATGACTAGTGCATATCTTGGAGAAAATGAAGAGTTGCATTATTCGTTTTTTTTAATCAAAATATGAAGTGTCTTTGACTAATGACTATCTGTTTAGATCTTTGTTTACTTTTGTTTTTTTGGTTTGGTTGGTAGAATAGAAAAGCACCAGAAAATTGCATATCAGTCTCACGTCCTGGTGTTTTACTAGAGATATTTTTATCAGATCTGGACCTGTGAGGCTGTGAATTTAAAACTGTATTGTTTTCAATTTCTCTTTTTCCTCTCTGAGTTAAATTTGTTGTTTTGAATCTTAGATTGATATGACCGATTCCTATTGGGTGTTGATACTGTAATTACGTATTAAACGGATGAAAAAAAGTTTCATTGACTTGAGTTATTATTACCCAAAAGAGTTGTGAATAAAAAAAATAGTACCATTTTATTTATTGCTGTTTAAATGTCTAAATCCTAAGAGATATGATGCCGACAATTCTGGTGGCTTTCAAATTCCTTCAACTGTTTTCATTTGGCTCTCTTTGTCAACTTGCTACTCAACATGAATTGTGACTTTGATTTGTCTCCTCTCCTAAAATTCTTTTAAAACTTTAGCAAGAAGCAGAAATTGATCACCACAACAAGAAAGAGATGTGAGCTGTCTTATTTACTAGTCGTATTCTCAACGCAATCGCTCTCTTAGGTTTCTTTCTTTTGTTTTGCCACACAACGCCGCTTCTCTTCTCTTTATTGCTTTTGGTCCACGTACTTTTCATTTTCGGTAACCCCCATTTTACAACCTAACAATCTATCACTTTGAATCTTTTGTGTTGGTTTCATCAAACACCACTCGTTCTTGTGCACAAGAAAGTCTTTAGCTTGACTAATATTCTGCTCTAGATTCTTGACTTTTCAGCTTCTTAATTCTTTGTTCTTGTTTTTTTTTTTTGTTTGTGTGTGTGTGCAGAAACATGGGTGCAGGTGGGAGAATGCCGGTTCCAACTTCTTCCAAGAAGTCCGAAACCGATACCCTAAAGCGTGTGCCGTGCGAGACACCGCCGTTCACGCTCGGAGAGCTCAAGAAAGCAATCCCACCTCATTGTTTCAAACGCTCGATCCCTCGTTCTTTCTCCTACCTTATCACCGACATCATCATAGCCTCCTGCCTCTACTACGTCGCCACCACTTACTTCTCTCTCCTCCCTCAGCCTCTCTCTTACATCGCCTGGCCTCTCTACTGGGCCTGTCAAGGCTGCGTCTTAACTGGAGTCTGGGTCATAGCTCACGAGTGCGGCCACCACGCCTTCAGCGACTACCAGTGGCTTGACGACACCGTCGGTCTCATCTTCCATTCCTTCCTCCTCGTCCCTTACTTCTCCTGGAAGTACAGTCACCGCCGCCACCATTCCAACACCGGTTCACTCGAGAGAGACGAAGTGTTCGTCCCCAAACAGAAATCCGCAATCAAACCGTACGCCAAATACCTCAACAACCCTCTCGGACGCACCGTGATGTTAACCATCCAGTTCACTCTCGGCTGGCCCTTGTACTTAGCCTTCAACGTCTCCGGCAGACCTTACGACGGATTCGCTTGCCATTTCTTCCCTCACGCTCCCATCTACAACGACCGTGAGCGTCTTCAGATATACATCTCGGACGCTGGTATTCTCGCCGTCTGTTACGGTCTCTACCGTTACGCGGCTGCGCAGGGATTGGCCTCGATGATCTGCTTCTACGGAGTGCCGCTTCTGATTGTCAATTTCTTCCTCGTGTTGATCACTTTCTTGCAGCACACGCACCCTTCGTTGCCTCACTACGATTCGTCGGAGTGGGATTGGTTCAGGGGTGCTTTGGCTACCGTGGACAGAGACTATGGAATCTTGAACAAGGTCTTCCACAACATCACGGACACGCACGTGGCTCACCATCTGTTCTCGACGATGCCGCATTATCACGCCATGGAAGCTACGAAGGCGATAAAGCCGATACTTGGGGACTATTACCAGTTCGATGGAACACCGTGGGTTATGGCCATGTGGAGGGAGGCTAAGGAGTGTATCTATGTAGAACCAGACAGGGAAGGTGACAAGAAAGGTGTGTACTGGTACAACAATAAGCTATGAGGAGGATGATGATTATTAATGATGATGGTGAAAGAACACAAGCATTGTTGTTGGTCGACCTTTCTCTTGTTTGGGTTGTCTTTTGTTTTAAGAAGCTATGTTTTGTTTCAATAATCTTTATCAGTCCATTTTGTTGTGTTCTGACATTTTGGCTAATTATTGTGATGTGGGATGTTAGTGTTCACATGTTTTGTGTCTGTATTGTTCTTCTCATCGCTGTTTTGTTTGGGATCGTAGAAATGTGACTTTCAGACAAGACAATGAAACTCTTGTACTAAATTTATTATCCTGTTGGCATCTTTATGATTTTGTCTTCCCTTGAAATCAACTAATGAATGTATGAGAAGGTCACAATTGCTCTCTATTTGTAAGGTTCTAGATCATAGATTCATGCTTCAAAATTTTGTTTGTTTGATACTTGGTGAGAAACTGGCTTTCAAAGTCTTCGATCAACCCGAAGTGAGAAGACATTGTAGAATTTTTTCTTTCACTTAGCCATATACTTAAGTGGAGCGTGACATATGTTGACCATGTCGATGTATTATTGAAGGAATCTAACTTAACCATGAAACTAGTACAGTATTTTATACAATTAATTTACATTCTGAATTATTGTGTTGTTTGGTTGGCAGGTCACTTTCAGTTCTCACACTCCAGTGTGCAGTCATGTGGTTCGGCTTTCTTTGATTCCTCTTTTTTAGAATTAGCATTTTGTAAAGAACTCTGTCCTTCTCTTCTAATTTACTGAAGCCTTTTAAGTTTTAACCAGACAAAGTAATAACTCTTGTGTACTATAAAAGACCTTACACAAGAAAAAGTATCTCTGGCTTCATTTCATATTTGAAGAAGGACAAAAGATGAGAAACGAATAAATAACAAATCTGTTTTTTTTTTTCCATTAATAGCAGAAACACCAAAAGAGAAAATGACAACAAGAAATAAATATGGTGAAGGAAAAAGTAAAAAAAGAAGAGAAAACCAAAAGAATATTCTGTAATCAACTCGATGAACAAAAGACCTTTTTCCAATACGAAAACACTCTTTCATTCAATCCAACGGCCACACCTTCGATATCAGCGTAATCTAGAAGCACTTCCTGTGGACTATCGATGGTCCTGACTCGTCATACTCAGCCTTCGCTATCCACATCTGCAACACCAACACATTGTGCATCATTTTTAGCTTAATCATCATTATTGCCAAAAAAAAAAAAAAAAAAAAAAAAAAAAACAAGAAAACGAGCTCAAAAATATGAAGATTTTACCTGTTGGAAGGTACTGAGTGATGCTAGAATGGAGCCTCCGATCCAGACACTGTACTTCCTCTCCGGTGGAGCAACAACCTTAATCTTCATGCTGCTCGGAGCCAAAGCAGTGATCTCTTTGCTCATCCTATCAGCAATCCCAGGGAACATGGTGGTTCCACCACTGAGCACAATGTTTCCATACAGATCCTTCCTGATATCCACATCACACTTCATGATCGAGTTGTAAGTCGTCTCATGAATCCCAGCAGCTTCCATTCCCACCAGCGACGGCTGGAACAGAACCTCAGGGCAACGGAACCTCTCTCCTCCAATAGTAATCACCTGTCCATCAGGCAGCTCGTAGCTCTTCTCAACGGAGGAGCTCGTGTTGGCAGTCTCCATCTCCTGCTCGTAGTCAAGAGCAATGTAAGCGAGCTTCTCCTTCACGTCCCTCACGATCTCACGCTCTGCTGTGGTGGTGAACGAGTAACCACGCTCCGTCAAGATCTTCATGAGGTGATCAGTGAGGTCACGACCTGCAAGATCCAGACGCAGAATAGCGTGTGGAAGAGCATACCCTTCGTAGATCGGAACAGTGTGACTCACACCATCTCCAGAGTCCAACACAATACCTTTCAACAAAACACACACAAGAACAATCCACAATGATTCCACATTCAACAAGAAGCTAAAAGCTAATATGATCTAAAAAGATGTTATTTTTACCAGTTGTACGACCACTGGCGTAGAGGGAAAGCACAGCTTGGATAGCGACGTACATGGCGGGTGTGTTGAACGTCTCGAACATGATCTGAGTCATCTTCTCACGATTGGCCTTGGGGTTGAGAGGAGCCTCCGTGAGAAGCACAGGGTGCTCTTCTGGAGCGACACGTAGCTCGTTGTAGAAAGTGTGATGCCAAATCTTCTCCATGTCATCCCAGTTGTTGACGATACCATGCTCGATCGGATATTTGAGTGTCAAAATACCTCTCTTTGACTGAGCCTCGTCACCAACGTAGGCGTCTTTCTGTCCCATACCAACCATCACACCTGTGTGACGAGGACGTCCAACGATGCTTGGGAATACAGCTCTTGGTGCATCGTCTCCAGCAAATCCAGCCTTTGAAAGAAATTTGGATTTAGATTGAGATTGAGATTGCAGCAGCATTGTATGAAAGAAAGAAACAGATTTCAGATTTATGTTACCTTAACCATTCCGGTTCCATTATCGCAGACAAGGGGCTGAATGTCTTCTCCGTCTGCCATTTTCTATTCCTGCGAATTGAATTGATTCTGAAATTTTTAGATATGGCTGTGATTCGATTGATTGATTGTGAATGAGATTAACAAATACAAAAACAAAATAGCATTGTCGAAAGCAATCAAATCAAAATAGAAATCACAAACGACGAAATCTAAAGATCTCTCAAGGAGAATTGAATCGAGAAAACACGTCAGGAACGTATACTAAACGGACTGGCTAATCTCCGAATCAATGGCATTGAAATGATGGAGCTAACGAAGAAAAATGCGAGGAAATTCTGGGAATGTTACCTTGTTCTGTGAAATCTGGGCGGGTTTGAGAGAAAAAGAAGCGAGCAAAAGAGAAGCAAATAAGAAGAAGAGAGAGCGAATGAGGGAATTAATGTGAGCCCGAGAAACAAGTTTAAAAAGGAGCAAACGCCAAATTTTGGTGGAGAAGATCTCAGCCGTCGATTCATTAGTCTGTGAACGAAGGAGGACCCCACGACGAGTCACGTTGATGGTGGAAAGAGCTGTCTTAGCTTTCAAAAGAGTAACCGAACCACATTCAAATTTCATTAATTCTTCGTTAATATTTGGTAACGTAACCGAAAAATATTGAACATCTCTGTAAAGTACTCAATGGGCTGGCAAAAGTCCCTTAAATTACATATTGACAAAAGTTTACGGCCTGGAAAATGCTTCCAACATTTCAAGATTACTGTACTTATCAGTTTCGATAAAAAAAACTACTTATCAAAATTCAAAACCAGTACTATTTTCTTTGTTAAATTTTTCACCAGTTAAAAACATAGAAAACTATTTGTTTCCGATTTACAAAATTTCAGTAAACATATTACATTTGTCCAATGCTTCTCCACTTGTGGGATAATATGGGCTTCTTAATTTTGTAACAGCCCAATTAATGATGGAAAACAACAGGCCTTAATTGGGCTTAAAATAGTAGCCCATTAATGTTACTATAGAGTTGACGCAGGGCTTAAGTCTCTCAGTCAAGAGTTTAAACTGGAATTTAGTTCTTCATTTCAGGATCAAACAAACGATGGAGAGATCCATTTCCTTGGATCATCGGCGCGATAACGAACTCCCGAATGATCGGAGCAGCGATGTCGGATACACTGCCAACGATCGGAGGCTTGCTTACTCCCGTTCGTTCAAGCAGTCTCACGGCCCGCGCACGCCGGCGGTGTCGGAGGCGGCTAAGCCTTTTCTCGATAGGACGGTCTCCAGCATCGATATGCCGCCGGAGATATACTCCGTCGACGGGAACGATGTGTTTTTCGGGGAAGGGAAATCAGCAGAGATAGGAGAAGTCTCTGTTTTCCATTTGGTTCGGGAGATTTTTGGGGTGCTGAGAAGTGGAAATCGGCAGATGAAGAGGCTGTTTCTGCTGATTTCGCTTAATGTGGCGTATTCTACCACAGAGCTCTCTATTGGGCTCTTCACTGGGCGTGTAGGTATGATTTGGTTTCAGTTTGAGTCTTAGATGTGTTGAAGAACTAAAACATAACAGCTAAAGCCGCAATTTTGGCTCAAGTCTTTAGTTGATATAATCTAATTCTGTAGGTATTGAGGCCTTGATTAGTTGGTTTTGGAGCTCTAAGATCTGGTTTCTGATTGCAATTGAGTTTTAGAAACTGTGTTTCACAAGCGTCAAACAAATTTTTGGAACTGTTGTCAGGTTTTGTTGTTTATGGTCATTTTTTCTGTATTGACAAACATTGCTTTTTTTTTGGTTTATGGACTTTTTCAGGATTGGTTTCTGATGCATTCCATCTGACATTTGGTTGTGGTCTCTTGACGTTTTCTTTATTTGCAATGGCAACTTCAAGGAAGAAGCCTGATCATGCTTACTCATATGGGTGAGATTAAAGTATATTGATTGGCTCAGTTGTCTGTATGATTTCTTTTGCCGCTGAGGCTGTAATTGGTTCTAATTTGGGCTTCCTTGTATTTTTTTTTCCCAGGTACAAAAGACTTGAAGTTTTATCTGCTTTCACTAATGCTGTAAGTGTGTTCTTGACGTGTTTTAGATGAATCTTATAGAGCTTAACCCAGTGAGGCTGATAGAATAGAGCAATTTTACAGCTTGTTATATAATGTTTGAGAGCTTAATTCTCTGTAGTTTGTCTTTTGGGTTAACATTTTGATATGTTCAATACTTGGCATATGTGTAGACAGCTGTTCCTTATGTTCATGTCATTCTCCTTAGCCGTGGAAGCTCTTCATGCATTTATACAAGATGAATCAGAGCACAAGTAAGTTTCTTTTCAGAAAGGCCACGCCTAGGATTTTATAGATATCTCTATGGCACGTAATTAGCTTACAGTAACTGTTCTCTCTTGCTCGTTTTTATTAGTTACTTATTGATATTTCTTTTATGTAGGCATTATTTGATTGTATCAGCGGTAACAAATCTACTGGTGAACCTAATAGGTGTTTGGTTCTTCCGGAATTATGCTCGTGTAAATATTGGTATGTATTCTCTGCTATATATATACATGCTTGCATTCTGGTTAGACTTGCATGAAACGATCCACATACTGCTGCTTTATTTGATATAGCCTTGTTTGGCTGCTTTGGTTTATCTCATTTGTTGAAACTAGCCAGCCCTGTCAGTTTTAGCTTTCAAGACATAAAAGTAAGGTTTTTTGGTTAAGATAGAACCAGTCCGAGGATTATTTGAAATAGAGAGACAGCGTGATAGCAACTGATCTGGCCAAGACAGTTTTCTTTTCGTCATGAAATTATCTGTCCCATTTGTACAAATATATAGACCACAATTTTTCTTGAATTTCTTGCTTACATTCATAATATGCTGCAGCCTACAGAAAAGCAGAAGATATGAACTACCACTCTGTTTGCTTGCACGTCATCTCAGATTCCATCCGCAGGTGTTAAATCTCTCTGCTTTCATTTATGTCAAGCAGGGCCACAGAGAGCTAGATAGAGAAAAAAAATAGTTCTTTTTTAATGGAACTTAATTTACAGCCAACATGAAGTTTTCTTTGCTGTTGTCTTTTCAGTGCAGGTTTGATACTGGCATCTTGGCTCCTCTCTCTCGGGTAATGCTTCGCTTCCTTTGAAGGAGCTAAATAAACTACAAGTGTCTTATCGCTTGACCTCTTACACTCTCCTTGTGTTCCTTGTGTCTTGGATATTCCAGGGTTGAAAATGCAGAGGTCCTATGTTTAGGATTGGTATCAGTTACAGTGTTTATGCTTGTTATGCCACTTTTCAAAGCCACTGGTGGTGTCTTGCTTCAGATGGCACCCCCAAACATTCCTTCTTCCGCATTAAGCAAATGCTTGCGACAGGTTCGCTCTTTTTTCCATAAATAATTTCTCAAACGTGTACATATTTCTCATATTGATCAAGCTAAGCTTCCCTTCAACTCTCTTTCTGAACAGATTACTTCTCGAGAAGATGTGATGGAGGTTTTGCAGGCACGTTTCTGGGAGGTTGTGCCTGGTCACACTGTTGGCTCACTCAGACTCCAGGTAATTGCATTGCTTCCTTCTTGTTTCATATTTGGTTAAAGCATGAGCTTGCACGTGGGAGGGAAATTAATGGCTTTGTTATTTTGGTATCGGTGTTAGGTGAAGAGTGGAATAGATGAAAGGCCTTTACTGCAACATGTGTATGATGTATACCATGATTTGGGTGTCAAAGACTTGACCCTGCAAACTGATTACATCTGAGCCGTATCTGCAACTTGCCTCTTCTTTGTTTTTCAAATACCGATTTGAGTATTTTGGATGTATACTAGAGATTGTGGTTCTATAGGAAAAAGATTTTGTGACTTTCTTGTTGCCATCTTGGTCTTTTGAACCACACACAAGGACCACAATTTTTGTAACACTTTTAATCTTTCAAGTTTGTGGAATTCATGGTATGCTATTTAAGTGATTTTGTACCGGAGATGAATCAATATTTGTTTATACGAAAAAGGGAATCAAATGTCATATTGTGCTCTCCTCTAGCTCCCTACATAAACCTAATATTCTCAAGTTATGGGGCCAGTAAAAGCATCTTAAAAAGAGAATTCATCGATTACGAAATCACCATACGTCCATGTCAAATATTATTCTTTGCTTACACCTATGCTTCATTGATTATTGTGAATTTCTTTTATTCCACATATGATCCATTACATAAACCATGATTGTACTTTTTTGACTATAGGCTAGTTTTATACTATTAGATTGTGTATTGTTGAGTACACATTTTCAAGTTTAGTCTTCCCTATACCAACTCCAACGACATAAACGTATAAAATAGGATTAATAAACAAGACGATTGTCCAAAAAGACACTTTTATTTGAAAATAAAATTACGATTATTATGTTATTTTTTTAGTTGATTCAGTGATTCAAATCAAGAGAGGTCCGGAGAATACGGGCATGAATCATCAAACCATTAACTCTAAACCTTTTCCATTAAAAAAATTCCAAATTGATAAGAGAGAATCAAAAGCAAAAAGTAGAGTTAACCAATATAATATCTAAGAAAGGGTAGAAGCTTGTAAGATAAAGCTGATGAAATTCACATTGCAAGAAGAGAATCTGATCACAAAAGAAAGACATATAGAGAAGAAGAGAGTGTTAGTTAAGTCTTTGATTTCTTCTTGATAAAATTACCATTTACAACCATGTACAGATTCAGCAACACAGTGATTGGAGTCTTAAACCTCCTCACCTTACTAGCTTCAATACCGATCATAGGAACCGCTCTATGGAAGGCAAGAAGCAGCACAACGTGCGAGAACTTCCTACAAACGCCGCTACTCGTTGTAGGATTCATCATACTCTTGGTATCGCTTGCGGGTTTCATAGGAGCCTGTTTCCACGTGGCATGGGCTCTTTGGGTGTACTTGGTGGTCATGATCTTCCTCATCGCAACTCTGATGGGTCTAACGCTGTTTGGTCTGGTTGTGACGAGCCAAGGAGGTGGCGTGGAAGTCCCAGGGAGGGTTTATAAAGAGTATAGGCTTGGAGATTATCATCCATGGTTGAGAGAGAGAGTTAGAGATCCTGAGTATTGGAACTCCATCAGAAGCTGTATCTTGAGTTCCAAGACTTGTACTGATATCGAATCTTGGACTACACTTGATTATTTCCAAAGAGACATGTCTTCTGTTCAGGTATCATTATTCTTGAAATATCAACTTAAATAGATATGTGTATCAAAACATATTAGTTAAGACGTGATTAATATGAAAATATTGTAGTCGGGATGTTGTAAGCCACCGACGGCGTGCACGTACGAGGCCGGAGTGGTTGAAGGAGGAGGAGATTGTTACAGGTGGAACAACGGAGTGGAAATGTTATGCTACGAGTGCGATGCGTGCAAGGCTGGTGTTCTCGAGGAGATTCGTCTTGACTGGAGAAAACTGTCGGTGGTCAACATTCTGGTCCTAGTCCTCCTCATCGCCGTCTACTCCGCCGGTTGCTGCGCCTTCCACAACACTCGCCACGCCGCTTATCCTTATCATCCTTCCGACGAGAACCGCATGACCAAAGTCCGTCCTCGTTGGGACTATTACTGGTAACATACCTCCTCATTGATCTTATATATCCTTTATATATTACTGTAAGATTTCATTTCACTTGTTACTTGTGATTCTTTAGCACTCTTATGTTGTTTTGATCAAATGAAATTTTACTCGTAAAAATGCAAGATTTTGCATAATATTATGTTACTCGAACTAGTTGATATGAACTGAGATTTAAATCCTAGAAACTTACTAAAAAAATAATTTTGCGAATGCTTTTGACAAAAGCGAATTTGTGTTTCTTTATTTTTTACAGGTGGAGATGGTGGCACGAAAAGAAAGAGCAGCTTTACTGAGAGCCTCACATTGTCTGTGTTTCTTTTAGTCACATCATTTTCTTTTTTACCAACTTGAGATTACGAAAACACAAGAAATGATGATGCAGTTCTGTTTTCTAATGTCAGATCTGTCACAGTGCATGAGTATGTGTATATGCATATCTTTGGACACGAATTATTATCATGCAATTAGGAAAAAATCTATTTTTTTGACCATAATTCATTTTCAATACATTATTTCACAATAAAAATTACACAATCAGAGCTAAACAAAAATTACATGGTCCGTTAGTTATTATGTCCCTTTGGTTGCAAGATTTCTCTCACGTGTGAGACCTGCCATTCTCATTGTTCCTCCACCTGTAGAATTGTCCAAGTTATACATACAAACATTTTCAAAACGCAATTAATGCTAAAAACTGGTTTCGTACCTCCATTTTTGTCAGATCTTTTACGGCTGCGCCAAAGAAGACGAATAGGAGTGCCAGCAAAGCCTGCATCAGTGCGTAGCTGCTTCTCCATATATCTTCTGTACGTATCCGAGAACAGCTTTGAATCGTTTACAAAGAAAACAAACGTCGGTGGCCTTATCGCTGCCTGCATTATCTCACATCAATTTCAGTTTCAGTTTCAATACAAAGCCTCTAAAGAGTAGAAACATTTTGGGAGATGTTACTTATAATTACCTGAGTGCAATAATAAACGCGGCCTCGTTTGCCACCTCGGGTTCTTGGAGGGGATTTAAATGCAACCGCTTCTCTTATCACTTGGTTCAATATCGCTGTACTAAGTCTTCTTGATCTCTCCTTTTGAACCGTCGCAGCAGCAACCACAATACTACATTTTATAAAATCTAACAGATTTAAGAAGCAGAATCGAAGTGTAAAGATCGCAATAGCTTTTTGAATTCCTGAAGGAGACGTACTTGTCAACGCTATGGCCAGTGATTGCAGTTGAATAGACAATGGGTGCCCATTTGAGGGAACGTAGCTTCTCACGAACATCGTCCTCGTAATTTGCTGCAGTCTGTTGGTTTTTGTTTGGTATTGTATCCCATTTGTTGACAACTACCAGACACCCTTTCCCTTCTCTTTCTATTCTTTCTGCAATCTTCATATCCTACAGAACGAGAAGAAGATATATTTCATATGAATACGAAGCTATAAATCATAGATCGAAACATCTTTGTCCTTGGTTGCAATAGTAAGGTACACTTCTTTGTTACCAAATCCTTTGTGACATTCTAAGACCATGTGTTCTTCCAGTCAGTAAAATTGTCATCAGTGTCAGCTACTAGTGATTTACCTGCTCTGTTATGCATGCCATGGCTTCAATGACAAGAGCAACAACGTCAGATCGACGAATTGCTCGGAATGCACGATTCACTGACAGGGCCTCTGTAGTGCTGCCTGATGAAGCCACAGCTGCCTTCTTCCTGATCCCAGCCGTATCTATAAGCCGAAACTTCTGCAACACATTTCATAATCATAGTCAGGGTTATATTGAAGGGTATTCAGTGTGAATACATCTTTGATCGTTCTCATTCCTCATCATCAGAGTTCAATAGAATTCAAATTTGAAACATTGACAATGATAGTCCTATTCCTATATGATACAATGGCCAAATTGACTTAAATGCTTGGAGTTAACATGGAAAGCGCAAAAAAAATAGATGTCAATTAGAATAGGATGAGAAGGGAGGCACTTCAGCGTAAGCTTCAAACACCATAGAATCCTTTTGTTGGAGTTTTCACAAAGCAACAGAAAAACACAAGAGATAAAATTGAACTAACCTCCCCATCTGGTCCAGTAAATTCTGCATCTATAGCATCACGAGTAGTGCCACTAACAGGGCTAACAATTGTTCGATCCTCCCGGACAAGTGCATTCAAAATGCTACTTTTGCCAACATTTGGCCGACCAATAATTGCAATGGCAGGAATGTAGTTTTCTTCTTCCTCCTCTTCCACGTTCTCCATGATCTGGAAAAAGCATTGGATCATATGGATGCAACGGATGTAAGAAAAAGTTTTGATATTTGGTTTGTAAACTGACGGCAATTGAACATATTCAAAACCAAAATGCCTAAAGGTCTTTGATGAGTACGGGATGTAATTAAAGGGTGTGCCTAATCTATATAGGCCAATCCTTCAGAATATTTCGGTAACAGTATACTGTGGACAGAATATGTCCATATAAAGTCTAGAGATATCAGACTCTCAACTATTTGCCCATAATTTCAGATTCCTTGCGCCGATTTTTTTCCAAAAGAAAGAAACATCAATACAAACCTCTAGTTTAATTAGCCCTGAACAAACAAGATCAAGCAGCTCTCCTGTTCCAGTTCCCGACAATGCAGAGATAGGGATAGGTGAAAACCTGGCAATTCCATCATGAAATGGTTGTTAGCTGAATGCCACATCATAAGTAAATGAAAACACAAAGAACTGAATATAAGCAAAGTAACTATAATGTTCATGTATATATCATCAAAATTGACACTAATATGAGGGAGAGAGTATTTCTGAATTCTGATGCGTACAAGTATCGCCAGTTCGATAAAGTCATCAAAACAACAATACCAGATTCAAATTAGGACAAGACTTACTTGAATGTATGCATTAGCAATTAAACAAAGCAAAAAATATTCAAATCATCTGATGAAAAAGTACCAAATGACGTATGTTCATGAATTTTCTATTTTTTTAGACAGTTGTAACACTCAGTGAAAAGCTATCTATCTTCAAAGCAGAATACCCTTAAACCAATACTCAACTTACCCTAGAGACCAAAATTCAGAAGCCTGCATGAGTCCTTTACGTGGTGACTCACACTTGTTCACCGCGAGAATGATATTCTTATGTGAGTAGTACTTTCGCAACCAGTCTGCAATTTCCACATCAGCACCCGTCGGCCCTGACTGTGTATTGAGTACCCAAATCATTACCATACATCAATGACAAGTGATGATTACCAAGAAACGCTCAATAAAGACATTTAGTTAAGCAGATAGAAGATAAGCACAGAACCTGGCCATCGACAACGAAGACAATAACAGCTGATTCGTCCACAGCCGCTGTAGCTTGTTTCTCAATCATGGATGGCATTCTTGCAACAGCTGCCTCCCTTGATCTTAGTGGAATACCTTCCATGCCAATGGTGGTTGATACATTGAGCTCTTCCATGACGCCAGCTGGTGACTTTGAAACAGTCATAACACCTCCTGTGTCTACCACCACAAATTCTTGATCACCCCAATACGATCTACCGTACAATCGGTCCCTAGTAACTCCAGGCTCATCCACTACAATTGCTTTATTCTCCTGCAGTTTGTATCAAAGAAACAACTTGATTCTCTATCATGAATGGTAATGAAAAAAAAAAAAAAAAACTGAAATTTCAAATGTCAGCAAAACACTTACCCCAACAAGACGGTTGAACAATGCTGATTTGCCAACATTAGGCCTTCCAACTATGGCGACTCTCTGGAGAAGATGCTCTGGTATCTGCGTCTGGTTTTTTATTTAACAGTAATGTTAGTAACCACCCATAGACCAACACATGAAAGATTCAAAATTTCTCCTTCTACATAAACATTTTGAGATAGCAAAGCAAATATACAGTTTTTGGAGTAGTCCTAAGAACAAGCCTTCACTAAGAAAGCAACAATATCAGAAAGGAATTTGACTAACGGTTTTAGCTTGCCGTTTCCCTTTTCTACGTGATTCCTTCCCCTCAACAATCTCATCCTCTGGAAACATCAAACTATGAATCATTATTCACAAGTCACTGGGAGAACCAAGCAGAGCAATACATACGAAGTACACACTGATATTGGATTCCACACATATGCAGAAAAACAAAATAAAGCAAGGAAATAATTACCGAGTTTTAGCTCGCGAGATAAAGTAGAAGCGTAATCTCTAACGATGTCTCTGGCTTCTTTTTCGAGAATGGAGATATCGAGGGAGACGTCTTCCTCATCCGAATCATCAGCGTAATTGTCGTCAGAAACTTCTTCGAAATCTAGCTCGTCCTCGACGGAGGGACCATCGAGAGCTGCTGCAACAGGGAAAGGGAAGCGGGAATGCGACTGTTGGTGAGAGTAAGAGAGAACGGAAGGAGGGAAAAAGGATGGGAAAATCGAAGAAGAAGATGATGATAGCGAAGAAGCAAACGAAGAAGAAGAAGAGGCTAAAGGAGAAGAAATCTTAGAAATTGAGGGAGAGAAGAAGCCTCTGGTTGTCAGTGAGTCAAGTAGACTCGCCATTTTTGGGCAGAAATGAAGAGAAGAAGCAATTTGCCAGAGGTTTATCACACTTATCCTTCTGGGTTTTTACATGGAACCATTTGATGAAGATGAATCCTGAACCAACCGGTTTAATTTGTAAAACTCGAATTTTCTGGTTCTGAATAAAACCGGACCCGATTTGAATTTTACCACCAACAAAGAAGAAGACGAGTTGATCTCGCGCGGTAACCGATCGGTTCGATTGAAAGAGCCGGTTTGAAGTGGTTATTTCCGGATTATAAACAGTTTGGTATTTTACAGATGGATCTAATCGCTCTTCCACTGTCTTCTTCATCGCGTCGCAAAATAATTTCTCAGACTCTGACTTCTCTTCGAGGTTAGTTCGTCTCTCTCATTCTCGCCCTGATCGATTATGTTCCTTTTTGTGTCTCCGTTGATTCTTCTAGCTCCTGTTCCTGATCAATTAATTTTTGTCGACTCTTATTATTTCTTCTTTCTGCGATCAACTATGTTCTATTTTGCTTTCATTTAGCAAAATCTCGTTATAGAATTTGTTCTTCATTTGAGTTTTTATGTTTTGCAACTGATTTCGTAGAAAAAATACATTAAAGTTCCGTCTTTTTTATCCTACTCAAACACAGCTATGATCGTTAACTACAAAATACAGAGATTGAACGAATTCTTTAATGTATTTGTACCTGATCATTTAGCTTAAGGTTCTTGAGATCCTAAACCATGGATCAGTTGATTTGAGTGTTAACGATGATACCATTGAAGTAAACTAAACTTGAAATTTTGAATCAACCCAAAAGTTAAATCTCTTATGTTGTTTCTTCTCTCTGTGCCAAGATACTGAATCTGATGGCAGACAAGCTAGTAGCTGACAAGCATGTTCGTTACATTCTAATGGCAGAAAAGGTACTAGAAAGCTATATCATCCAATCTTCCTCATCCTCATTATATTTTTTTTCTCACTATAACTAGACCTTATCATTTCCAACTTGCTAGAAAAAAGAGAGCTTTGAGTCAGTGGTGATGGATCATCTGAGAATGAATGGTGCATACTGGGGACTGACTACACTAGACTTACTCGAGAAGCTCGGTTCTGTTCCCCAAGATGAAATCGTGTCGTGGGTCATGTCGTGTCAGCATGAATCCGGTGTGTATACTATAGTATAATTGTATCTCAACCATATGCAGTTGCAGATCAAATGTTTCCATCATTTGTTGTTTTAATCTGTTGTTGAAACAAGTGTATTTTTCTTGTGAGCAGGTGGGTTTGCCGGTAATACTGGACACGATCCGCATGTTTTATATACACTTAGTGCTGTACAAATCTTGGCGCTCTTTGACAAGCTAAACATTCTTGATGTCGGAAAAGTATCAAGCTGTATCCTTATAACTTGTTGTCAGTGTAAAGAGAAATAAAATAGGCAAATCGCTTATCGTATAGATACTATAATGTTCTCCTAAATACAAAAGCTAGACATTGCTAAATTGCAGAATGAAGATGGATCCTTTTCAGGAGATATGTGGGGGGAAGTAGATACAAGGTTTATTTTCTTCCTTCCTAGCTATTTTATTGATCCGAGTTGTGATTTTCATCTGATAGCTTGTTTTGTGTAGGTTTTCGTACATAGCTATATGCTGTCTCTCAATCTTGAAATGTCTTGATAAGATCAATGTGGGCAAGGCTGTTGGTTACATTGTGAGCTGCAAAAACCTGGATGGTGGTTTCGGGTGCACCCCTGGAGCGGAGTCTCATGCAGGACAGAGTATGTTCGCTGCTAAATTTCAGTATTTTCTGTGACATCGAGATTCAAATGTGTCTATATGACTTTACTGAGTTTCATTGTAATCGTTTCTGTTGCTGCAGTTTTCTGTTGCGTGGGTGCTCTTGCTATCACTGGGAATCTCCACCGTGTTGATAAAGACTTGCTTGGATGGTGGTTGTGTGAAAGACAAGTCGAGTGTGGGGGTTTAAATGGACGACCTGAGAAACTCCCTGATGTAAGATTCCTTCACAAACCGAAACATGATTCCAGTTGTTCTTAACACGCTTTTTGACTGCTTTTTTTGTAACCTTACTAGGTTTGCTATTCTTGGTGGGTCTTATCAAGCTTAATCATGATTGATAGAGTTCACTGGATCGACAAAGCAAAGCTTGTCAAGTTCATCTTGGACTGTCAGGTTTGTCTCTAATGCCATTAAAGATCTCATCTTTTCAGGCCATTCCTGAGTTTTCAGGTGTATGTTTGAATAGGATTTGGACAATGGAGGCATTTCAGATAGACCTGACGATGCTGTTGATATCTTTCACACCTACTTTGGAGTTGCAGGTAATTAGAGTGTCTTTCTTGCTAATTTTGTTGATCTGAAGCAAAAGAGTTTCGTGTGTCATTTTTAATCCAAAATTGTTGCAGGGCTTTCACTTCTCGAGTATCCTGGAGTCAAACCAGTCGATCCTGCCTACGCTTTGCCTGTGGATGTCATCAACCGTATTCTCCTCACCAAATGATTCTTCATCAGTGGTAGCCATTGGAATTTAGACAGACTTTGATTTGGTTTTCGGTTTAGTTCGGGTTAGGCATGTGATTTGTAATCTTTACTATTACTCATCATAACAAAATCATTTACAATCTCAAATCTCTCCCCATGAATTGGGTTTACAACCAAGAAAAATGAACATGGCTCATTTCTTTACTTTCTCTACACCTCCAGTGACCTAACTTGAAAAGAAATCACTAATTCTTTCTTTAGCCATCCAAACTTCTAAAACTATTTGGGATTCAACACCTATAACCATTTTAGTGGTTTCCGCCGTCTTTTACCGCCAAGCTGGTCGAGTTTTACAAGCAGCTCAGCGTAGAGAATCTCGTTCCAAGAATCAGGCACACCGGGGAGGCACCAGTGGCTACAGTCTTGGTACAACAATGGCGATTTACTTTCTTCGTCGGATAGTTTCTGTTTCCGGTATATAGACGGATGTGCGTCCTTCCTGTAATCCGTTAACCTCGTGATGTTGAGATACGTGACTGGTGTTCTCATTCCCCTTAAAACTCTTTCAAGTATTTCCATTTTCGACGGGTAAGGCGTTAAGTAAGTCTCGTTCTTGATCGGTTCTGTTTCGTCATCGCACGCTCCTCCTGCATTCCATTGCCCGCCACTGCACACCAAACCAAACCAACCCGATTTAGAAAACAAAACCAAACCAAACCAATAGCCACAGATCTCTATATATTACCTGAAATGTGATGGGGAATATCCACGAAAGAAGACGAGAGATTTCTTCGGATTCACGTTCTTATCGACCCATTTACCCCAAGTTGTCAACGCTTTTCGAAAAGCTTCATCCACGTCGAGTTTCTGGTGAACATTGTTCCCTTCTTGATAATAATCCTCCCTAATGAAACCATCCAAACACTAAGAACAATGAGACAAATCCCAAACCAGGGGGATTAAACCAGTTGCAGATAAGTCTAGTACCCTTTGGAAGTTTTATCATGAGTCCACCAGTGTCCTGTGTTGAATACAAGTATATCAGCTCCTTTGTACTGCTCCGACGACTTCCCGACCAAATCTAAACGCAAAGTCTCCTTCTTCGTCCCGTTCTTGTCTGTAACTTCCCATTCTCGAACCAAGAAAGGCGAAGCATAGAACTCCACTGTGCAATTATAATCCTGTCGACCACAAAATCGTTCAATGAAAAAACAACAAAGCAAGTGAAGAAACTGATGCTAAAAAGAAACATACTTTGAAGACGAAAGAGTACTCAGCCTCCCAACGAAACTGATGCCTTCCATGAGCCTCAAAGACTTGAGTCTCATCTTTCACTGCTCCTTTAAGAATACAAACCAGAGATTCCCACATGTTCCTGTTTAGCGAATCTCCAACAAACACAAGCCTTCTTCCTCTTATCATCTTTAGCAACTTCCCTCCATTTAACCTTTTACATATTTAACATTCACACATCAATTTAATTCGAAGTTTGATTTCCAAATTTTCAATAGTAACATTAAAGTGTTGGTTTTACCTTGGTAGAGAGCATTTCTTAGGTTTCCACTTCAATTTGTGGAAATCAAAGTCAGGTCTTCCGTTGGAGATGCAATTAAACTGTTCATCGATCAGACTACACGAACCGGGTTTGTAAAGCGGATACGAATCGTCTTTCACCCACTCTCCCTCGAAAAACTCGCAATTCTTCAGAGACTCGATCTCTCGTCTCCGCGACGACGACGACTTCCTCCTACTTCGGTTCCTCACCGGAGGAGAACCAGTGGAATTGACGACGGCTAGATCCTCCGACCGAGGCGCTTTCACGGCTCGATGTTTGTCCAAATTTCGAGCAGTATCGACATCAGTCTTGAGTTCAGGAGACGGCGTTGCATGACCGGTGTGAGACTGAGATGTGTTGGTTATAGCAAGTAGATTTGTTCCGTTAGCGACGGGAGAGACAGAGGTTGCGTTTTGAGTAACCGGAGTGAGATTCACCGGCAATGTGGCGGTTTCGGTGAGATTGGAATTGACGGTTAGGTTGGACAAATTGGAGGCAGTGAGGGAAGGAAGAATGTAGGAAGAGATTGAAGGAGCGACAGTGATGGGAGGAGGGGTAAAGGCTAAAAAGAGAGTGAAGGTGACGAAAGTGACGGCGAATGCGTAGAGGAATGTCGAGGTTTTTCTCGGTTTCACGGCGGAGAAGAAGCTCTTGATGTCGATGGCGGCGGCAGAGACGGCGGAGATGGATGTTTCGCCGTGGAGAGGCAAATGCTTGGCGGAGCCCGACGCCATTAAAGGTAAAGGTATGGAGTTTCTTCTTTTTTTGGCGCGTGAAGAGTTTCTTTCTCTGGCTCTTGGTTTTATGTTTTTGAGTTTAGAGAGGGAGATTATAAAAATGGAGCTTTTTAAGATTTGAGTGTGAGAGAGAGAGAGAGAGAGAGAATGAAAGAAAAAGAGAAAGTGGATTGTTGACGGAGATAAGACTCTTTTTGAAGACGACATAAAAGAGAGGTGTTTGTTCGGTTAAGTGACATTTGCTTGGAAATCGTCGCTACAGTTTGAGAGTTCATTGTCCTATTGCCCCTTGTCTTTCGATAAAACCACGATAATGCCACTGTTTTGGAATATTGGAAATTAATTTTTTACATTGTGGAACCTGGAACGTTTATGTCTTTTAAAAAAAAAGAGCATTTGTTGCGGCTGTGATGAGAGTATGAGACGACAAACAAAGAAAATAAATGAATTCGCATTCCCTTGAAATTTATTGCTTTTTTAGTACCGTGTTAACGTTAAGAGACGGTTATGTTGGCGAGTAAACAAGAAAACGACTAAATCGGAGTTACTGCGGACGATCCTTTTTTTTCACGTTATTGTAATCAAGTGTGCCAGATCAGCCTAACATCCGACCCGGATGGTGTAAACTTTTTTTTTCCCTCAACTCTTCGATCAATCTTTATTACTTTTGTTTTTACTGTCTTAAACAACATAGCTTTTTCACGTTTTTACTGTTTTAGCTGTTTTTACTTTTGTTTGAAGAACAACACCTTCGTGATTTATTGATCGTTTCAGCAGATTTTGAATTCACAAACTCACTTAATTTTTCGAAGTTTGAAATATTGGATCGGAAGTTAATGATTTGGTCAACCAAGTTTAAAGCAATATTTATAACTTTCAGTCGTTTTGTTAAATTTAACAATTTATATTGAATGCTAGTTTCAATGTATGTTAATTTTGATTCCATTTCAGAAAATGTTTTTTGACATTTTGTTATTCTTTTCATTATTATTACATTCTTCTTTTTAGTTGGTAAAATTCAACTGCTTAGTATATCTAATACTGTAGTGCTTGTGCATGATCATAATTGTTGAATCTAATACTATATTTCATCTTTTGCCATGATCATAATTGTTGTGCTTGTGCATGTTAAATTCTCTATTTACTTGAGGAGTCAAATACACAGTCGCACTCGCACCTACAATTCTATCTCTACACACGACAAAGAAAAAGAGAGATACCAGCTCTAATAGTTTGGAAAACCTAGAATTTAGTAATACTAGACGAATTCTAAAACACATCAACTATACAGAGCTACAACCAACTCAATTAGGCTAAGGAAGCAATAAACTAATAGTAGTATGAGGATACCTATTTATGTCGGTTGGTACTTGATACGGTGTTGCTGCATGCGCAGTAATTATTAAAAACCTACTGAAAAGCTGAAAGTGATTTTTAGCATTTAGATGATTGATTAACACATGGCAATGCCCACAAGCTACTCTTCCACTATCTGTCAAATTTATTGTTAACAAGAAGAATCAAAAATCATTTTTCAACATATTTATACAAATTTACGACTTCATCCGCTTCACCAAAAAACCGTTTTAGTATTTTCATGGGTATGAACCTTGAACCACTTGTTTCCTGTCTTGGTCAAAGCCACATGTCTCATCAAATTTAAAACCTACTTCAGCCAACATGGAAATAACCCTCAATCCCATGGATAAACAAAACTCGCGTAGGAAGTTACAATATATCGCAGTATCCAGTGATACGTCTCTAAAAAATATTATATATCTCTATAATTGGCACAAATACAATAGCTTTAATGTATTAACTTCATTTATCTCTTTGATTACGTGTGTTTTAAGTCAAATTAAAGTCCAAAAATATATTATGTGACTGGAGATGATATAATAGTAATCGGATTCAAAACCTGTTTGTAATTTTTTTTTTTTTTTTTTTTTTTTTTTTTATCAAAACCTGAACAAATGCCTAACCATATATTTTAGTTGGAAATCAATTAAATAACAACCAAGTAGGAGAGATGTTACAAGCAAGCTAATCAGACCAACATTGACAAAAGTGTCAATGTGCAAAACAAACATATCAAACCAAAGTAGTAGAGCATTAGTTGGCTAGCAAATTCCCTGTAGTGAACTAGGTAGCGGTCTCTGTAGCAATGTAATCTGCTGAAGATTAAGCTGCTGAAGATTCTCCTTTCAAAGCCGTTATAGCAAATTATCTTAACTGCAATGATAAATCAATATTTGTATGCTACAAAAACTGACTAAATCAAATAAGTACATATCATGCACAAAGAGTCGTAATCACTCGGTATGATGTGATGCAAAGAGTCGTAATCCCATTAATCAAGTCACTAAAAAAAAAGCTTTAGTATCGGACCCAATATCTAGTTTTAAAATTTGGATATAGTTCTATATATTTTCTTTAAATAGATGTTAACAAAACCTAGAATTCAGTAAGTACTAAATCTAAATATACATCAACTATACTGAGCATCAACGAACTCAATTCGCCATATAGGCATTAGGCTAACGAAGCAATAAACTAATATGAGAATACCTATTTATGACGGTTAGTACTTGATATGGTGTTAGCTACAGTAATTGCCAAAAATCACTTTCATGTTAGCTACAGTAATACCTACTGAAAATCTGAAAGTGATTTTTGGCAATTAGGTGATTGCTATCAACACATGGCAATGCCCAGAAGCTACCACAAGCTACTACTACACTATGTGTCAATTAATTGTTAACACGAATCAATTAATCAACAAAGCATTTTTCCAACTTATTTACACAATTTTACGACCTCACCCGCTTCACAGTAAAAGCGTTTAAATATTTTCATGGGTACATGAAACTTGATCCCCTTGTTACATGTCTTGGTCAAATTCAGCTAACATGTTAAAAATCACAACTTATGAGCGAAAGAATTGGGCTTTAACATTACTATCCATCGATTCATACACTAACCCAATTAACATTGTACTGGTTAGTTCTCTTTATACGTTATACTATAAATTAATCTCAAATATATCTGATGAAGTTAGAATCAGAATTTAGCTGCAAATAAGTAAAAAAATTTATGTACGTGCCATCGATCCAAATAGTCTAAGAAAAAGATCAAGACATATAACCAACCAAACGATGCCGATCAAAAGATATTATATAAGTTCAAGGGAAATGCATTAACTAAAGGTGAAGAAAAGAACTTTTAAGTTGTACATGTTGCATTGTTTATTAGTTCTTGTTGAATTGAAATCATAATCGATCTTATAGATGAAGCAATGCTGACTTTGTTTATTGTGATAATCAAAGTCACAAATCAGATTCCAAATCCGAAAACTGCACGGATTCTGTGGAATATAAGATCTCTCCATCCTCTCTCTGTGTTCTCCACCACAGTTGCATTCCCATATCTGCACCAGTAAATGGAAACATCAGCAATCATAAGTTACACAAATTGAGCCACATTCAACGTCTTATGACTATAACAACCACCCATAAAATTAACACAATCTCTGGAAGGTATTTGCAGAAAGAATATGGACAAACATACGAATGTGTTGAGACACTTGGGAATAAACAAACAAGTGATCATAACGAACAAAGAAGCTCATAAGCACAGCCTAAGAGTATAAGTTAGTGGCAAGAAGGAAAGACTAAAGGCGTCCATCGACTACATAAGGCTACATAGAGTCCATCAACTATATAAGGCTACATACACATAAGTTAATCAGTGGCAAAGCTTATCGTACATGTAGAGTTAACACTAGATACTAATCCGCTAAAGGTGGTGACAGACTGATGTGATTCTCTTAAACAGTTCCTTAGTTCTCGCGATGTACATATACAGGAAAGTTCTATGATTCAATCTAAAACCAAGATATAAAGCAGACCAAATTCTAGAAGAATTCATTGCATTCTAACCAAACACAGAATATGCCACCCAATACTTCTCTCCACTTAATGAATGACGAAAGTAAAGTCTTAAAGCTTCATACTAGTACTATTTCAAAATTCCAAATTCAGACTCAGAAGCAACTAAGCAAGAGCAACTCATTTATAGGGAAGACTAGAGCACAGCGATTTCCAAAGTAAAACTAACCTGTCCTCTTCAGGAACGTCAGTGTGCGTAAGATTGACGATGGTGACTCCTGGTTGCGGCTCCTCAAAAGCGATCCTCACCTGAAATGCCAAAGCAATACATCAACCACCATCAAATCGAAATCAGGGCATGACATTTCGCATTCACAGAGAAAATAAACCACAAACTAACCGTTGAATCAAGACCATCAGGCCAGCTCCCAAATCTCCACTTCTGAACAATCAATTTGCCTTCTTCCAGCTCCAGATTCATCCCAGTGACCGACCCATCGAACACACTAATCGGACCATTCACTTCTTTACTGATCTTAGCATTGCTCTGAGTGAAACCTTTCCAACGATTCTCGTCCATCAAGATCTCAAACAAATCCTTAGCTCTGCAATTGAACTTCTCAGTCATAGTAATCGTCTTGAACCCTTCCTTCGTCTTCGTCGTCTTCTTCTTCTCCTTAACCACCTTAGTCTCCGCCGCAGCAGACACCACCGGGGAAGCACTTGGCTTCTCCACCGCCACCGTAGCTGAAGCTGCCGATTTCGGCGCCACCTTTTTCGACTCTAGCTCGTCCTTGCACGGACCCCCTTTAGCCATGGTCTCAACGTAAAACCTAACCTTCTCCAGAATAATCGATTTCCCCTTCTTGACCATCGCTTCCTTCAAGGTCTTCCCAATCGGGCCTTCGTCCTTCACCGAAAACCTAATCTCCGGATCTTCATCGGCGTTCTCATCGGAGATATAAGGCATATCCACCAATCCATCCGCCTTCAGCAGCGTCTTACCTTCGGAATCCTTGGCTTCACCCTCCCAGGACAGAGAGACATTGAGCTCGTACCCAGGGATAATCTTCCCCTTGCGTACATTCACGTAAGCCTCGCCTTCAACCTTCTCGATCTTATTCACCTTGATGAAGAGATTTCCCTCGCCGGCGAGGATAACAGCGCCGGAGAATTGCTTGTTGAAGAAATTGCGAGACCATTCGAGGCAATTGGTTTCGGCCCAGTGCCAGTTGTGGACGTTGGTGCCGTCGGGTCTGTCCTCAACGATCCATCGCTTGTCACCTTCGCCGAACTTGGCCATGGCCGGATTGGGGAGCCTAACCTAGAAGGATTGAATTTGAGCTACTGAGAGAAGCAGAGAAGTCGATTTCCGCTGAGATTTGGGGAGCAAAAGCAGGAGCTGAAAGTACGAGGACCTAGATAAATACTTGAATTTAGGAAAACGAAGTCTCTAGAAAAAATTCTCTTTTATTTTCCTTAAGAAAAAATGGAAAAGATTGATTTTTTTTTTTTTTTAACTAATTAATTTTGAACTTTCGAAGAAGTATCTAGAACGCAGAAACAGCTCTTCTAGGGCTTCCACTATCTCCTACTGTCAATGAGTGATTTTTTTTCTTTCTTTTGGGGGTAAAATGTCAATGGGAGAATTGTTTTTCTTATCCTAGATTTCATTATTTACAACATTGTTCTAATCGGTTGAATTCAATGTTACTTTCTTCCCTATCCCGTTTACATGAAACTACATTTATGAACTTTGAGACAAATAACGTGTTTTGTGGGCTAAGTCCATTTATAAATCATAACTATGGGTCATTGCGGATCCAACCATGAGGTTAGCAAAGGCCGTAATCTCAGATAATGACTGATATGATGCACAAATTCATTCAGTATAAAAGATATACATCGCTAAACCATTCTCGTTTACATTTGTAAAGATCTTTTATATTAAAATGTTGAACTTATCTTCCTCTTTTTATTGTTAGTTGCGACCACACAGCCAAAACCGTAGTATATTGTGTTAAATGGAGCAAAGTAGTCTGTATTTAGTATTTACCCTCCTAGAACAATCTTCTGGTTTCACATATTTCTCCTAAGTAATTCGAAAAAAGGTTTAGGTGTGAATTGGTGCCAATTAAAAATAATAAATTTGACATTAACAGGGAGATTTGGCACCAGCCTAGAAAGATGTTTATGTTAAGCTATTAACTGGCTAGATTGATTCGGACAACATAACCAATTAACCATCACCCGCCAAATAAATCACAACGAAAAAGGTCAACGTCGCACACTGTGTGAAAAAAGTCAAAGCCATTTGGTTCGGTTTGACAATGAAGGCGCCGGTTCGACGATCGAAGCGGGTTGATCAGGAGGATTCAGAACTCAAGGTTACTACTCCGGTGGCGCTACGCGCACGAGAGAAGAAGAATAGTTCCAAGACTCGAGCTGTTCGGGTCAGACCCGAATACCCACTGACCCGCACCACCGCCGAGGATATGAAGCTAATGCCTCCGGAGTTCTTTCAAATCGACGCGCTTGATCTTGCGCCGCGTTTGCTCGGCAAGTTTCTGAGGAAAGACAATGTTGTTCTGCGTATTACAGAGGTCAGAGACACGTTTCTATTTTTTGTTTCCTGAAAAAGAATTTAGGCTTTTTTTGGGATTGTTTGATTCTCCGATGTTAAGATTGTTGGTAATTGGTTTTTGATTTTGAAATAGTTATTAGGGAAGATTTAATTCCAATTATTACAACCAAAGATCATTCTTGTAATCTTGTATACATCCGTGAAATATAAAAAGCTAATTTCTACTTAACCATGGAAATTAACAGAATCTTAGAGCTTAAACTAAGCTAAGACACAATTTAAGATATTGATGCTTCCCTGAAAATACTTTGTTTATAATGTTACAGTGGTTGTAATTTGCAAACGATTTGAATGAAGCAAAATGCAACTCTTCTCTAACCTTGTTCTTCCTTGGGCAGGTAGAAGCTTATAGACCAAATGATTCAGCTTGCCATGGACGATTCGGGGTTACCTCACGGACCGCACCAGTTGTGAGTTTCTTTATTTTTCTTGCTAGCAAAATTCCTTCTTACGTCCAAGTCATTTGCTTTCTTTGAAATGCGGTTATGTTTCTTTTTTTAGTTTGGACCAGGAGGGCATGCTTATGTTTATCTATGTTATGGTCTCCATATGATGCTCAACATTGTTGCTGATAAGGAAGGTGTTGGAGCTGCTGTATTGATACGCTCTTGCTCTCCTGTTGCCGGTACTAATCTGTTCACATTAAAACAGTAAACGTTCTGATTCTTGGCCACTGAAACTTTTTTCATTACACTCAAGTCTTGTTTCATGCTCAAAGTTGTATCAAAAAATGGTTTTATGGATCCTTTGTTGGCTTAGAGGGTGATGGCATTGCAGGGCTGGAGACCATACAAGAGCGTCGTGGCCAGAAAACCGACAAACCCGTTCTTCTTAATGGACCAGGAAAGGTTAGTACTTAGTATGATATATACACTATACATTAATCTACACTTTGCATCAAGCCCTTTCTTCAATAAAACACTTGAAAGTGTCTCCAATTAGATCTCGCATAATCAGCTTTTACTTGTGGATCTCGTAGGTAGGGCAAGCGCTTGGACTTTCAACAGAGTGGTCTCATCATCCTCTCTATTCTCCTGGTTAGTCCACAGACCAAATCAGTTAATGATGTTTATGGTTTCAAGAGACTCTTGCTTGAAGATTTGTTGTAAAAATGTATGAACGCAGGAGGGTTGGAGCTTCTTGATGGAGGAGAAGAAGTGGAGAAAGTAATGTCTGGTCCTCGTGTTGGGATAGATTACGCATTGCCTGAACATGTCAATGCCTTGTGGAGATTTGCCATCGCAGACACTCCATGGATAAGTGCTCCTAAGAACACTCTTAAGCCTCTCTAACTTCAACCCAAAACTCTTTTTCTTTTTCTTTTTCTGCGTCTTCTTTGTAAATAGACAACATCTGCATGATTTCTCTTTTGTATATATGCTGTTTTGTTAAAGATTGAAGTTTCTGGGTTTTGGATACCCAAACAAAAAGTACTGGGGAACATTTGGAATATTAGAAAGGTATTGGATTGAAAGTGGAAACAAAACATTTTTTAAGTTACCCCGAAACTCTCCCTATTTCTTTCTTTGGCCCTATGTTGACTTTTCTAAATTCCTGATCAAATCTCCAGTGAGAGTGTTTGTTCTCGATAAAGCGAAGGAAAATCATTTCTATCTCTCCGCAACAATGGCGACTACGATTCCACTCTTCGCTTCTTTCAAGTACGCCGATAGCTTAACCGTCGTCGGAATCTCCTTCTGCACCGCGTTGGTCTGTGAAGCCATCTCGTGGATCCTAATCTACCGTACCAACTCCTACAAATCCTTGAAATACTCCATTGACAAGGCCGCGAAGAAGCTCGAGACTATGAAGACGGAGAACCCATCGTCGAAGCTCACCATCAAGAAATCGAAGACGAAGAAGATCGATCGCGTCGAAACAACCTTGAAGGAATCGAGCCGAGATCTGTCCCTCTTCAAGTTCAAATCCGGCGCCGTCGTGGCACTGGTTCTCTTCGTCGTCTTCGGGTTGCTCAACTCCCTATTCGAAGGTAAAGTCGTCGCGAAGCTCCCGTTCCATCCGATCACGATTGTGAAGAAGATGAGCCACAGAGGATTGAAAGGCGACGATCCTACCGATTGCTCCATGGCTTTTCTGTATCTCCTCTGCTCCATCAGCATCAGAACCAATCTACAGAAGTTTCTCGGATTCTCTCCGCCGCGTGGAGCTGCCGGCGCCGGATTGTTCCCCATGCCAGATCCCAAAACCAACTGATCAATCAGTACGATCGATCACTCTTTTGACTTTTCTTCTTCTTTTGAGAATTTTTAAACAATCTGATGATCTTCACAATAAGAAACAGTTTCAAAGTTTTGTAATCATCTATAAGAGACGTAATTGTTCTCTTCATTATAAATCTTCTTTACAAAATTATCAACAAAGTGAAGAACAAGGTTTTACACAAACACAGACTGTGGAATCACTGCACAAACATATCCTACTTACGTCGTCTTCTTTCTCAATATGAACGATCGGTTTGAGGAGTCTCTGATACAGAATCAGAGATTTCAGAATCAGGTCCTTGAGATCTTCTCATCTTGGAAACAAGAACCCACATGCTAGCGAGCTCATTCTCCAGATACGCTTCTCTCTGTTTCGATTCTTCTACTATCCTTTCAAGCTGAGCTTCTCTTTGATCTCTCTCAACGAGTGCAGCTTCATATGAGAGCTCACGCTCTTTGCTCATCCTCAGCTCTCTCTTCAGCTCCATTGACGAGCTGTCTTGTTCTTGTCTCTTTACTAGGCTCTCTCTTCTTCCATTGTTCCTTGCATTTGTTGTTGTTGTGGTTCCCGCCTTGTTACTACGCTGTGCTACTGGGCTCCTCTGTGTTGCTAGCTCAGCTGCTAGTCTCTCGTTGTGGTTCATAAGCTTTGCCACTTCCTCTGATAAGGCCTTGAGCTCCACTGCAGCTGCTGATGCAAGACCTTTCGCGTACGAACTCTCTTCAGCCAGTTTCCTGTTTCGCTGCTCTAATTGCTCCTTCGCTTCACTTAGTTTATCAGCTCTCTGTTTCAGCTCTTCGATCTTAGTTCCCTGTTCATGTCAGAGAGCAAGCAGAGTTTTATTTAAGGAGAAGAAATGGTGAAAAAGTGTGGTGTCTGCAAATAAAAATGTTTACGAAATGTATAAAGAGACCTGTGCTAGTTTCTGAGCATCAGAGAGCTGCTGCTTAAGGTTTGCAACTTCTTCTTGCAACACTTCACATTCACAAGTCTGCAGAAATGACTTCATAAGTTAAATGTCATACTCTACACATTATAAACCTAAGACAAATCAATAAAGACAAAGTCTTTGAACCTTTTGATTGAGCTGTTCCTGAATGATGCTATTATCTGCAGCTTTAACCTGTAAACAAGATGAAGAATGAGATGTAACGTAAAGCATACAATTAGGCTTCATTATTTTACATTATTCCGGCAATACCAAAACCATTCCTAGGTGCTGTAGCAATAGCGTAAACAGAAATAAATCGATCACCTCGAGATCAAAAGATTTCTCGTTAAGTTGATCCCTCAGCTCAGCAACTACCTGAAGATTATAGAGAAATCGGTTGAGAAATAAACGACAGTGAAAGAGTAAAACTTGACAATTCGAACTTACCTGCACGATGTCAGATTTATCCAACGCCTCATGTGATGTCATAACGAAATCCAAGATTTGTTTCTCCAACGTGGCAATCTGGTCATTGTTTGCCTTGATGTCATCATTAAGGACTTTAATCTCCTCCTAAAGTAACAAAGATAACCAGGAAGGTGAATAATCGACAGAGTTAAACGATATAGCTATACACAGAGATGGTGAGCAGAGTGATTATATTACTTTAATCTCTTCATTCTGAGGAGACTTGGCAGCGTCATCTGACAACCGTTTCAAAGAACTTGATTGCAGTGCCGCCGCCTCAGATAAAATCTTTTTCTGTTCCCTCAGGAGATCCAATTCATCAATCATTTTATTGCTAGTCTGGGAACAAGTGCACACAAGTCTTTATATAACAGAGAGAGGGAATTGGAATGAATAATGATAATAGTTATTTGAAAATATCTCTTATGTACCTCTGGAGTCTCCAGATCATGGAAACTGTCTTCTGCAGCTTCTCTGTCTTCCCTAGGCTCTGAGTGTTGTTCCCTCAAAGGAGAGCCTTCTGAAAGTCTTGATTCTGTATGCAGATTACTTCCTCCCCCTTGAGGAGTTGATGGTGTGCTGTTAGATTTGACCACACTCGACAGGTCGCTGGCACTTGAACTGTTGTCTCTTTTCTGATGGGAAAATTTAAGCTTGGATCAAGAAAAGGGACAAGAGAGGCACCAAAGAATCAAACAAGAAACTGCTTTTAAGAGGACACAAGGCCGGTGAGAGTTCCCTATAGTTCTGAAACGAAAAAGGAAAAATTTAATCGTTCGTATACCTTAGGCTTTAACCAATTTAACAGTCCATGCTTCCGGGTCTTCTTTTCTTCTCTATACTCTATATCTTTAATCTCATGATTTTCCTCCACAGAGACATACAGATCAAGGTGCTCATCGTCCATCAAGTCCCGCCTCTTGTATGGTAGGTAAGCAAGCTACACATGCATTATCAACCAAGATTAGCCAAAAAAAGATAGTAGTTTGTTTACTTGCTCCAGGAAATCAATAGATGTAAAGTTCCACGGAAAGTGAAACAATTTATATTATCCCAAGATATATTAGAGATTCTACCTCTTCTTCTCCAAATGAATGTCTCCTCCGAGGATTAAAACGATGAGGTAATCGAGATGCTTGCGAAGTTTTAGTCGACACCAAAATTAGTTTCGTCAACCGTTGGATTCGACTCAAGAGAGCTGCTTTCGCTTCTTCCTCTTCTTCGAGTCTGGATTGCAGCTTGACTTGACCATCTTCTAGCTTTTATCATCACGTTATATAGCCAAACAAAAAACAAAAAAACTCAGGTTAGTACAGATTCTCTCAAATGCGGACTGTAAACTGATGTTAAAAGAGGAAAGAGCATGCAAGGCAATGGAATAGCAGATTTTAATTTTTCAAAATTGCAGCTCTATTAAGAAACACCATCCCTACTCCACTACAAAGGTTTAAATGGGGATGAATAAGAACAGAACAAATTAAGTTTGCCGCAGCGCTAGAAAAAGTAAAAAATGCCGCTTGCGAGCATACCTTCTGCTTCAGGAGAACAATATCATCTGCATTGCTATCCGCCAGTTGAGGAACTGGCGGTATAATGTCCTGTTTAAGCTGTTCCAACTCCTCTTTCAGTTGGCGAATCTCGTGTTGGTACTTCTTGATTAGTGATTTCTCATCAATTATCTGCGGGTTTATAGAGTTTGAGACCAAGTAGGACTTTCATTACAAAAAATAAGGGCTGTTGAAGATATGCGAAGAAAACCTTGTTTTGTTCAGCTTGAATCTCAATATGCTTTGCACGATGAGCAAATTTCAGTGTGTTATGTGTTTCTTCCGAACTGCTTGATGCAGGAGTCACTGTACAAATGAGCTACCATATCCAAAGGGAACAACGAATCAGTAAAGTATATTACTATCAAGATATATCCTTCACGTTATCAATAATTTCTTACCCTGCTGATGATCATCTTGTGGGTTTTATATTTACTATAACAAAAGGACTGAGAACAGCTCTAGAAAGACTTACAGAAACTCGGTCATGACCACTCAATGAGGACTGAAGGATCCTGGTTAACTTAGAGTCTCTGTATGGTACATGGGAAGCCCTCACATCCGTAAGCTTTGATATCACCTATAACATCACAACAGAAATGTCTAGGTTCAGAAAATAGGAGAACATTCAGAACATGACCGGATAGGCAACAACAAAGATTTCGAGGAGAGGATAAAAAAATAGGAGTACACAACTATTTCATTGTAAGGTTTGGACAACCACATATCTAAGATAAGAGTAGCAAGGAAATGTGAAGGTGAAAGCTGATTCAACGATGAAACAACAAGTACTAAAATGTGTTAGACCTCAAGTTCTGTATGTTTGATCTGCAAGTTTCAAGATACAGAGGGATAGAAGTGTACTTTATAGATGACTCCAAGCAAGTTTTAACATATCAAAGAAGTCCTTGGATCTAGGTGACTCCAAAGCCTATTGTTGACCAAGAAATAACTGTGGTAAGGAAAAACTCACAGTCCCTAAAGTCAGCAAACTTTTATTTATATATGATCCTTCCTTGCGTCTTAAACCACTGGTTTCAACCTTTGAACTCTCGGAACCTGCCAGATCAACGAGGTTCTGCAGATATGAGAGAAAATTATGGGTAGTTAATATCAGATATTCACCTTTTGAATTTATCAGACCATATAAGGAATAAACAGATAAAAATGACTGAATTCATTATTTTATTAAAGAAAAAGTTGATCACAACCATATCTAATATCAGTTACAAAGATGAGCTTACCAGCTGTGAGAGGTGTACAGCTTCACCTTTAGTCTTGTCGCCTAGGGGACTACTTTCTATCGTCTGCATCCAAATGAGTTTATCATCTTTCAAAAACGGTACAAATATGCGAGTTAAATTGAAAAGAAAGCAGTACCATAACCCTTAGAACACTTCACACAGCTAAAAAGCTAGAGCTATAATAAAGAAGAACAGAGGAAAGCGTGTGAAACGAAGAACATGGCAAACAGGTTTGTGCTGAATACAAAAAAATGTATGATTCTTCAGTATTCCATTTTTAAGTACTAAGCTGATTACAGGACACATAACTACTGACTATTGCCTTTTAACCAATAATAGTCAGATAAGCGAAACACGGATTTTGTGTGCATCCATCCACATCACAAGTGTAATTACGTGAGGAGAAAAATGATATAGCTAGCGACTGCACAAAGTTACCAGTTTTTTTTCCAATAATTTAAAGAGAATATTAACATACCAACGTAAATATTGTATGGCTCCGGCTGCTGAGTAAATTAAAATTCGTGGATCCAACATGCCGTTGCTCTGTCATGAGGACAAAATTTCTATCAGTATATGGAAATTTACTAGATCATGGCAAGGTTTAAGGATGAATGGGTTTTAGAGGAATCATGAACGAGATAACTACTCTCTATAAAAAATACTTTCAACGTTCTGTATAGCCCAAAGCAGGTTGAAGAGGACTAATTTCTGATGAAAAAATCTTTAATAAATGTACAATGACTGCAACAGTCTTTACTGGAGTTTTGGGGTTGTATAGTAAACATCCTTCTTCAACTAAAGGGAAAAGTGGAAGCACCACTTACCTTCTCCAGCTGCTATAAGAGAAAGCGCATGAGCAGGGGATAAAACAACTTCTTCTTTAACCCCTTCGACAAAGGTTCCCTAGAATCAATAACAAAGATGGGATTAATTGAAAAAAATGGAGGAAAAAGACACTCGTAGCCATAAAAGTCATGGAAGCTTATTATAAAATTCTCAGTTCAAACTATATTTAAGAGGATCAACTTCAAGTCTGCTAAAAAGCAGTGTGACCCAGAACATTGCAATGAATCAATGAACCAAAGGGCCACGGCCACATATTAACATTGTAATAGCAAAATCCTCGTATCAAGTTTCACAACGAAAAATAGAACCAGTATTTTTCAGGTACCAACAGCCTAAACATGGTTCCTAATGAATGAGTATGATGCGAATGTTTTGGGATTCTATGATAAGCACTGTAATATCAACAAATATATTACAAGTCACTGACAGCAGCAGTACGCTGTACGCATGTAATCAAAAGATGATATGAAGCTGAATCACATACCTGTTTGTCTTCTCTGATCCTCAAATTTTGTCCTGCTGGATTCAATAAATCATTGACAACCTGAAATAAGGTGGCAATTAAGGATAGTTATCTCAAAGGAAAATTAAAGGCAGAGCATTTCTATCACTCTCCACTACTGTTGAAACTGAATATAGATAATGGAGCAGAGAAGAAAATAGGCAAAATAATAGCACCTCGTTATAAATTTCCAAGTAGGAAATACGCAGAAGAAATTCCCGATTTGGTGTCTGTAAGAAAATAAGTACGTGAGGTTGCTAGTACTTGGGTCAAGGAATCTGACGAACGGTTATCTTCTAAAAGTACCTCTTGGATAATGCTGAAAGCATCTTTCACTGCTAACGGTATGATTCCAGGAGATCTCTGGTCACCCTGACATTTGGACCCAAAAAATCACCAAATCTATCAGATAATATAAATCTATGTCATGGACATCCTGATGCAAATATGGTTCCAATGTTTTGTAATTATTGTAGAGTGGTTCTTACATGCATAGTGTGAGTCTTTCCACTGCTAGTCACTCCATATGCAAATATGGTCCCTGTAGATCGATTAAGATTTAATGTTACTATATTTAAATCGATTGGTAAGCACATCCAAGTCAAAATTGTTATGATAACTAGTCAGCCTTGTTGACATAAGCATAAATGATCAAAATCACTGAAATAAGTCTTTCAACATACGGTTTCGAAAATAAGTATGTTTAGTTAATATCAGAAATTGAGTTCTAAATACAAAATAGACTGGTCATTTCATACCGTTAATCCCCTCCATAGCCCCATTAACAACATGGTGTGCAGCAACATCGTAGACATTGCGTGTTGTGGTTGTAGGTCCAAAGACGCGATCTGCCAGAAAGAGAATCAATCATTGAAAGACTACTTCAAGAAGACAACATGCAAGATCCAAACATCAAAAAGGAAGAATATCCAATGAAGGTCCTCATATTTTAAGACATTAGTAGAAGTTTAAAATGTACCACATAAGAATAACACTACTATCCTCTAGTTTTTTATTCTTGAAGAAGATTATGTGACTAACCATAGGCATAAGCTATTGTAGGATTATGCTCATTTCGCACGATTGTTTCCCCATCTGCATACCACGCAACCTCCTCCCCTTGGCGGATTTCCCTTGGACTAACGTCAAGGATAAAAACATGTCAAATTCACAGAACAAACATCAACCTAATATTCGCAAGCCTATACAAGCATATCATATCGTTGGAAACCTGAGTGGGCGAAAGCGAACTGTCACTGTGACGTTTTCTTTAGGCCGCTGAGCAGTTCGTGGCAAGGAATCTGGTGAGAAGAACTGCTGCTTGCTTTGAGCAGATGAAGAAGCAGGGGAGCTATGGCCATCAGTCTCTTGATAAAGCTTTGAAGACGAGGTTGTTGACGATGCAGTAGAATCAGCACCCTTCAGATTGCTAGACCCTGACTTTCTCGACTTTGATCCGTGTCTAGATGCCATCACAAGTCCAATTCAAACCTCCAGAACACTGCAGAAGGACACGAGTACAACATTAGTCAATGAAAGCATAAATCTTTTCCCATTCCTAAGCAATAGAAGGTTCCTCAAACATCTCAGGAAATGACCAAACTTACTAATCCAACCAATTATAGAAAGGTTTCTTTCGTCACCCCCTTAAAACTGAGGACAAGAACTAAGAACAGTGAAAAGTGGGCAGTTTCATTAAGGTTGTCTCTAGCTTTCCAGGAATTGAAATTGCGGAAAAGTGAATTCCACCAACAAGCAGTAAAGCTAAAAGCAGCAAAGAGGAAGAAGAAGAAAATGCCTAAACTTACGCAAAGTAGGTCCCTCTTCTCTCACAGTTCATGCCGAAGTCAGAAAAGGTTGCAATTAAAAAATTGGGGCAAAAAAGGATGAAAACGATTAAAGAAATAAACGATGACGTGAAAACGAATCATAGAATCACAATCGCAGGAAGAAGCTAGAAGACGAACACGAGTGTACAATTCAGAAACCCCAATCGTGGGTTTGGGGTCGAATTATCACCGGATTTATCGGAAACCTAACGGCATTTTACAAAATTCGATAAGAAGACAGAGAAAAACAGAGGAAAAAGAGAGAAGAATGGAGTACCTCGAGTGAATCAAAGGAGCATCGCAGCTAAAACCCGGAAATTGAATGCGAAAGGAAAGAGAAGAGATCTCAGAGGGAAAGTTAAAGAGTATGAGATTAATGAGTGGATTGCGATTGTGGAACAAACTAGTGTCGTATCAATTGTGGGTTTGGTTGCTCGTAAAAACAGAAACACCATAATAAAGGTATAGGTGAGAGAGAAAGGAAGAAGAGTATACATACATGCTTTGTGTGTATGTATTTGTTTATACGTATTTTGCCTTCACGGATACAGTTAGGAGAGAGAGTGACGATTTTTCCTCTTTTTATTTCCTTCCTGCAAGAATAAAAGAAGTCTCTAAAATCTGGAGGAATAATTTAATTATTTAATATTTTTTTTATAACTTTGACTTTGGCAGTTGATGGGAAGGATTTTGTTTTTATTTATTGCATCCAATTGAGATTCACGAGACTAATGTTAAAATCTTAAAAATATATAAATGAAGGCATTACAGAAATAATTAGAGCTTTGAAGTGTCCCGCTCACAGCTTGGACCTACAAAAATGAAATCTTAACACATTGATAAGATCCAAATCAAACTACCAACAATCCAAAACAACCTTTTTTATTTTCTTAAATATTATTTGAACTGAGGATGTAACTTGACAGAAAATCCAATCAACACAGCAAAACTACACGAAATCTATTTAGATTTTAAGTTTTCTTTTACTTTGTTACTCATAAATTCCAAAAACCTGAAAACCAAATGTCTTACCAAAACCAAACAAGAAGACTAGCTCGAGAGGTTCACAAGAAAACACCATCATTATTTCTTTGAACGATCGAACAGTACAGAACATTAATTGAAATATTATCAACATGTCTTTATCAAGATCCAGTCGGCGAACCAAAGGTTATTGTTTCAGATTTTATTGAACATGTATTGAGGTAAGAGATTCTCTCTCAGACAGCGACTGAGGAACTGGTCTCATTGAGAAGGCCATGGAAAGTGAAATATTCAGTAGTTTCTTTGAAGCCAGGAATCAATTCCGTCAAGACCCTCAAAATTGCAGCCAAATGCTGCAGATCATTCGACGCGAATGCTGCTTCTAGATACAACGACGATCGCACACTCGTCACCTGCAATTTGCATACACCGAATTAACTCAACCGAAAACCAAATTTAATGCAACCAAACCGAAATTTACTAAGAATTAAATGATACTTCGGTTTCAATGCAATCAAAACCGAACGGAAATTTTTAAGACCAAACTTAACCGCAAAACCAAAATAACCAAACGCCCCACTAGAGAAATTTGGGAAATATATTAACAAATCATACCTTATGCTTCTGAGCATATCGCAGAGCTTCAAGATAGTATCCATCTTGGACAAGGCAGGTGATGTAATCATGGTGCAAGGAGAGTTGTCTCAGCATATCAAGCCCAAGTTTCCTTATCCGGAGATTTTGGCGACCGCTCTCGAGTAGCTGGAGGGCAACTTCCTTTGATGGTTCGATTATCTGCAGTGAAAATGTAACGTAGCCCAAACTCTTGAGAACAAGAAACCTTAGAGGAGGTGTTTTGTGTACATTGAAGTAGAATTAATACAAACCTTGTTTGTGGTGAATAGCGACAGCTCTGCAAATCGCTTACTGCGAGCTAAAAGTCTGATGGTCATCACATAAATGTTGAGATCCACTTTGAGTTTCTCTGCGCTTATGCTGCAACAGAGTAATTAAAGTCAGAAAACCAAGTTTCTTTAGTCTGTTAACACAAACAGACATGATAAAGACTTGATCATTACCTGCGAAGGAACTGGGTGATGATCGCAATTAGGTACTCAGGTTCCTCAACCATGGTTTCCTCCACAGAAGCAAACACAAACTTGTAGAGCTCATCGGGTGAAATGGCTGCTGACGAGAGTTGAGATTCTTGCTGCTCGTCAGCACAAATCATGTTCTCTTCTGAACCAGATGGTAGGTTCATTTCAACATCTTCATCTATACTGCTTCCTGATGGCCTATCTCTTTCGTTATCTTCAGAAACAGAAAGTTGATAAAAGGAGTGTTAAGAGACTGAAACTTCTTTAGACCATTCGTGCCTAAAATCAACTTTTTTGACTCAATGGTTTTACCAGGAGATGCACCAACGGTTGGAGTAGTTGCAGTGGTCCTTTCGTTCTTTGTTTCTTTGTACGTCCCAGCTTTAACCGAAAAGGAATACGCTTTAACCAGCACATCTATTGCCTGAGTAACCTGAGTTGCTGGTCTGCGTTCCAATATAATAGCCCTTGCTATCCCCAAGCACAGTTGTTTGGCCTGAAATAAATCCTACTCATTAGCTGCGTAATACCTGTAATTGTCTATGTTCACAAGTGCGAAAACAGGTGCTTCATCATGCTTAGTTAAGAGAAAGTTTGAGACCTTATTTGCTTCCACCTTCCTTCGCTGCAGGAAGTCTAGAAGAGACGTCCTGTCTGAGCTGCTAGCGGAAATTGCCTGCAGCACACAATGTTAGATACTGAACATTTTGCGGAAGATCTAAGAATTGTTAATTTTCATGTAGATAAAACCAACAAAAGCTAACTTGCCTCGAGATCCAAATTTACCCTCCATAGAACCTTGTTAGTCTGGTCCAGAATAAGGTCTGGAACCAAAAAGGTCCATGCATCTTCATACATTGCTACGTTTTCATTGCTTGTGGATGATTCCGAGTTTTCATTTTCTTTGATAGTAGCTTGAGATGAGGTGTCAGAGCCTTGGTGACCCCTCCACAGTAACGGAAGAGGAGCAGACACGGGAGCTCGAGAATCCACAAATATGTCATAGATGATAACAACCTTTGCATCGATTTGGTGCACAAGCAATACATTGTCCACCACACTCACCGACAGTTTACTTGAGTATATTGGTAAAGAACCCTGTAAACAAGAGACAATGGAATGAATGAAGAAAGAACAGAACTTTGAACAATGATCTCATGCCCAGAAAGGCAGAAACACAAGATAAGGTTGTGCATCAAAATCAGAAAAGTACCTAGACACCAGTAACCAAGGAAAAGCAGCTTACCTGTGGAACGACTGCATCTCGGTAGAATCTGTATGTATGCAGTAGCATTGCCTCTCTGTCCACTTGTAAGCAATATATCCGGCCATAGCTGAGAGAAAATGGTAAAATTTTACTCCAGCAATGTAGTGTAATGAATGACGAGAAAGTTTACGAGGAGAAGAGAACAAAAGAAACACATAGAAGGAATCGTACACAGTAACTAAGTGGACATCTCCAGAAGACAGAATAGGTTTACTGTTTGATTCAGATTTAGTCATGATCATCTCAAACTTTGGTAAACGAACAACTCCTGCGTTGGAAACCTGGAGAGTAGATCAAATAAATATCAGACTCTTAACTAAAACTCCAACTACAGTTTTAACAATGTTTACTCAATCATAAAAGCTGATTGGCAACTATAGCACATGCATCATAAGGATCAATATCAAATTAACAGGATGGAGGTGAATGGAGTTGGAAAAGCTCTTTCACATAGCATTAATCCATGATTCTTTGTTTTGTTCTTGTGGTTTACCTGAAATGCACTAATGGTCTTGCATTGCAATCCTGATGCAAGAAGAACCAGTCGAGTTTCATGTGTATAGGTGTACCAATTCACATTCACTTTCCTAGTTTCCACCAAACGTAGATTCAACATAGAATCACAAGCAAACAAGTCCATGCCACTGAGATTAAAAAGTTAAAAGAAATCTTTTCATTAGAACCTAAGAATTATAGGAAAAAGACAAACGATTAGCAAAATATTAAATATAAAAATCTTAAAAGAGAATAGCTGAAGAAACAACAACTATATCTAGATTTCTCTTCTGAAAATAGAATTTGCAGATCCGAATTCCAGGTTCTAAAAGTGCTACTTCCTCTAGAGGCTAGATAATCCCAAGTCAAAAGATATAACTATACTAAAACGCAGAACAAGCCTCAACTAGACTCTAAAATTCACCTGCCAAGATTGCAACAATCTCGCAAATGGAAATAGTTTTCTGCAGTTAAAATATGCAGAAAATAAAGAAAGCCCACCTGGTCTTTACTACCGCAAGATCACATAACGGAGAGTCGCTCCAAAAGAATCCAAGAATGCTCTCTGATCCTGCCTTGCATTTGTGGGTAAGTGTCTGCTTGGTCTCTCGATGAAAAAACTGTATTTCACAGTCAGATCTTTGGACGGCTATCGCTTTTTTATCAAGAGAGAATCTGATAGATAGGATAGGCCCTTCGCTTATAGAATCGACGGAAGGAGGTACAACTGGATCAAAGGGGTCTGTTTGCCATGAAAAGACCTAAACGAGAAAACGGGAAAATCAGCCAAGGATATGAATCATCAAGATTTGAAGACATCAGTTATGGAAGAAACAGAATCTAGAAACCATTTCAAAGGAGAAGAAGGAAAAAAACACCTGACTAGATGTGGTACAAATTAGCAATCTGTTGGCATCATCATAGAACAGCCCACTGGATTCAGGAATATCGCAGCGTAGGCATGGATGTTGTATATACACATGTGATAACGCACCAGAGCCGGCACTTGGCTGTGAACTTGAAATCCTGCTAGGCATACTCAAACTCTTCAGTTTCCAAATTTCTCAAAAGAACCAGACTGTAGTCCAAAATCAATAGGTATAAAACACATGTACCACTTTATGATTAGACTGAGGCAGTTAAAGTTGTATTGAAAAGATATCACCGGCAATCACTCGGAATCATTTCACAGGGGATATTATATATAAAAAAAAATGAAAATGAAAAAAGAATGGCCTACATGTTAAAAAGTGCTGATAAAAATGCTTCTTAACGGGAAGGAGAAGATAGTCGTGATTCAAGCTTTTCCTCGGATCTATAAGGAAAATGAAAAACATGATAGTAGAACAGGTTAGTCTAAATTGATGAAGATAAAATGATCAAGACAAGCCTCTTGCGAAAAAAAAAAAAAATCATTATTACCGTATGCTGCATGCAATTCTTCAGTGCAAGAAACTCTTTCAAGCACATGTCTTTTTCAACCTCATGGACTTTAGATGCAACACAGCTCCCGTAGTCTTTGGCCTGTGACAAATGCAGTTTTTATATAGTCAATAACAAAGATTACATCTTCAACTCACAAATGTGTTGCCTCCCAGTTTGACGTAATATAATTTTACTCTCTCCAACGGACTCATTCTTCAAAACTGATGTTGTGCTTAACAACTAGCAGAGCTATTATCAATTCATTATGAAACCTATGAGACTGATTGGCCATCACAAAAAAAAGGAAAAAACAAAATGTGAAAGACAACAATGCAAAATAAACAAGATAATTGGAGCTGTCGAACAAACCTGCTTAGAACAAGTAGCTAAAACCCGTCCAAGTGTAGAAGCGGTGGCGGAATTCTTTTCTTTCATGCCTGCATTTCTGAAGCTGAGAGGAAAAATGCAAGTGGTTTTGTTCAAAATATAGAAGAAACCAAAGCTATGTCCAAAAAGCTGAGAGAGAGAAAAATCAGTTTAAGAAAAAACAAAGACACACTGCAAGTTTTATATATCAGAATCACGATTGCTGACACAATAAAGCCACAAAACCACATTAATTTCCGACCAACAAAACGAATCGGACAACAATTTTTCATCCAAGTAGCGAAATATCGTACCCAATAAATGGAATTACATCAGAGAAAAAAAGAGTTAAGAACAGAGAAGCGTTACCTGCGAAAACCCAGATGGAGATGAATCTAAGCACAGCGATGGGGAAACTTCGATTCAAACAGAAACGCAGTAGTTACGAGTTTGATGCAAACAGTCCTCAGCTTGTCTCGTCGGGAAATTGATGGTAAAGTGTGTTCTTCAACGACGAGCGATCATCGTGTGACGAAGACCGATGAAAAGGATCAACACGTGTGTATGCCTCTGTATTTGGGCCTGGAGGCCCATTATATATTAGAGTCTTTTTAGAGGAAAATATTCATTACAAGCTACCACTATGTGGTGTCGTGTCGTGTGTTTTACATCTTGTAATACAAATTTCATGATTAAGAAAGTGAGATCATATACCATTTTGATAATCACATTGAGAAAAAAATAATGAAAATTTTAATTTAGCTTTTCATAATATTACATATCAAGGATGCAAGACAAATACATTATACTCAAGAATAGCATTTCCTGTCTTAACATCTAACGAATGAGTCTTTCCCTCGGCATATCCTCTCGCGAATCGAAACGCGCCACTTCCTCCAACCACAGGCATTTCCCTAACATCCGAAAACACAAGGTTACGTCCTAGAATGCTAATAGTGCTTCCGTTATACTCTCCTTCCGTGAAGACAAAATGGAAAATCATCAACAGTCCTAATTCGGTTTGAGATGCGGATACGGTCATACCCTGCGCATACCCTATTCTCTTTGAGCTTACATCGGGAAGAAGAGTTAAAGGATCGTCCATAACAAAGACGGAACCAAAATATGTTTTAGATGTGTTTGTTTGGGCGGCTTCAGCCACTTTTACAGCTGTAGGGTGGCGACCATACATGTCATGGAAGTAGAAGTGGAGACGGGTTAGTTTCTCTTGGTTTAGGCCTATGGAAGATGGAGACAAGACTTCTGAGAAGGTTTGAGAATTTAAAAAGACTAATGTTAAGAAGCAAAATGTAGCAAACGATAAGATTGAAATTGGTTTCGGTATAGAGTTGGCCATTGAGGGATAAATTAGAGGGTACTCAAAGTTTTGAGGATTCATTTTGTTAGTGTGTGATTACATCATTTATAGTGTTATTTTAATTTAGTTTGTACATGTAAGATAATATATTTAGTTTGTATATGTCTAGTGTGAATCTAACTACTAGATTACTTCCCCTTATAAGTTTATACCAATAAATTATGAGAAATTTTGGAAATACAGAGTTTCTAATTTGAAAACTATCCTTATTTTTTGTTAATTTTGAAAAATACATTTCTATATGTGAAATAATTATCCTAATTTGAAGTTTTCAACTAATTTAATAAAAACGAAATTCAAGTAAAAAAAATATAATCATTAAAAATATAAATGTTATAAAAGTTCAAATAGGGTGAGATTAAAATTGTTTATATAAAGTTCCAAAAATATTTAAATTTGTTTAAAGATAAACATTAAAAAGATAGATTCATCCATTTTAAAATTTTAATAACTTATGAAATTGAAATATATATAAAGTTTAAATTTATAAAGGTTTCATTCAGTTCCAATGGGGAGTGAGATTAAGGTTGTTTATATACAATTCCAAAAATAAGTTTAAATATATAAAGTTTAATTCAGTTCGAATGGTGAAATTAAGGTTGTTAATATAAAGTTAAAAAAAAATAACTTTTTTAAATATAATCATTAAAAACTGATTGATGGATTTTTCCACTTTTAAAAAAATATACATTTATTTATCTGGATAAAAATATGATTAATTATATTATTTTGAAATTCGTTTTTTATTTGTAATTTTTTTATTAATTATTTGCTTAAATAAGGTTAAAACGGGTTTTTTAGATTAAAAAGTGTATTTTTCAAAATAGAAAAAAATAAGTTATTTTTTAAAGACATAAATTATTATATCTTAACAAATATAATTTGTATGGAAAAGAATAAAATCACTAGTGTACACGACCACTATTATGAGCACAGTAATTATTACTCAAGAAAATCATTTCTAACAATCTAAAAACAAAAATGGTGAAAATAATTATTTAAAGGGAAAAAATCCTGCATTACTAATTATTATAGATGAAAATGAGATTTTTTTCCTTCTAACTATTATCTTTATTTTTGTTTTGCAAATAATCCAATAAGGTAATAACATGACTAAACTAACTAAATAGAGTTTCGAGCGTATCGGAAATTGCATTTACGAAAGCATATTAGCATTCGTGGAACGAAGATCATGGATGAATAACTATCTTGTTAATCAAGAATAAGGATGCACCTTTAATTGGATAAACATACAAGAATAAATAAATATATTCCTAAAAAACCCCAATCAATTCACCATTCTAAGTTTCTAACTATTCAAAGAATCAAAGAAGCATAAGTCATTCCGTATTCGGAAAGCCAATATTACAATTGGTTTTAACAAAGAGTGAACAATAAAGGACCAAACAACCAACCAATATGCAAATAACTGGAATTTATATAATCTAGCTTCTAACACAAAGCTAACATTGTTTATCAACAAAACTAACGTCAAAATTCACACAGAAAACTCTTGTACTGTTGTTCTATATCAACACACTACTTTCCCCAATATATAACATAAATCTGGAGTTGTGAAAAGCTTCCAACTAGAGAAATGTTGCTGTAACAAGCTACGGTTCACAAATATTGAACTAAAGAGCATAGACAATCAATCACAGAAAATTACAATGAGGAAGATAAAATTACAATTGAAGTACTAAAAATTTATTGATTTTGACATCAATCATAGAAAAGTGTTATTTAAACAACAAAAAATATGTTAGGAAAATCGAGAAAGATCAACTGCGAATTCCAAGTAAATACTAACAGTAATAATTCAATAGGTATTCAAAATTCATCAACTATATGAGACCAAGTAATAGTCACTAGTACCATAAGAGAGAGATCTTCAATCATTATTAATGCAAAAAGTAAAGTCAACGGTTACAATTTAGATAACCGAGCACAATAATAACCATCAACGTATGATGCATGATGTCAGTTGCAAGGATGTCATTTCACATATAAAACATAACACAAAACAATCACAAATATTGATGAACCCTTAATCGGGTATAATCTAAGATAAACATAGAAGAATGTAAATATTTCCAAGAAGGTTACTAAATTTACTAAAGCAAAAGTCAAGATGGTATCATCCAACCGTAACAGGGAAGCAAAGACACAATTGCTGCTAACAAAGAATTTTCAATCAGATTACAAATCAAAATGCAAGAAATATCTTATCACAAAAGAAAAGATCACAATCGCTGCTAACAAACTCGAATAACTATTTCAAGAATCAAGAAGCAAAAGTCAAGATGGCATCTTACAGCTTAGCACATACAAAACTGACATCGAAATTCAAACTGTCCATTTTAAACAAACAATCAACAATAAATGTTCTTTTCTTATCCATTAAGAAAATGCAAGAATTGCAAAGATATAATTCTCATCTTTAGATTACTCACCAAAGATTAAAAGGGTAATGCAAAACATATAAACTTGAGACTGGTTACACGAGTCTCACTTGCATTCAAAATATATATCTTTAGGAGACGACAAGACATATCTATTTAAGAAAATGAAAGACCTTATGATACATACAAGCACCAAAACAGAAATTAAACATGTAATTTCTAAAATTACAACAGAGATTTCTCACAAGATAAACACACAACTTAATGTTTCAATACCAGAAGTATCATCTACATTATTATCAATGGATATGTTAGAAATAAGTTTATAGAATCTGAGAAAAACTAGATCAGTGATAGACTGATAGTAAAGTTACTAAGACAGCTATATAAGAGATATTTCAAACTATGAATGTTGGTTTGATCATTATTTCTCTACCTATACACGTATATCACTTAACATAGCTTGTGATTTTCATAGGTAATAATATTAGACAACTATGCAATTAATATTTCTAACAATGAATGGCACTTAGAGATCAGTATTTCTAACTTTATATATCACTTAACTTAATTACGTGTATATTTCTAACTTAATTTCAAGAATTAAGAAGCAAAAGTCAAGATGGTATCATCCAACCATAACAAGGAAGCAAATATCACAAACTGCTAAGTGCTAACAAACGAATTAACAATCAAACAACAAACCAAAATGCAAAAAATATGCTCACTAGACATATCTTATAACAGGGAGCAAAGATTACAATCGCTGCTAAAAAACTCAAATAAATATTTTAAGAATCAAGAAGCAAAAGTCAAGATGGTATCATCCAACCATAACAGGGAAGCAAAGATCACAATCGCTGCTAACAAAGAATTAACAATCAGACAACAAACCAAAATGCAAACAGTATGCTCAGTAGACTTATCTTATAACTTAACACATACAAAACTAACAATCAACAATAAATGTTCTTTTCTTGTCCATTAAGAAGATGCCAAAACTAACAATCAACAATACAATACACAAGTCTCACTTGCATTCAAAATAAATATCTTTAGGAGACGACAAGACACATCTATTTCAGAAAATGAAAGACCTTATGATACATAAAAGCACCAAAACAGAATTTAAACATGTAAGCTTGTAAAATTAAGACAGAGATTGATCACACGATAAACACACAATCTAATGTGTCGATACCAAATGTAAAATATACATTTTTATCAATGGGTATGTTAGCAATAAGTTTCTAGAAACTGAAAGACTGTTAGTAATGTTATCAAGACAGCTATATAAGAGATATTTCTACTATAAATGTCGGTCTGATCAGTACTTCTCTACCTATACGTATATCACTTCACATTGTTTGTGATTTACATATCTGAGAAATATATCTAACAATGAATGGCACTTAAATCGGTATTTGTAACTGTAACGTGTATATATTACTTAACTTAATTTGCGATTCTCATATGTAATAAGATCAATTTAATACAGAAAAGTTCAGAAAAGCTTATACCTGATCACATGCTTTCGCTACGATGAGAAATCTCTTTGGCTTCTATGAGAATATGAACTCTCCTTCGGGTGAATGAGAATATGAACAGGTTTTGACGTACATACATGAACAAATGAAGTAGTCTTTAGTTCACATATGTGTCTCCACGTGATTTTAATAATTGTATCAACTAAAATTACAAACAAGTTTGAAAAGCACATACCTGTTAAAGAAGTCTTCTACACTTGAAATCTCCTCAAAGTCTCTAGCAAACAGAACACCTTCTGAAGCACATACCTGAGAAAATCAGAATTAATTAGTCTTTACTTCATGTTAAATATCTCATACTTACCTTGTCACTTTCATCACTTTCACGCACAGATCATATGAATCCGTTTTTTATTCATAATCTCATATTTGGTCGTCTTTTCCATCCAACAATGTCTTTGTCTGAAAAACATTTCCAGCCTTTGATCGTTCTTTTGTGTTTGTCAAGACTTAGTTTACCATTCATTGTCTTGTGTCTTAAGGTTTCGTTAAGCCTTGTGGTGATAGTAACTATATAGTTTACGGTTCATAGTCTATATCTCTAGACTTAAACCGACCCAGTTTTCTAAAGACTTTTTTTGTGAGCCGTGTGTAAGTAAGGACTCTTTTTCTTAAGACTTTTTTTCTTTCAGTTGTTCTTCTCTGTCTAAAAGACTTTCTCATAAGCCTAGTCTCTTTCAGTTGTTCTAAGTTCTAG